ACCAGCTTCAGAAGCAGCCTCAGGAAATCCTTGTTTTCATTATAACTGCAGGTTGCAGACCTTTTGACCATGTCGTGGTCCAATTGTCTGGGGTGTGTGGGTAGGACTACCCACTGGATATGTTCGCATTCTCATCACTGCTACAGATTTTCTCATTTCAATCTTGCCAAGACAGCAAGATACTGTACTAGCTGCTCAAGTGAAGCCACCTTAATAACAACATGTTCATTTGCATGTAAACATTTAGTACTGTAATATTAATGCATTGAACACCAGCAATTGCTTTATCTCTAATACCATTTCACTTTGTATAGAGTAACCACATTGTTTGATAATAAAGATGTGATGACGATTTAATAAAAGTTTTGAAATAGCTTAGTTTTTCTGCCCCACAATATATAGCTGCATGAATATGATGCATGATCATTATTACTGTTTTCCCACTCACATAGGCCCAAAAGGCAACTTCCCAGAAAAGCTGGAAGCATAATACTGTATTGTGGAATTTACAATTGTCTATTTTATATACCTACAATAAATACATGGGTCCCTACTTGTTTTCACTAGCTTTCATTTGTTTATATTAATGTAGTTCGGTTATTGTTTTGTTCTAAAAATTTATATACAACTAAATTGGGTACCTGGCTGTGTCTGGGGTCTCCCCCCCACCTCCATCCTCTACCTTTATCCCTCAACATATGGTCCCCTCTTGTCCCCCCCCCTCTTTCTCAGAAAACTTATTACGAAGCACTGTAATTGGAAGGAGGCAGCATAGATCGTCCACTCTGTGAAGATGGGAAGGAACTGTGATAGACCATCCTGGAGAGCAATGGACACTAAGCATAAACACGGCAAGGAATCAAACCCCGAGAAGCTAGCAGACAGTACCTACAATGTCTAGGTTCAAAGGGCAAGGGAATGGAGCCACTTCAACTCCAGACCCAACCACTTGGGCTGGATGGTAGAGCGACGGTCTCGCTGCATCCAGGTCTGCGTTTTATCCTTGCCCGTCCAAGTGGTTGGGCATCATTCCATCTTCAACCATCCCATCCTAAACCCCTTCTGAGTTAGTGCTATATAATAATGGCTTGGTGCTGTCTCCTGAAAATTCCCTTCCCTTCAACCACACCCTAGGAGAGAGCAGGAGCAAACAGGCAGTTCAGAATATTGGCTCAAGAGTGGCTCAAGTGCCATCCAAAATGAATCACGGTCTAGACCTCTTGCTACTCTAGCATGTGGAAACGACAGAAACCACATCAAGCCCCAAGGGGAGGGGGGGTGGGGTGGAGAGGAGGATTGTCCACTAGCCAGAAGACTCCTGTACCTCATAGCCCAGCCAGTACTGTGAGGAAGACCCAAACTCAAACGAGGTAGGGTCTATACTACAGGCAAACTCTGGGTCTTACCACTGGCACTGAAAAAATCTGCCTGAGCCACTAAAGGGCAGGGGAGTCACAAAAAGATCAAAATCATACAAGCAATGGAATGAGGGGCAAGAGAAAACCCCTCCCCCCAATAATAAGACACTGCAGAAGCAACAAAGACCCAGGTGGGAAATACCAAGGGGCACCATCTGACTCCCATCAAACCTTGGAAACTGAGAATGCCAGTTACAGGGTCAATTGAGCCGATTCCACACCCACCACCTAGAATAGGAAAGCAAAGTCCAATGGAGAGGCCTCGGAGGAAGAGGTTGCCTGGAAATAAGAAAACCCCAAAACCTCGGTGAGATTAGGCAGCTCGACTGCTGCTGCACCTGAGGTAGCAGCAGCCACCCCTGGAAAAGACCGAGCCACATCCTGGACTAAACCCCATCCAGACCCCAAAACCCTAGGAAATTTTGGAGATCTTTAACTAAAATAATAGTTAACCAAGACTCACTTTGAACCATTCCTAATGCAAAATCATCTTCGTCAACTTAGGTATCATATGTGAAGTACAATGTCTTGTTCCGTGTCCACATGAAGGTCCCATGTTAATCTCAGCCATCCTGATCCTGTTATAATGCTGTACTTATTACATTTGGTATGGCTCCTTCTCCTCGATACAGATCTCACGTTACCAGTGCTTGTGGGTAGAGAGAATTTGTTCCAACATGCTGCTACATTTTCAAGTATTTATCAAAACCACTACTCACAAGAGTCATACTGTATCTTTAAAATTGTAGATCAAGTTGGTATCTAAGAGACTTCCCTCCAATTCATTCCATTTGTTTTTCTACAGTAGCATCTTGCACATCCATCTGGTTATTTCCTTTCATTTTATATGGCATGTTTTTGTCTACGTTTTCACATATGTTTAGTATATCTCCTTGTCTATTAACGTCTCGCCATACACTTAACCAATTATGACTACACTTTGTATGGACCAATACATTAATAGAAAAGGACTAAATTAAATACAACTCTAAATCATCATTATATTAGCAACATTACAATTTGCAACACAATACCATTCCACACATACGTCCTTCACTCCACAAAATAATTTTCTTTTAACAATATTTATAGAATTATTTACAAATAAGAATAGTATCAGGAAAAAAATTCCATATTAATCACTTTGACAGTAATAAAAGGAGCCATAATAAAATCTTTAAATCTGAACAAATCGCTCACAGCTTCCTAATCTGCTGTTAGAAACTCAAAGACTGCAGGCACTCGTATAAGACACTAACTTGTATTTTGTCCATAAAGCTTATATCTGCAATATTTTGTGAAACTGTAAAAGCAACCTTCATTCATATAAAGAAATACAAAGCAGCATACGTACAATCACAAAAATAAGTGAAAGCTCCTGCAACACAGCCTGTTTCTTTAAGCATAATCACCTTGAATAAAGTGCCTCTTTGGGACTATTAAGAGGCACCACTGAACAAGACATTATGACATGATGGCATTTCGTGGTAAGCCATTCAGGTACATCTTTGGGTGGTGTGTTGTATTAACATCTTTAACAGGCTTCAACAAATAAAAAAATAAAATAAAATTTTTATGAATTAAATCCTTATAACTTGAAAAATAAGTATATTCCTAAGTGGCACAATATTTATAATAACTATATAACTCTTGAAAACAATATTTGGTAATTAAAATAACTATACTTGGGCACCCTTTCTTCTTCCAAAGAACTTAAATACCGAGCCTTTCTTTTCTTTCTCTTTCTTGTTGGCAGACACAGGTACATCTCCTTCTGAGGAGCTTTCACTGAGACCTTGACGGTCAATAGTTGCAGAATAGCGGTTGGAGGGTACGGGTCCACTACTGGTGGTAACAGCGACAGGCACGCCCGAGGAAGGAAGACTACTGCCCTGGGGCAGGGACATGGTTCGGGAAGAATACTCCGTGTATGGCTGTGGGACAAAATGTTCATTACCTTGATAGAATGGACAAACATACTGGAAAAGGATACACTTCTGATAATTAAGAGTACTGTACATCTATATTAAAGTATTAATTATGGTTTATATGCCAAAGAATATGCTATGAACATTAAATCAAAATTTTGCTTTTTTGTTTTCGTAAGGAAACCTGCAAATATAAAACAACAAATTTTCAATGATAAATGAACAATTACCAACATAACCAATAACCCTGCTTTAGACTTCATACCATAATTACACAGCAACATCAGTCAGGCTAAAATAAACACTACTACAATTGGGTTTCTTATTTAGTTATAAATTGGGACAAAGTACCACCTAATATACAGTACTTTCCAGACAGCTTGGCATTAAGCCATCTCTAGACACTAACAATTGTCACGTGCAACATAATAGCAACAATTTAAGACTAATGTGCACACACTGAAGCCCAAAGCTGGATACAAGAAACACAGATGAGTATAGGACACTGTTCAGTACTACTGCTGGAATAGTGTTTACAATCTAGTGATGATTTTGTTAAATATTTGAAGAGGTGATTTAACAGTTGAATATATCAAGAGTCTTGCAGTAGGGTTGTCAAAACTAATAGATATATAATATAAACAGGTATATCTGCTGCCAATTTAAAAATGCACGGCCCACCAAAATGTATACATTGGTTCCTGAATACATTCCAAAAGGTAGTTGTGCATTATCCTTTATCAACGAAGTCATAATCTAGCCAACACAAACCCAAACCATCTACTCCATTGCATAGCACCAGACTCTGGGAAGATTGTTTGCTCAACTTTCCACAAGGTACTTTGTCATACACAATCTCTCTTGCCAATATTTTGATATGAAACTGGTAATACAGCAACTGCACAGTAAGTCCTGTCCAAGCACACCCATGTGACCTATTACCCAGCAAATATTAATGGATTTGAGTCTCCTTGAGATTTATAAAGCCACTATTTGATTTCCAAGACAGAGTCAAGAGTTATCTGAGCTCAAATCTGCAAGCATAAATTTAACATCTTTTATGATACCAAAAGTTTGACATTTAAATTTAATACAATAAGTCATTGAAAATACTGCATGGAATAGTTTACACTAAAAATATAAATCCTATAATATATCCACGTTTAAAACAGAGGAAATGGAAATTGACAATTATTATACTATCAATATTACAAAAGTTGATCTTGAGAAATCAGTTCTATATATTTTCCAAAAATTAAATATCAGTAGAAGAGTTTTGTATATTTTTCTTTATTCATTTAGGGATTAGCTAGGACACTACTTTGTTTCAGTCATGCCAAGTTGCATGTATGAAGATTTAACAACTTAGGTTTATAAACTGTCTATATTCTGGGCTGGATTGGATAATCGAGTGTTTCATACCAATGTGGCTTAAACCTCCCGAGTTGGTACAGGATGTGCACCGCTCCCAGCTGCACCAGAGCCTAACCACAGCTCTGTAGAACCTTACCTTCACACAGCAAATGAGTGGGAAAAGTTTAATATAGAGAAGAATCTCTAAATCTGACAATCTCAAATCATCCCATGCCTTTTTGCCCACTCTTGAATATTGGGAACTCAGGCAGTGTTCTAATTTTTTTTTTTTTTTTTTTTTTTTTTTTTTTTTTTTTGATATATATATACAAGAGTTGTTACATTCTTGTACAGCCACTAGTACGCGTAGCGTTTCGAGCAGGTCCCTGGAATACGATCCCTGCCGCGAAGAATCGTTTTTTCATCCAAGTACACATTTTACTGTTGCATTAAACAGAGGCTACAGTTAAGGAATTGCGCCCAGTAAATCCTCCCCGGCCAGGATACGAACCCATGACATAGCGCTCGCGGAACGCCAGGCGAGTGTCTTACCACTACACCACGGAGACTGGTTATTGTTGTTGACTGAATGAATTGTTGTTCATTATCTTTCATTTAAACCCCCCCTCCCCACCTACACAAAACCAATTTTGTGGACAAAAATCCCTCTTTTGTCTTTCTTTTTCATTTTCATGAAGTTAGAGAAAAAACTATTTGCAAAAAAATTAACAATACAATAGGAGAAAGTGGGAGGGGCAAACGAAAATGAGCATAAGGAAGAATGGGAGAGGAAGTAATGATTGTGACAAGGCAGCGAGGGAGACCAAGGAAGATATGTCTTGAAATTAATGAGGGAGGGAATGTTAACGAGAGGAAGATTTTGCAAATAGTGCAATATTGAGAGGAAATAAGATAAATGGGTTAGCTGTATATAGGGAAATAGGGGCTATGAAATACAGTACAACATTGTGAAAGTATTTTGCTCTAAAAATCTCTGTGCAAACTATGTATTGTTACTTTCTTTACAGATCTCTTAATATTATTACAGAATAAAAATTATATGGAGTTTACTCTACCTGTCGACTACCTGGAACACCATCAGTTATGTCTGGTTGATGGGTGGAACCTGAGGAGTGAAATAAGGCGGACCAGTTATGCAAAAAATCACACAAATGAAAGTCATACATTATTTGTTAAGGTTACACACACATGGTCAAATGTTCTATAAAATTAACAAATTTAACAATTACACCAACATGCACTTCTACATTCTTTCAATCCCTACTCATCACACCCACCAAAAAATTTAATCATTTACACACTGTGAGGGGAATAAAGGAAGTGGATGGTGATAACCTCTTCCAGGTGAGGGACAAAAGAACATGGAGGCATAGGTGGAAGTTAGAAATACAGAATAGCCAGAGAAATTTTAGGAAAGGCTCATATGCAATGTAAGTAGTAAACAATTGAGTGGAATCAACTTCAAAGGTAGAGGAATCAACTGCCATTCACAGCTTCAAAAGCAAATACGAAGGTACTGGAACACTGGGAAGTATAAATGCATGAAGAACAATAGCTATGAGGCATGTAAGCATAACATTAAATGCACACATACAAGCTCTCAACCTTCCATCCATGGGATGGAAATTTCAGGAAACCCCTGGTGGCTCAATGAAGCTACCTCACTCAGATTGCTCCATGCAAATGGCTCGTCAGAAGTGAGAGTTGTGTGTGGCCTACAGAAAACCAGTCAAAACCTGGAATTGAGTAAGGAAGATGGTTGCATGCAGAAGCCAAACTGCCTAGTGCTGGTATTTGGTACTATGAGTTTCATGCTAATTTTGAATGTTTCTCTTGTTCTATGTGAATCATTTACAGAGATATTAGCCAACATTGAAGCTTCCTTCTCTGTTAACCCTCCAGTTGTCTGTAAAGTTTCACCGACTCTGGATGTTTTCCTGGTGTGATGGCGAATTGTCACTCGCTCTCAGCACCTTGTGAGGTGGGAATAGGTTTTGGTTCTGGTCCCCAATTGGCCAACCAGAACCTCACATCTGATGTGAACCATTTACATGGATAAATCTCACTGTCTCCAGGCCACTGTGAGCCACCAACGCTCATTCAGAAAGGCATTTCACTACATTCAACTTGCACACTCCCCTCACACACTTCCCTCACACACTTCCCTCACACACTAACAAATCTTTTTTTACATTTACTAACATATGCTCTCAGTCAGTTTCTCTTAATTTTGGTTTCATGAACTACATTATAAGGGAACTATGTTATATGCTTTAGAAATTTGTTTGTTTATAGACCAAGATTAAATTCCAAATTTAAATACAATGAAAAAAATTACTAATGTACTCTCTGAACTTCAATATACACTAATTTATACAAACTAATGTGCAGCATTCTATACAGCAAAAGCATATGACAATCTACAAGCATGACATTTGAACAAAGTGCCTAATAATTACACATTATAAATGTGCCACCACATGGTGGTGGAGGATGCATGACTGACCCTGTGAGGTGTACGCATACTGCTGATGAGAGACACGTGACACTTGGGAGAAGTGGCCCCCTTGACCTGTGTGATGTTGGGCTACCTGGTGGTGATGGCTAACCATATGACCCATCTGCTGTCCGTAGTGAGAACCACCCACGTGGTGAGGCATGCCGGGCTGGTGTGGCCCACTCACCCACGTCTGCTCCGCATACCTGGCCCGACTGGGTGCTACAGGGGGCCGAGTCATTACCAGTGGTGGAGCTGTTCTAGGCAGTGGGGGTAAGTCTGCAGAGAAGCCACCGACTCAACACGCAGCCACATCGTAAAGTGTGAACAACAGGCACATAACAAATACACACATCACAAACTAGCTAAGCCATAAAGATAAGCATATCAAGGCATAATAAAGGTTTACACAGATGACATTTTAAAAAATCGTCTAAGAGCATTTTATAGAAGTAAAAATATTTTCTACTCAAGACATTCCAATATGCAGGCAAAATTGAGACTTCCATTCATTTCTTTCTTAGATTTTAGATTGTCGAGAACAGCCGAGCAACACTGAATTATATTATCTGCTGATGATTCTTCAACTTTGTGACCCTTCAACAATTCAATAAATTCTATTACTTTAATATTTTTATTCTTTTGACCTCAGCACTGTCACTGTTTATACCCGACACCTTCCTTGGTGCACAAGAAAAAATATTCAATTTTTGTTTCAAATACTAGTATTGTTAGAATGCATTCCCTGATCATGGAGAAAAACATTTTTAAGCAAGTTACTTTGACCGTAGTGGAACCGAGAAGTATAATGAGTCATGAACGTTCACCAGCTGGCAGTAGCCCCAACCCTGACTGCTGTGAATGTCTCCCTCCCACTGTGATCATCATAAACAGCATTGTGTTCACTGATATCTGAACCTTGTACATTGCCTCTGATAGTTAGGATTTTCTATGATACTACCTTTGCAAAATAATTGCAGATATTTATATACTTCATCATTATTAAGTGGTGGTTTGTAGTGCTATTAAGTACACTGTAGTGCTGCGAGCTACTACAATGTACTACTGATGTTCGCCCTCTTAATAATGAGGTCCTCACCCCTAGGAGGGGAGTGCCCATGTTTTTTTCCAAAATGGCATCTGTTTACTGGAGGCCTGAAGAAGCAATTGTGAGCCCTGTGTATGCACAGAACTTTTTAACTTACGCTGTACTTTAAATCATCCCTCATCGACTTGAGCAGTAGGCTGAGATATGGCACAATCGTACCAGTTTGACACTTGAATTTGAGGGGGGTTAAACTCCTACAAAACTTAATTGATCCATTAGATATGAATGTAAGATCAAACTAACATTTTTGTTCTGAAAATAAGACAACTATTGCAATTCAACTAAAGTTTTATTTACACCCGGCACCAGTCGTAATTAAGAAAACCTTCACAGGTATCATTTTTGAACGAGGTCTGACTATCCCAAGGTCACCGGGAGCGTGCTCCCCACTGTCATGACTGGTGTCACTTCCCAACACTAGAATAATACATTGCATTTTGACAAATCCCCAGAAGCCCAAAAATTCTGTACTGAACTAAAAATCACAGGCGCTCGCAAAATTGATGCGGTTCCTGTTTTCAGGTTGGGTTTGGGCATTTTAGTACTGTATATCAGTTTAGTGACATGAATGCCTGCACTGTCGGATACCCTTCAGAATCCATTGTGAATTATATATAATGATATCCATACAATAACAGCGGGTGTGTATTACACTAATACATGGAACTATCCTAGTCTGACATTAATTAGTATATAGGGTGCTACAGGAATGGCTCATTCTCTCTATCCTAACCTCGTGGTTTTTAATGTGCGATGGGCGAAACGAGTTTATTTCTAGAGGAAATATTAAAAATTCCAACCATTAACATTTAAATAAATGTTGAAAATATTAACAATTTTAAAATTTCATGTTAGTAGTGCCAGGGTTTAATCTATTTTCGCTGTAAACAATACTCCAAGTCAAATATTCATCAAGAGCAAGACAACAGTGTGTCAAATGACAAATTATTATTAACAAGAAAATGTTTGGAAGTCTATAAATCTGTGTGGAAGACAATAAAAGAAAGGAACACATTACTGACAGAAAACTAATTTTTAATTGGAGCATTCAGGCTAAACTGTGTCTTATAACATCAATAAATCTATATTACATGCTGGAAACAACACATCAAGCTGTGAACACACTGTAATCGTAAGTATCTATACTTGTGACACAACAGTGAAGCAAACACCAACAATCTACAGTGACTATTATTTGTGGTTCATGCGGTAATCAATGATATGGCCCACATTAGCTACACATATTTGCATCACTTTGTACAATGAACGTAACTCATTACACAAAAAAATAAACCGTGCATTCAACAAATATGGTAAATTATCTCAGACCATAACGTGCTGGGAAATAATCCATAGAGAGAAAGAGTAGAAAGGAAAAAAAGAAAAGAAAAAAAAAAAGAAATTCCAAGATCAAAAGATGTGTTTTAAAGTTATTGGAATGCTAGTGATAATTAAAATCAATTAAATTAATTTAAAACAGTATTTTTGTTCATTAAAAGAAGACATTAGTTTTAAGAACATTGTCTTAATTAAAGAATAAATATCAGGATGAATGCCAAAACTTTCATGTAATAAACCTAAAGAATAATTGGCCTTATATAGAGGCAGCAAACAAAGGCTTTCACCACTTTACAAAAACTGTAAAGTGGTGACAGTTTTCAAGAAAGGAATGTTTGTGGTATGTGTCAGGTTTATGAGAGATACTGTTTGAAGAAAGAAAATGAAATGAATTTAAGAATTATAAAACCAGGAGAATGTTTTGACCATTTAATGAAAAAAACAGTGGTAGGGACAATGAATGATTTTTCACACTAATTCAAAATTAGTGTGAAAATTAGTTTTTTTCACACTAATTCAAATAATTAACCTTGTGGTGATGTACATAGGTGTACACACGAAGGTAGTGTGATACTATTTTGGTGGTTCAATATGCTGTATATACAATTTAAGTACATATACAGGCAGTCATCAATTTGCAGGTATTTCATCTCTCTAAAATCAGCATTTAGCCTTAAATCATGCAGATTTAATGCTATACGAGCAAATTAGTGGAATGCACTAAAAGAAGAAACCTTCCATACAATTAAAATGAACCAGCTAGGTGTAGCTAGGAGGCAGAACTTGAAGAGCTGCTAGCTAGATCTCACACCTGTCCACAGGTGACAGGCCGGGTGATGCTTTGTGAAAGACTGTTTCTCCGGGATAACGCCTTGTGGCTCCCTCAAGCTATGTCGCTGAGATGCCTCCCAACTGCTAGGTCACATTACATGAGCTGCGAAGTTCAATTTGGCCTACCAAGAATCAGAGCCAAAACGTGGTCCTCTTTGCACCTCACTGAGGTGCAAAGGTGGTGTATTTGTGGAGACATTTCTTCAAGGGTCATTAAGTCGTTATTTCAAGGGTCATACTACATCATGGACCTCGTGCCCATGATGTAGTATGTTGCTCTTGCGGCATATTTTGCTAACATTTCCTGGACTGATAATTGGATGCAGGGGTCTTGGCAACCCAAGTGTTTAGTTAATATTCCTGGGCCTTGTCATACCTGTATTGCCTTGGGTCATCTCACTCAACCAGTTGTTTCTTCATTATCTTCAATACCTACAGTCTCTCCTCTTCTAAAGTCCCTTGTCTTTCTTCTCCCATGGGTAGTTAGTTTCAGGGAACCACAAGGAGGGTCCCCCAGAAAACCTGTGTTGAATATAATGAAATGCCTCTTTCTGGATGAGCCCCAGTAGCTCCTCAATTCCCTCCTCATCCCTTTTGAGGTTCATTGGTTGGTGTGCAATTTTTTACATCTGCACAATTAACAAGAGCCAGGAGAGACATGGAGCTCTGCCTTCCCCCTACTGGTGGAGGGGTTATTGGCAAAGAGCTCACGCTAGTTTTGAGATTCGATTGTTTGTTTACACTGTGACTGTTTTGAGGCTTTGGCATTTCAACCCAGCAATGATTGGGTTGTATTGGTGTGATGCCTTTCTGGACGTTTTCCTGGTGGGGTGATAGTGTCACCCGCTTTCTGTGCCTCTGAAGGGAAGGGGAGGGGGGGGAGGGGCAGGTTCTAACTTAGGTCTCCATTAGGCCAAATAGAACTCAATGGCTGATATGACCTAGTAGTTGGGAGCCATCTCAGGAAGATTAGCATCAGGGAGCCACCGGGGCTCATCCAGAAAAGACGTTTCATGACAACGAACGCTGGTTTTTTCCAGATGTAGCTGCTAATTACACATTTGTGGAATGCATAGATCATTTTTGGAGATCTTTTCCCATTACATTTATTTATCAAAATTACACGAGTAAAGAGTATGCTGTTGGATGCAGTTGATGATCATCAACAAAGCCAGATACACTAGTGTAAAACATTAACCAACTGTAACTTACCATCTCCATTCATATTTTCTGATGAATCTCGTCGATGACCATTTGGTCTGTCTGTCGGGTAATTCTGGTAGGCATTTTCTGATGATACCTCTGTTTTAAAAAATTAAGAATGTTCACATTTTGTTATATAGAAACTGATGTTTGACATTTATATACTAGATTATTGCCAAAGTCTTACAAGATTCTCATTTACAGGACTGATTGCTAGGCCATAAGGTCACAAGCACACACTTTGGTGGATTATGTACCCATCTGAGTGAAAATCAAGAGATTTGATTTCATACAGTATTATCTACTCTTAACAGGGATCAAGTTTAGGGTTTATGCCAATTCAATAAAATTTAGCTGCAGAGAAGCACCCTATGGGCAATGCTGCTCATAAATTGAGTTAATAGGGTAGCTGAACACCTTGACTATGGTCAAGGCCGAGCCTGGCCCCAGGCCGGGTTCATGGAGTAAAAACTCCTGAAATCCTCTCCAGGTATGGACCCGATATATAATGGTTGGGACCACTGACTGACTTGTTCACCCTTTACATACAAAGAGGCTACATAATGTTCGGTTGTAATACAACCAGTAATATAAATAAAGGTATAACTACATTTGTATCTACAGATAAACAGCTAGAACTAAACCAACTAATCTGAAATTTGTCTTAAATGGATACTATTAGAAGTCAAATAATGTATATAAAGGCCACTTCAAGACAAGCAAAAATACAAAAGCATCATCTGAAAAATACTATAAATGCATTATTTCAACTACTGGCCAAAACAAACATTAAGTATAACTGCTACAGAAAATACATTTTAACACGGGTACACCAGTCATCGACTTCTCTCACACGTTCCCACTGCAAGAGAACTTCTGTGGGCAACTCTTCTCAAAATAGTGACTTCTTGAGCTATTACTGTTTTCCAATTACCTTACCCTGTGTAAATGGGATTCTTTCACTAGTATAATTTAATCTGCTTCTTGATATTGGTTTAGCTCCTTGACTCATTAATGCATGTTCTCTCCACATATGCTGGTGTGTAACTAACTGTAGGACAATCACGGTGTGAGTGTCAGACCAACCTGCAGGATCTATGGCCTAGTGCTTTAAGCACACCTTCAACATTTTTAATTCAAGATAATTTAAATGGCTGGGAAACTCTGTATAATAAACCATCTCTTCGAGGAAGAGAAGTTGCCAGAGGAAGAACACCACCATTTATGTAAAGACATAGAAAGGATGATGCCTCAATTTAGGGAGGTTAATTATGCCAGGAAACTAAATGGTCGGGTCTACTTCTCGGTAAATTCAGTGTAAATAATTGCATCTCATTTCACAATACAAGCAAATTTACATTACCAATAATGACTTAATGATTGCTGAAACCTTTAACTGTTCTTCTCTCACACTTACTAGCATACATTGTATAAAAGTACATCATCATGATACTCAATGGGTCGTGCAATACTAACCATAAGAAGGCACAACAGAGATACGGTTTTGATAGATAGGGCCTTCATCTCCCAATGATGAGCGTGAAGAACGATTGCTACCTGTACTTCCCCGAGGTGGAACAGGTGGTTTAGTCTTGTCCTGCATCTGTAATAAACAGTTTACATACATCATATTTGCTAAGGTGCTAAGATTTTTTAAATATTTTTTAATTGCATTAAAGCAGACATAGTAGTAATATTTGTAAATCCCTTTAAGCCTCAAACTGTGCAAAAGCCATATGATGTGTGACCTTGAAGGGGGTATAATTCAAAACATTCTAATTATGTAAAAATTACTTAAAAATGTTAAACAAATCTCCAACTTATTGACTTCAGCTTCGTGAAACTTTCCTCAAAATATTTTCAGAAATTGATTTTAGACGAATATTTAAAAAAAAAAGTTTTGTTGATACGGAGAACAGTTCCTATTAACTGGAACTGATGGATAATGCAATAATAGAGAGATACAAGCACCTGTCCGATGCACAAAAGAATTAGTAGTAAGAAGTGTCCACAAAGTGGATATGTAGCTGGTGCCTTTATAGCATTGGTGAGTAATACATAATAAATAATTATGAGTAATTATGTTATTATGCTCTATTTTGTTATATATCATAAAAATACATTGCCCAATATTATTATCAGTTAATTTCAACAAGGTCCAATAATTTTTTTTTTAAGAGGAATTTGCTTTTTTTTAGGTTTCTAGGTTTTTTCAGTCAACAAATAAATCAGTTACAACTCTCAGAACTTGGGACTTTGAATTTTTTGGGGCTGATTTTTTTTTACAGATTTCAAACTATTTTCCTTGTTTCTTTAGGTTGTTTTGATGATTAGGGACCAGATTATGTTTTTTCTACTTGTATAAGGTATACCCTAAATATATTCCCTATAGCATTATAATTATTATAATCGGCCCTATATTTTGTTTTTTTTTGGGGAGGGGGTAATTTTTCTCGACTTCATTTCTACACACATTGACTTACAACTTTCACATACTTGAGTACGAATGCCAAACAATGTTTATTACAACATACAAGTAAATTCATGAATTAGAACTGCCTTATTCATTGTCAACAACTTCAATTATATCTCTAACTAGAATTTCAACTTACTTCAGTATCCAAAAATCTAGTTTCTAACCGATTCTCACCAGTTTTACATATAGTGTGCACAGCTGTCTGTTCTACAATCACTATAGAATTGACTTTTCATAAACTCTAAACGTTTGGAGTTATAAATTTTTGTTGTCTAAATTTGTGCATATTTCAAATGCCATATTGACAATTTTTTTTTGCAGTAAACTATACTAAAAACCTATATTCTAAATATATGAAAATGCAGATCATATGCTATTCTGAGAGGATAACACCACCAAATGAACAGTTTGTGATATTTTTATATTTTTGCAGCCGATTCAAAATCTGAAATTTTCAATATTCAATGTTATAAAAAAAAATGATTTCCTTGATTTTCAAGTTACATTGGTATCATTTAGACAAAGTTGGAGCTAGTCATTTACATCATATCCAGACATTTAAGACCAGGATGGCTAAATAAACTGAATTATCCAAGTAACAGGTATGTGACTACTACTAAAATATCCAAGAAAAAACAAGAAAAAAAATCACTGACATTTCAATATATTTTTGTGATTTGCAGTAGTATTCTTGCAATAAACCATTTTTTTTTACTTAATTTGTGCAATAATGTAGATTTATTATGTTAATGGAGCCCAAACATGTACAATACAGATGGCAACCATCAAGTGTAACTGGTTTAACAGCAGTGCCATTACAACTCACCACATCAGAAACAAGAAGAGCCAGGAGAGACATGGAGCTCTGTCAGTAAGTCAGAGTCTTAGTCAGTAAGGCTAAATTGTGTCTAGATATGACAAATGACTAATTTATATTGTACGCAGCAAAAATTTTAAATCCCCAGTATAAAATTACCTGAAACAATGGTGCAAGAGATAAAAATAACCTAATACATGCTCAGCTTACTCACATGCTCCAGATTGGCATACAGGGGATTGTCAAGGGCCTGAGAATGTGGCCTGGTTGGATCTAAACCACCTCCTGCCCCCTGCGGATGGCAGCTGACAGCACTGCGGTGATGGACTTCAGGAGTAGAGTGACCCGATGAGTTGTCCGAGTCACGGGAAGGAACTGCCACCATGTCGCTGCCCACCTCCCCTTCCTGTCACATGCAACATTCCAACATGACACAAACCCAGGACATGTACAAGCACAGACTTGGTCACAAGACACCAGGTGTTTCAAATCAAAGACCATGGATTTTAATAATTTAAATGAAGTGCAGGTGAGCATTTGGCATAACATATTTGAAGCATCAATTTGAGAAAAAAAAATTGATTGCAACTACTGTACTAGTGCAAAACATTTAGGGTATAAATATGTCCAGCAGTAATACCAACAGGGATCAATGGACCCTTAGACAATGACACCACAAAGAGGGATAGCACAAACACATCTACCTACTGAAGAGAAGCGAGTAATTCAATCATTCAATGCCATTATCAAAATGACAATTGGCAACCACCAGGAATGCTTTTAGATGTTAGTGAGGATATGGATATATGAGAATGCTGTAAGACATTAGTAGGAATGTGGATATGCAATAATACTAAGATGTTAGTGAAGATTTTAACGATAATGCTAATGGAAACAAGACGGTAAACTCACTTGGGGGGGAAAAAAAATTGCTGGGAAAGCACGGGATAAAATGAACATTTTCGAAGTTGAGAAAATTGTCCAGAATGTTTAATGATTCGGTAAACTACTTTAATGTCAAAATTAAAAATAAATTAAGTAATTTATATTATACATACCCAGTAATAGGTACTGTACATGACTTTTCTCCATTCTGAATAATGAATTGAATACGTTAAATATAATAAATAATTAAAAATTATAATTATTATTATTATTACATATTATAAGGTTCTAAAGTTATGCAAAATTAAGGTAATATCAAAGATTTAATCTAGTTTCTTTGAACTGTAAAAAATAATGATTTCAAATACGTTAAAAAAAATATAAAAACTGATCCTTTAAAGTTGATCATACATTACTGACAAAGACTTAAATCGGCTATATAAAATTGGGCGCACTATTCTCTATAAACATATTTACAAAATAGAGGACAACAAGATTTTTCTATTTATTTATATATGTATAATTACTGGTCAATCAAAAACATGGAGGAATCATTTAAGCTTCAGTTTAAATTACACAAGCAATTCTTTTAGTCATAAACAAGACGAGGGAAAGGCTGAGGGGGTCATTAGGAAGAACACAAAACATTCTTGCACAAGGGGTTACTCCTGGAAAAAATACAAAATGAAAAAAATTAAATAGATTGTCTGAATGATTTACTCATTAATTGAAAAATTCAGGGGTCCAAATTTCAAGGGGGTGTAAAAACGGCAAGAGCACGATGTAAAATTATTCATGAAAAAATCCTTATATATGATTAAGACAAAAGTATAAGAACTAAATGAATATGAAGTGTGCTTAGTTTTACAGATGTTCCAATGATGTGTTTAATCCTTCTCGGATAGCTGTCATTTATTTAAGAGGAAAAGAATATCTGATTATCTGTGATGAATATTAAGAAAGATTATCTGTGATGAATATTAAGAAATGATACAAAAGCCTTCACCAATCCCTTTTAATGGTGCTTATTCTTGAAAAAATTAAGTGGGGAAAAGTTAATAAGACTGACAGACATACATTCCCAGAGTACAAAATAGTTCTCCCACATTCCTGTAATGGGTGTAACAGCCACATTGTAAATACAAGAAATTACAGTGATCACATTTGCCTCTACCACAAAAGACCAAATTAACACTTTTAAAGGTAAAAATAAACATGAAAGGAGAGATTATCAGGTCACTGATATATTTGTGCAAAAGCAAGAAATTTCATGCAAATGTAGAACACCATCAGCCACTACAGTCTACTTCACACTAACTGTATAAGTCAACCCTTAACTACAATTAAGAACCAACAACATTGAAGTACTACACTAATAAAGTGGGTTAAAGAAAACCTTACACCACTTCACTGAAAATGCACTTATTTCAACAACAGAAAGTAGTCAGATTACAAGTTTGCTGAAGTGTATACAACGCACGTTGTAACAATCAAATTATTTAAGCTTTTGGTTTAACTTCGTGAGATTTGAAAAAATTACCATTAGTTCTTTAACCCACAAGGAAGGTGAATACATCTTACAAACCTTATGGTTGTCATATGACATGAGCTGCATTGATGGTGGCAGCTGGGCATGGAATCCCAATTTGGTGACCCATTCCTCAAGATTAACTCCAGACTCGGCAACAAAGAGATACTCTGCATTATCCCGAGTGATCACTCTGTTAACAAATAGAGTTCAACATTATTGAGGATTTATGTGCTCCTTATTTGCAGAGACTGACATTTGCTAGTTATTAAAGAAACAAATAATTTATATTAAACACTTTTCAGTTCTGATGATGCTAAAATGTGTCATCTGTACTCCTACAGTAAAAATTCTGATACTAAAATGTGTCATCTGACCGCTATTCATAAACATTGGTTTATTCATCGCTGTTGTGCATTTACAAACATGTTTTATCGAGTGGATTCTAGCATTTAAATATCTTTGCATGCTCTCCAGGTCAGAAACGTTTCCAGCTTTGGCTGGGACAGTTAGTGTGCAACAATATTCTACTCTAGAGAGCACTAATGTCTTTAAAAGTATCATTGGTCTGGCATCTCTTGCTTGGAAGGTTCTTGTTATTCAACCTGTCATTTTTCTTGCAGTTATGACAACCACTTTGCTGTGTTCTTTAAAAGTAAAATCTTCTGATATTATTACTCCAAAGTCATTGGGAGTAATAATTACATGGCTTTTTCTTTCAATAGTGTGGTTTGACAGTTTTATTATATGTCGTTTCTCCTTTGATGTTTTAGTTTTTTAATTGGAACTTACCCTCATAAGCATGCTTGAAATAATTCCCTGATTCCATGTGTATTATGTTACCCAGTTATCATATATCATCACCCTTATTTCCAAACCCATATTTACCCAGGTCTTTCCTGAATTTAAAGTTATCTAATTTATATCCATTGTTTTGTGTTGTATGCTATGTTGATATAATTAAAATCTTATTTATATCCCCCTTTTGTTACACCCCCTTTATCCAGTTATATAAAGGAACACAAGCAATTGTTTCAAGATGCTTAGATGGATCAAACAATGGCAGAGTGCTTGTGGCTGCCTACTTAGTGCTATGAACATCATGAACAGCAGTATGTTCATCAATATCTGAACATTGTACACAGTCTATCACAGTCAGGCTCTTCTATAATACTATCACAAAATAATAGCAATTACATATACATATATATATTTCATAATTTTTAAGCGATGTTGTGGTCATAAGCTGAACACTGCTGCTGCTAGTTCATTCTGCATGCACCAACCATGGTTGCTTACTCAGTACCAGAGTCTTCACACAGAAAAATGCCATGATAAAAAAAAAAAAAAAAAAAAAAAAAAAAAAAAAAAAAAAAAAAAAAAAGAGAGCCCTGAGAAAGTCAATGTGAACTCTGTGTAGTCGTGGGACTTTGAAATTTTGTTCAATATTCAAAAAGATAATATATGATATGCACCCTCTAGTCAGTCAGGCCAAAATATTATATATATGATTTATGCCATAGAAGGGTTAAACTGCTTGCCACTCTTCGTTTACACAACGGTACAAATTAAACTGGTCCCATTATTCAGCAAAATTTAACAAATTAAAATGTCTCGATGTTACTGCCAACAAAAATATTTTTCCAAATAAAATTTTAACATATTTCACACATTCAATTAAAATAACTACCTGAAAACATGTTTCTTTTTGGTATAGTCATCAGCTATCTCAATCTTCGCTTGATGAATGGAAATTGGGGGAGAGGCAGCCTTCTGGTCATAGAAATCATCATCGTCCTTGAAGAAGCACAACAACTGACCACACAGTACTGCAAAATAAAGGAACAAGAAATGCATGAAGATGACATTACATCAGCAAATGCTTCTATGATGAATGGATGTAGGCATATTAATATTGTGTTATATTGTACTATGGCACAAGCAAGCACACACGTCTCGACTGATGAGCTTTCCCTCGATTAACGAGAGTTCCCGCTGGTTCTCGGACACCGACGACAGTTTTGTTGTTATTTCACAAGACGAGTTTTCCCACATGAGCTCAGTGCCATCAATATCACACCACAATAACCACACACAATAAACGGATTAAACTTGTTTATTGAGGTGCCACTGTACTCTGTCATATGACACTTTGAAACTACAGTACTGACACTTTTGGCCTCCACTGCTTTCTTATTTAACTTGTTACAACTATCTACTACTGTTTGCAAAAGTGAACTTTTCTTGTGTTTTCTGTAACATTGTTTTCTTAGTTTGAATACATGTCCTCTTGTTGTTAAAGTTGCATTTCTCAAAAAATGTGTGGAGGAACCCAACACACAGCTAAGATAGAACTTACGTTCATCCTACACAAGTGTCAAAGTAGCACAGTTTATAATGTGGGGACTTTGGAGCTGGTTAAAGTTTATAGTGAATCCTTCCTAGTCAAAAATGTGACTTAGAGGCTGTTTCTTACTCTGAGTTGTTGTAAATTGGGGACCCCATTAATGTTTATGTTTACACTTTTAAGACACTTATCTATATAATGTGTGTAAGCAAACACATTTTCTCTGGTGTAATTGCAGGGACCCAAAGTCTCAGAGAAGAGAATAAAAGGAATTCAAAGAAGACTTTACAGATTCACCCTGAACACTTGAGAATTTTTTCTACCACTAATTTTGTTTTATTTTATACAATGTTATTTATTGATTTATTTTTAATTTTATTTATTTTATTACACTTACAGTTTACAGAAAACACACATGTATTACGCATACGAGGAGTCACAATAATGTTGCTGAAATATGTTGACCAAACCACTAACTAGAAAGCGACTGGACGATGACATTTCGGTCAGTCCTGGACCATTCTCACAATCGACTTGAGAATGGTCCAGAACGGACCAAAATGTCGTCGTCCCTTCACTCTCTAGTGTGTGGTTCGGTCAACACATGTATTACAATCACTATTCAAAAATCTCATCCAACTCTGCAGATGTGGAGTGCATGCACAAGATGCATCACGCATTTCCTCTGGATTGCAACATTAAATCACTGGAACAGAAAACTGGCTGCTCTTGGGTGTCTGGTTTGCTTAACGAGTTCCTCACCCACCTCCTCTAGGAACTTAATGCACACTTACCCCAGGTGCCAAGGGTCTCAAGAACTTTTTGGCACAAACTTTTAACTTTTTTTAATACGAACAAGACTCTCAACGCCTAAAAGTGAATTTCAATATAATAATGTGAATTTCAACTAAAAATACTAACCTGTGTAAAAGATTTTCCACGATCTGATTGTTGCCTTTTTACCGCCACTCTGTAGTTCCTGCTTACGCTCAAGATAACCTTGTATTTCGACTGGTGGCAAATTGGCCATATTTTCCATACGCTTGTGTTTGCGGAAACTTTGTGTTCTCCGTCGGGTGGTGAAGCTTGGAGTTCGTTTGGCTTTCTTCAAGTCGACTTTCATACTCTCGGCTCTCTTGAGATCTAATTAAGAGCAATATAAAAATAACCTTAATGCATTTTAAAAACAGTATGAATTAACTTTTACTTATTTCAGTCACTAATTCTAGGGTACACTAAAAATCAAACTCAAAATAGTTAAAGTACAAATTTATTATTTCAAACACAGGAAAATAAGTATAAGAAACTTCTGTTTTAATGATGATTTTTTGACCCAGTTGCTGCTTTATATCATCTGCAGGTCTACAAGCATTGGCAAATCTATATATATACTACACAACAAAATTAAATGTGTAACCGGCTTGCCTAATAAACTAGCAAGGCAAAAAACAAAAAAGGCAAATTCTAATAATGTGCTATTATACACAATTATTATTATTATTGTGCATAATATATATTATTTGTGAGCACAAATAATATATATTTTACTGTGTAACAAATTATAGGTATTAACTACTGTTGACCAGTATTGTACCAACACCAATAAATGCCTTCAGCATTAAACATGCAACAAAATACATAATTTGTGGTGATTAACTGACAAAAGCAACACCATTAATAAATTACCCTCTATCCAGTGACCACAATTAAACATGCCAAATCATAATGCCTGTAAGAGATGCACAGGTGTCCAGAAGGTCCAACTCCTCCAGACACCCGGAGTTGTTTAGTGAGATTATTATTATAATACTTAGTGATGTACCACATGCCTTCCATAAACAGTGTGGCGGCAAGACTCCATACCAGGATGGAGCCCGTAGAAATTAATATATAAAGTGTTGACAGTGTCAGGCATGCATGGAGCTGTATTATTCTACTAACAAATTGGGTTCACAAATTTGTCCACTTTAATTACTTACATTACTGAAGTTCTCAGCTTTTAGCACTGCACAAATGGCTTTAAAAATGCAGGTGATTAAGAGTCTCTGCAACTTACGGTAATATTATCATTGAGAGTTTTACAACAACCAGTTATATAATGGTTTGCAGTTTGATTGTTTTGCAACACTTACTGCAATATTCTTCCCAAAGAGAGAATACCACAAATAAAAATTGACAAGTCGCAATATTAATCCATTCCAAATTACTTCTTGCTTACATTTCCTCATAAATATTTACACGACTCAAAGAACACATCAGTTAAACAATCTCTATTACAGGACTATACATTACTGTTCCTCCTAATCACAATTTTTTTACAGAATTTATTATAGTGTTCACAATTGAAATGAAAATCTTAAATATGTCCTCATCTTAAAACATAAGCATAGCATATCACTGTTGTCATATCATTAGGAAGTTTTACCTAGCAATTTGTCCTTGTCCTTCCCAGCATCTGATGTTGCCAGTTTCTACTTCTCGGCAAGAAACTAATCCAGGCTGTGCTCTGAGTTGGCTTCGTCTCCCCATCCTTGCGAGTTGTTACAAAATTTTTGGATGGTTTCTCTTTCGTCCTTCCTGGCTAAGGGTTTCGAATCCTGATGGTATTCACCTTCAGCTTGGATAGACGATTGACTGATGAAGATTAAGCTACCACAAGAGGTGGCACGGGGTATGAGTAGCCCCGGAGGTGGTAGATGTTTGGAGTGAATGTGGTCTTTGGTCGTGTAACATCTTTAAGCGTGTCTGGACTCTTTGTCCTTGGATAGATGAAAGTTTATTAAATGGGTAAAGCACTGGGAACTTCCAGAAGGGAGAATCATTATATCCTTCCTCCAAATTTGAGGTGAACATCTCTGCTTTTCCTTTCTCAATCCAGTTCATTATGCCTCATGGATGCACTTCTGAACTCCCTATGCAAAAGTTTCCACTGTCCAGTTCACTTCCTTTCAGAACTTCGCAGGTAATTATGACTTCATTCCAAGGAACTCTGACATATCTTATCTTGACCATATTAGCATTAAAGCTCCTGGCTTCATTACCAAGTTCTTGATTTTTCCTGGCTTGCAGGTACTGGCTTGTTCCCTTTGTGGAAGTGGCAACTGTAGTGTCACTCACAGACACATGAGCAGAAGAAAGCATACAAGCTTTAACTGATGAGGCAGTCTTCATAAATAGTGTGTTTTTCAAGCCAGTTTTCCCTCGAGAAGTGGCCTACTTTGCTGCGTTATGTCATCATCTCCCTCTTTCATACTGCATCACGTTGCAGTGAATATGAGAGTGTATTTGCCTGACTAGTGTCAGGCAAATACACTCAAGTACATACTCCCAAGTCAAGCCTGGGCCAGGCCATGCTTTGGGAGAAAATGAACTCCGACAACCTACTCCAAGTACAATCCAGGACCTCAAATTATTATCCCAGCCCCTGCCAGATGCCTCCCCCACCAAAAACAAGCCAAGTTACTGGAAAGTCATACATAGAATCCAAAATATGATTGAAACTCTCTTGGAAGAAAGGAGGACAAATTAAATGCCAACAGCAAAAGTGAAGAAATGTACTCTTGGAAGTAACCAGTAGTAAATATTGATGGACATAACTTTGGCAAAGCCTCATCCAGAGAAGAGGCAAACAAAGTTTAGCAAAATGCCACACCTAAGACAGTAAACTAGGCCTGCAGTTGCACAGTAAACAACTAGGCAGACATAATCTGCATCTTGTTGATAAGGTGGGAATGGATCTTTAAATTTGCAGCGACCAAACTCGAGGAGCAGAGCAGAACCCTGGTAGCCCGTCCTCATAAAAAGAGGCGAAAGTCCATTCCATGCACCCGCCAAACCCCGTTTATGAATGAAAAACGGTTTACACATGACTCAACTGATGATGTTTGAACACTTCTCGAACAAATGCTTCACTTACTACTTTTAGTCAAACCACAATGCTGTAAATCCTTCACCCATGTACTACAAATACAAATATTGCCAACAGAACTTACACACCTAACCTAATCAATGCCTAAATATGCACAGTATGCTAATACATAACAATATTAATTTATATTTGAATTTTTTTTTATTTTGAATGAAGATCATGTTAAAATTGATGAATGCGTCTTTGGGGTCGACTGCTGGATGGAATGGACGTGGTCTGAGGACAGGTTGGAACCTGGTCATGACAGGAGTATACACGGCTCAGTTTAAGAAGCCAAGAGTCTTCCCAAACACAAACACCAAAAATAGGAAAAAAATCTCCTCCCAGTCCAGGACCAACAGACAACAGTCTCTCCAATATTTGACAGTGATAACATGGGGCTGGCCAGCCAAGATGTGACAGGAGACATAACACACACAGCTCATGTTGCACAACAGGGGACAACAAGTCCTACCTAACCTTACCACCAAACACATACAAATGAAGGGAACTAATCTTTGGAAACAAGACAAGTTAAGAGAGCATGGAACTGCTCAAAGGCTTGTAATTTTACTTTAAACAAGTAGAGGCTGCTGGGCTGATTAGCCTCAACATTCACAATGTTAGCACTTTGAATGCATACTATGCTATTACTGTACATTAAAATCATTATGCATTGTAAAGATTATACATTTTTCCCTGCAACAAATAATTAAAGTGTTCCTGAAAGTATATTTAGTACAAAAAAATCATGGATAACAAACACAGATTTTAAGGACATATTGGATCATCCATAACTTGTCCTGTAACTTGTACATGACACTTAGTGCACGGGATAGCATATTAGGTGCTTATAATACACAACTCGTAGGTGAGTATACAATGCAGTCCTGAGGAAAGAACTTGTGTAATCATGTGTCATCAACAAGGCCACATGCAGCATGCACTTACCAGCACCTCTGTTAAAAGGAGGATTTGATCTGAACAGTTCCTGGCGCAAGCTGTTACCTCTCTTTAGACTGGTCAGACTTGTCTGGGACCCAGATCTATAAAGACCATCTCCATCAGGTACCTCCAGAGTTTTCCTGTTGGGGAGAATAAGTATTACAATGGCATTCTTGTACTTTTTATTATTCACCAGTAGACAAAAGCAAACCGGCATGAACACAAATCTATGTCATCTGGGTCAGTTTACTTTCATTTTTCTGGTGAATTCCAGACACTACAAAACATCAAGGAGGGACTGAGAATATATCCAAAAGTTTTAAATGTATATATATAGTGATCACATGCTAATAAATGCTCATTATCTGCTAATATTTTATCCGGTTAGGATAATATTCCATATTTTGTATCATGTTACGTATATATTTAAAAAATTTACATTCAAGGGTCTTGAGAGTTTAGATGCTCAAAATATAAATATCACACGCAACTGTAAACATTCTCAACAGCCCCAACACCAAGCAATGTTTATTAAATTACAAAGCTGTATGCTCTATGTGCAAAATGTTTATCTCATGCTTCCTGTGTACAGAACACGGGAAGAATGTACGCCACCACCACCACCCACCACTTCACTGTAGCCAGACGCAGTTCATGTCATTGATTTTTACCAAAAACTATATTTTACATTATATTTGCATTTTCAATGAGACGTGCTTTTGATAGATGTTTCTAAAGCCTTTTATGCACTTTATAATGCTAAGTTTCATAATGATAATGTATATATATAATGCCTACTTCTAATCCCTAGTCACTTATCTTGTTTGCATTAATGAGCAGCTTTACATTTCAGCAAAACTCGCAATACAGTATACTAATGCAATCACAAGTAATGTATATAAGCAATGGATACAAATGAGTTTTGTGATGCAATTTAAAAAGTCAAACTTTACATTCCCACACTGAACCTTTAATCACATACACAATTCAATCTTCCTCTGAATGATAAAGCTTAACCTTTAAGAGCAATATATATATTCATTTCAATTAATGAGGTTAAAAACACAATTCATATTTAATAAATGATTATAGCTGGAACCGGTTGAGTTGTGTACTTATGAAAGGTTTTTGTTATGATGCACTATTGCAGTATACTCCCATGGCCATTATACAAAAATGAAGCAAATGGTTATCAACAAATTTGAGAAGCGGTGCGTCGATGCGAGGTCAGACCAGGTGCTCCAGGCATGGTTTAATTGATTAGTGCATCAATACCTTATGAGAACCTCTCCCAGAGAGCTTGAACGCTTCCGGTACCTTGGATGAACCTCAGGAGTGCTCGATGTCTCAGCTGCCTCAGAGCTGGAACTGTGTGGGCAGTGCAAGGTCAAGTGAGGTCAGGAAAGATGGGTCAGTGCAATGAGGTCAAGGACATGCTTCAAGTAGTCAAACGGAAACAAATTCACAACAAATTGGACTTGGGTGCAGGGTAGTCTATTTAAGAAAGGAGGTACTATAAACTCATGCAAATTATATCAGAGTAGCTTTGTGATACAACATTAACTGTACAGTTTATATCCCAAAATGCAGTCAACTAACACTACCATGCAATTTTTGTTAAGTGGAAAGCTAAATGCCAAGTTAGGATCAAATACTGGCCAGTCATTAGCCAACTCAAATTTATTTAATGAACTATTTATTTAGACTATTTAATGAAAGGCTCTTGCATGAGAGAATGACAAACGGGAAGACATCTGAGGCCTCGGTAAATAAATGAAGGGGAAACAATGAGCTGGCAACTTCTTATAATTAGAAGGTTTAGGAAAACTCTTGTTTTGAGGATAACTAGAAATGAACTGGAAATTTTTAAATACAATTTTAAAAGACTACATAGTTGTTGCAAATTTATACCATATATAATCATAACTAAGTACCAACAAAGTAATTATACAGGACATTTTTGAATACTAATGAACTACAGGGTGCCTATATAGTATTACAATTGAAATTAAATAATTTGCTATCTTGGTAGTATCCTAAACTAAAAGGTTCAATCATATCTTTACACTATAAGAGCAATAACACGATCCTTCATTTATCTATAACTTTACCTTTCCCCTGATCATACCATGCCATGCAATCAACACGAGGCCTTAACCTACTTCTGGCACCAAGGACTGCCTTGAAATTTGTGCACAATTAAGTCAAACTATATTAAACAGAGAACAAAAAATTCAGCATTACAATAAAGTTTAACCCATAATTTGTCTCTTATCCTTTGATGCAGAGAAAGAAAGTTGATTCAGCACTATGTTCTCTTCAACTTTCTGTTCCTCAGCCTGGAGAAGTGTGTCAAGCAACAATCGTACACCTGCCAGACTGGTGCTGGTAGTGTGTGTTGATTTTATGTCCATTATCCAGTCTGGAGTGCAATTTCTAGTCATGGACTAGCAAGCTCTCAAAGCCTTAAGTCATGCTTCTGTCAAGTCACAGAATCCAGTTTTTGACCTACAGGTGGTGAAAAATTCTGCTGTTTTCAGGATTTAAGGTTGGGTACAGAATATTCAATGTATGTGACTATAACCAAGTCCCCAGTCAAGCAGATTTTTGGAATACAGAGGGTAGAAATGGCATCCTTTATGCTTACATAGTCCTTGTTAGGACTGCCAATATGTCATGTAAACTACAGTCTGATAAGGAAGTCATAATTCTGAAAAGTACTATAATTAACAATTCCAACTTGATGCATGCCCTTGCATGCAACCAAGATCCCGGGGAGGAAGCTTAACAATGATGTGCCCATCCCATGGATTAATAAGCAATCAACAGGTGCATAGATGATGAATCTGAGGCCACATGCAGGATTAGCTTTACATGTTATAATTTTTATACTATAGTTTATATACACTATCCTTATTTAGGGAAGTGATCAAGCAATTTGTGTTATGGTCATTGAGATGAGATTCATTAAGAATGCAGCAGTCACCTTAACCCCTTTCAAACTTTAATTTCATACACAAGCACCTTCAACTGCCACTAAGTCATTCACTGACAAATACCACTCCATTAAGAACTACTCCCTCTTTTCCACCATTCCTACAATTCTTACCTCATTCTACTTCTTATTTTCACTTCCCAGAGCATCCCAGACACTGATTCTTACCTTATTCTACTTCTTATTTTCACTTCCCAGAGCATCCCAGACACTGCCTTAATCGACTGAGTTAATTGACTTTAACCCTGTCGTAGCTCAGTCGATTAAGGCAGTGACTGGGATGCTCCCGGACGCAGGTTCGAATCCTTGTCACGGCCCTTGTGGATTTGTTCATGTTGTGTATCATTGCTTATTCCTATGTCATTCATGACTGGTCTCTACTCTGGTGTGAACTTTTGAATCTCCTAGAACCTCTTTACACCTAGTCACTTCCCAGGATACCAATCTTATTTTAGCCTAACCACTTTATATTTTAATGTATTTTCCTCCTCTTGGCTCCTATTTCATTGTCTGCCATTATTTAAGTTTCAATTTATCTCCTTACTGCATAAACATTCCAAGCTCGTTCTGGTTTATCTTTCTTTGGCTCAATACTTTGCTGCCTCTTAAACATGAGGTTAATTTTACTCTACCACCTTCCTGTCTGAAAGACTTCATAGTCAGCATGTTTGTCTCGGGTACATTATCTTGTCTCATGACTTCCTCTCTATGCTACGTTCCCACTGCAAATCCTGCTCTTCCTTTCAGTAATCACGTTTCCTCCTTGATATATTAGTTGCCAATTTGCTTCCTTCAGAGCAGCAAAGTACCGGTAATCAAACACTGATGCCAATTACTGGCTCTCTGATCTTCTAGTCTATCCTTTTAATGTCCATCTTACTCAAGAACAATACAATATCAAACTAGAAAAATACATACTGGTAATCCAAATTTGTGTTTGTAATAAACCCTATACAGAGAAATTGTGCCAAAGATTTCCTTCACTGGAAGGGCTAGACAAAAAAAAAAAAAAATGATAAATAGTTCTATACTGAATTGCAAGATGACATCCACCACCAGCATTTGGTTAGTGGTTAGTAACAAATTATAGACCACTTTGTAGTTAGTCAAAAGGAATTCTCACATTGGGAGCTACTAGAGAATATTTCAGATTTATTTTATTTGATCCAAGATAGCAATTATTCAATTAGAATTGCAAATAAAAACAATAAAACACTAGCCATGCATATTTCCACATGTTACATGACCACTGGAAAACCTTACAAGTTTCAGGCAGGAAAATAATACTTATCCATTACCTTGTCTCCAGGTACAAATCGAAGGCGTTAATGGCTGGCTGTCGTCTTTTCTAATGCTTTTAATATTTTAAGTGCTCTAATTAAACAAACAAAAATTTTTACATCCTGATTGTACCTGTTTAATGGAAATCAGCTGAAATGAAGGTGAAGCCTAATTGTTGAACGATGACAATAAAAAAAAAAAAGACAAGCAAGACACCAAAGAGTGTTGCACTAAAGGATTCCTTTCGAAGCTTTAGCACAACAAATGTGAAAAGTGGTATGAAATGAATTTGGATGACAAAGCTTTAAGTAAAAGGAGTAAATGGCAGAGTTAAAGACCATCATTGAGTACAATGAAGAAGGGTTCATGATTTAATGTCATTCTAAGATACATTATCAGCTTTTAAGAAAAATTTTATATTAAATAAATTGCTGTAATAATACTCTCTAATATTAGCCTATCTAACCAGCTTTTCACGTCTTACCTAGACTGAGACTCTGGCTCCCGTGCAGTGGAAGGTGCCTTTGCATAGTCTCCATTCATTGTCAGACGAACTCGTTCCATGTCTTCTTTAGTAAACTTTATTTCCTGCGTTCGCCGTCTTTCATCTTCACGCCGTCGTTCCTGTTACAATAATACCATTTATTTATTTTTTTATTTATTTATTTATATACAAGAAGGTACATTGGGTTTGTATAGAGTACATAACAGTGTTCTCACATTCTTGCAAAGCCACTAACACACACAGTTTTGGGCAGATTAATTTGCAGTGTGTGGATAATACAGTATTATACTATTATACTGTATACATACATTATGCATGTTAGGATAATATGTTGTACTGTATATTAATATACGAGACTAAGATATTTTATTATTCCTTCCTATTTTTATAATACTTTAAATCTTGTTACTCGAAGCAGACACTTTTCATGGAAAGTACATATACCAAAAAAAACATAAATGTAATTATAAATTTAAGGTGAGAAGAAGGAAACACAGACCCCAGATAATTTCTAATATAATTACTGCATAATTACTTTTTGGCAGCACCTATACTTCAGTACTACCCCCGCTTTCCCCCCGCCCCCCTCACTAGTAACAATAGAAATATTCAACATTATTTTTCCCAGAGAATAATTATGCACTTCAATACATACATCTGTGATTCGCTGAACCTCTTTTCGTTTCATGTTCTCCATGCGTTCTTGTTCCCTTCGAGCCAGTTCGGCTTTCCTGGCGTTCTCTTCCCGTCTCTTCTGAGCTTGGAATTCTGCTTCAATCTATAAAAAAAAAATTGACAAAATAAATATGCCAAATCTGTGCATGAAATTTACATTAAAACAGTATATACTCAGAAATGGCATCATTTTTATATGATTAAAGAATTAAAAAACAAAATTTTTTTGCTTTCTTACCAAAGTATATCTCTTAATAGGATCCAGCTTATCCTCCTGGGCATCAATGGTTTTGAGAAAATCATCATGGCGACGGATTAGTTCTTCCACCTCCGGTATAGAATCGCCCATCTGGTCATCCTTGACTATAGTTTCACGCGATTCTATCCACGCTTCAAATACATGAGTGTCCCGCAAGAACACCTACAAAATGGGATGCATTTTATAAAGAGCAAAACAAGTTAAATATCATAAATATGCAGAACACAACTTGTTTTGACTAGCAAAAAAGTTTACCACTTAATTTTCTACTCTCTACTTGAGTGGTCTTTTTGCCCCACCACCTACCTTTTTGTATCTTGCCATTCAAGTTCTGGCTCTGCTTTTAAGCTCTGAATGGAGGTGGTTTCCATGATTTTTTAAATAAAGAACAATCCACTTGTGTGCCACTAATACTAAATATGAGAACTTTCTTGCATTTCTTTAACATTTACACATTTACAACTGCTGCCAATGTCTTTTTTTTTCCTTGGACCACATTGTCTACCGACCAAAGAGTTCTCTAATCTAGCAATTTACTGAAAACCCTAGTTAGCACACAATGGTTCCACTACAACTTCCTCCAGCACCCATGTTGTTACCTGCCTTTCTTCCATCTAGTTACTTCAGGTGTACTTCCATCTAGTTACTCAGGTGTGTCTTAGCTGCTTCTTCAGTGACTGCTTACCTACCTAGATCTTTTCTTGACAGTTTTGGAGGGGGTGGTTCTCCCCCCACGCCCGGCCTAGGAAAAGGCTTGACTGGCAAGAGCTTCGTTCAATAGACCATTGCTTGGAGCAACCTGCAGACCCACACCGCCACTAAAACATGGTTGGTCCAGCACTTCTTGCAGGAAATACTTTTTTTTTTTTTTAATTAACTTTAGTTCAGGCAATATTTCTTATACTTGCCGAGAGGATATTGAAGCGTCATGGACCAGTAATGTTCATACAGTGTTCTATTATACCTATGGCACCTCTACTCTTCACCGAGTATTCTGCATTTCCTGCCATATTGCTTACTCCATTATGTTGTTATTTTACTGCAGAAATTTAGGAATTGACCTTCCAGTATTCTCCATGAATACATTATGATACCCCTCTCATCTTTCAAGACGGTACATTTTCAGAGCTTTGAGGGGGGTCTCAATAATTTAGGCACAGTACTGTCTGTGTGCTGTATACGTTTTCTGTATTCCCTACATTTCAAAATTCTCCCCATCTATAAAGGGGTAAATGAGTATCAACCATTACTTAAGGCAGGACACCACAATTTGAACAGCATGAGCACTGATGGGATCCTTCGATCTGAATATTCTCATAATCCATCCTACCATTTTTCCAGCCGACACTATTTTTGCTTTTTTTTTTTCTCTCTAAACGTTAAGTCATCAGACACCATTATCATTAGATACTTTAAATGTTGCTTATCTACTATGCGTAGATCTGTTTTGTACCCTGTACTTTGTTAAAGGGCTTAATTTTTTTCACACCTAAATACTGTACCTGGGATTTATCACTGTTAAACATGTTATTTTCCAATGCCCAATCAAAGACTTCAATAATATCAGTTTGCAGGTTTTCAATGTCTTCTACACAAATCATTTTTATGCCAATTTTTGTTTATTTTCATTTCATCTGGAAAAGATGACATGAAGCTGCTCTTCAGACCCACCTCAAAGTATCCAAGGTAGCTTTACCTACATATTTGAAATACCACCTGCTTTAGTGTACATAACACTTACATTAATTACTAATGGGTGGCTTTGTTTTGACCATGAGCTGCAAGTGCCAGTTGAACACATGACAAAAGAGGAGTGGAGCATTTGGTATTTGAGTCATAATGGCATCTCCCTCGTTGTAGGTAATGGTGTCTGGCTAGGTTGCAGAGACCGATGCCTGCCTCCTCCTACCTTTCATGATCTGTTTCTTGTACACCACTTACTGGTACTGGTTCTAAAATTGATATTTACAGTTTGGAATGCTCGTCCTGAAAATAATTCTACAATAATTTTAGCCTCACTACAGCACTTGTCTAGCCTTCCTTCTGTTTTACTTGCCATGTCTTGCCTGTTGGCTTTGAAATCTTGTAATGACAGCAATTTGTAGCATCTAAAGTAAGGTGTAAAACTATTTAACAATTGTAATTTTATGATCTCCACAAATTTATACCATTAAAATATGAAATGTTTCATATCTTTAACATATACAAAATTCCAATGCCAAGTCAGCATGAATGAATTTCTTCATATTCATATACGTACCAATATCTCCTTTAACTTCATAAAAGAAAATTATTTTGATAAGTTTTATGCACTAATGATGGATTCAAAGCAGTGACATTAATTAGGCAGTACCTACCCTCAAGTCATAGTTGTGTTCATATATAGTAGTTCTTGCTTGCCAGGATTCAACAAGTAACTTCCTACGAGCCTCCAGCGTGGCAATCTTCTCGGCTATTTCCTCTGCCATGAAGTGACCTTGATCAATGAGAGCATTACCAGCTGCACTAAACTTGTCAAAGGCATCTGCCCGGGCATCAATTTCTGTCTTGTGTTCCTTGTGTCTTGAGATCACAGCTTCCGAGCCAGGGACATCTCTTGGCAACTCGGGTGCTGTAATCTTCGCTAAAATTTCGCTCAACCAAACCCTTCAAAAGGAAGCATTTAATTCATCAATACCTCGGAAATTAAAACCAATTTTAAAACAAATTATCAAGCACTGAATGCCCATTTGTTGATCTTTATGCCTATTTCATGTACAATCTTCCTGCCACAATGCCCTACTAATGATAACTTTAAATATCCCTCATTTTGTCATCATTGCCCAAATCCAGATATTTAAAACGAGAAATAAATTGAAGTCTTTGGTTAAGTTGAATACAATTTTATATATTTAAAACAAATTATTTTATCAGTTAATCCCAATAACAGCATTTGGTGGAAAGTCTCAAGTACACACAAACTTCCCTCACTGCACCTCACTACTGGAAAAGCAAAGCATCATATAACTGTTTAAAGTAGGTTCTTTATGCACAAACATCTACTCAATGCTGGAAAAATATCACACATTGACAAAAAGCATTTGCTTTGATTTCGTCTCAAATTTCATATACAGTCATCAGATGCTCCTCCAGCATTCTTTCAAGCTGTAAAGGCAATTTATTCCCCAAAGTGAAACAAAAACTTAATATTCACTTGCATATCATGTACTGTAAAAAGCTTAGTTTGTATAAAATTTAATAAATTATAAGAACAATGCAACAATAAAAATCACCAGCAATCTTACATCAATTCCCTGTAATCGTCAAAGTATGACTGTAGTTTCTCAGCTTGATACAGCTTGTCTTTCCTTTGTGCAGACTTGTCTAACAAATCATTCCATGCTTCAACAGTTTCTTCATGTTTGACAGAAATATGTTCTCTGGCATCTGGGAACAACTCAGCCAGACGCTTGGCTTCCTCAACCACCGACTCCACCTGGTGGTAACACAACACAAAATTCTTAATTTTCTGAATTTTTTTTTTTTTGAATGAAATAAATATCAAATTACAGGAGGCCTATACAGTGATAACAAAAAGAAGGGGCCAAGAAGAATTTCAGTGAATTATGTTCGAAAACATACCTGGTGCACTATCAAAGGTCCTAATTCAATCATAGAATGAGATATGCTCGAGGCAAGAGAATACACAAATTTATGAGAAAAAGAAATAGCTAAGGGGACAGAAGACATTAACACAAAGTAATTTTTTATAAATGCATCAATTATGCATAACTTACTGTTCATAGAATCTTTAAAATAATTATGTAAACTGTGAAGTATAAAAATTAAACTCTTATGAATCCATAACATTCATTGACACTAATAAAATATTGCAATTCAACTAAGAATAGTGAAATCCTCCTATACGAATCAATCCCTACAATGTTTCCTAAGGCAAAATCCTTATGATCCATCCAAGACTACCTTGGTTCACTAGTGAAATATATCATGTCATCACTTCAGTGCAAAGATGGCCAGGAAGGGTTCTCTAGCTACTTTCATGAGAGGAGCCAGGGTTACAACCTTCAGTCTCAGGACAAACTGACTTCTGCAGTTTGTTCTGCAGAAAGTTATTATAATTATACGGATAATACAGAAAAGGGTTGGAAAAAGAGAGAATGGGAGAGAACAAAATATGACTAAAGAGGATGCTGATGATGGGCTGTCATAAGCCAAGTCACACAAAGGTTAAGAGTCCTTGTGGGCCTAAGGTACTCCTCACTCAGCCAAACAGCAGTAGGGAGAGTATTTGTTATTGAGGGATAAAGGAAATGTGAGGACCAGACCACACACTAGAAATTGAAGAGACGACAACGTTTCAATCCATCCTGGACCATTATCACAATCAACTTGATAATGGTCCAAGATGGACCAAAACGTCGTTGTCTTTAATTTCTAGTGTGTGGTTTGGTCAACATTTTCAGCCATGTTATTGTGACTTTTCATCTGCATGTAAATGTGAGGAATGGATAAATGTATCATAAACCAAAAGTGAGCAGCAAAGTAATGATAAAGGGAGGGGCTCATCAGCCGTGTTGAGAGTTGGGAGGGGGGCTCTCGGTGCCCCCTATTCATGCACACACACATTGCACCAGTTGTTACACCGGACTTTTGTTGTCTGATACTTGAGCATTACTATTTTACCCATGTTGTTCATCTGTATTACTTGGCAATTTAATTTACTGTATTAACTTTTCAGTATCTTACATTTACTCTGTTCCTAGTAACCTATGTAGTTCAATTTATCCCACATTATATTTTGTTTATGTTTAATGCTTAACTTTATCATAAAACTCGAGTATTATAAACCTTGATTATAATAAAAAAAAATCCGTATGCCTATTTTTGCTCAACCCTCAGAAAAATTGCTGTAACAAATATAAAACAGCTAATCCTATATAATATGGTGAACACTGTAAATGGTTTAATACATATGCAGATACAAGGAGAACTTTACTCAATATTTCTCCAAGCAAAGGCCATATTTGCTACCGCTACTAAAAATGGTGAAAAAGTGCGTAACATTTACAAACCTGTTCCTTTACTGCTGCCAAGTCTCTCTCAAATCCTTGATGCTTCCTTGCTAAGCCTTGAATAGTTTCTAAATCATGACCATAATCTTCTGATGATATAAATGCATCTTTTTCTGCAATCCAGCTGATTGTCTCATCTGCATTTCTGTCAAACACATGAACCTAGGAAAGTACAGTAAATATCATTAATAATACCAATACATATATATAAATATCCACAAGGACAGTTCTATGTATGTTATGACATCAATGTGTCGGTGGGCTTTAAGAGCAGAAATTGTAAATTATTTATTAGTATCGTACTTTTCAGCATCCTCCTAACGTATAATTTCTGACTAAAGCAAAATAAATATTTTATAGAAGACAGTTCTCCTAAAGGCCATGTTCTTCTAGCCAGAAATTCATCCTGTACTGTCCTGTTGCAACAATATAACTATTTCTCTTCTATACATGAATATGTTGGCTAGCAAGCTCGATCCAAAGTAAATGCATTCAACTCATTACATGAAGCATTCCTTAAACTATTTACTACAGGCAAATCTCAAAAATCACATTATATTGTTCATGCCCTGGTCTGGATTGCCTGAAATTTGCCCTTATGTTTATTTATCCCAAAATTGTCAAATTTTCTTATATCATTGATACAATAACTATTTATGCATATTTAGACTATATTGTACTGCATAAACAGTGATTTTAGCGGAGTACAAGTTTTTTAAATGATAAATATAGCAAAATTATATTTTTTTACCATTTTAGATCACAGATTGGTCTCAACCCAGTTGTAGCAGAATATGGTTATAGCACCAAGTTACAAGAGATCACATACACTGTGGGATCGAGAGGGCAGGAGGCATCAGGGGTTAGGGACCGGGTATTAGGGTCAGGCAGATAGCATCGGATGGGTGAAATCCGATGGGCAAGTGGAATTGTTTTAGGGATCGGGCAGATGGAAGTTATTGGGCAGGCAAGAGTGATTGAGTTATCTGGCAGGGAGAAAGGGATTTATTGGTAAGGCAGGCAGAGGAGGAGAGAGTAAAGGGGCAAGGGATGATAAAGGGGGTGGGGATGGCAGGGGGAGGGTGTTCTGGGAGGGAACTGGATGTACATGAGCAGTACACATGCACTAGCTCAACTCAGTAGGGCTATGTACACATCGGACAAATTGTTAGAAACACTCTTGTGCAATCTATAGCACAGTACAAGTGAAATCATTCCTAACAAAGCATTGCTTTGACTAATATTTATAAATAACAAAGGAAGATTAGCAAAAGAAAGAAAAATGCAGTTTGATGAAAATTATTTTACATGAACTGATGCTCAGGATTTCACCACATTTTTCATGTAATTTTATGTTTTCATAAAAATCTGAACTTGGAGGAAATATTTGGAGAAAGACTTGGTGCAGATTTTCATGGAATCAACTATATTCAGATCCAGATTTTCAGGGTGCCACTGTACAGCTAACTAGGTTGAAATAAATTATTATATCCAAGAAAATTCTGCTCTACCTCACCACACAGCATATGTACCTGCTTAGCTCCAGCGAGAGCTTCTTGTCTTGCATTGGCCAGCTCTTTCAAGTCCTCCCATAACTGCTGCAGTTCATCAGTCTGAAATTTTAGGCAAGCTTAGAACCACAGGATAAGTCAATTTTAAAATGATTTGTGAAAAGTGAGCACCTGTTAAGATGAAACAATTTATATAAAACTAAGTACTTTGATTACACTCGTTGTGTCAACAATATAATAGTCTTACCACGAAGATACAATACAATGCCGTTTTCTCAAATAGGCAATGTGGTTATTAAAGAAAATGGAAATTTCATGGCAAACATGTATACAATCCCAAGTCGATCGGATAAGAATTGGATTTTATAGAAATATTTGCTCGAATGACGCTTGAGCACGGTGTTTGGGTGCATTCAAGAGAAAAAAAGTGTGTTACGTTCAAGTGACATATACCTGCGAAAGTGATAACACTTTCACAAAGTGTTATCACAAAGTGATAAATTAATTAAACATTTTCACACACCGGGTTGTCACTACTATATCAGGGCAGCTTTTCCAAGAATGCGTTCACCTTTTCAAACATTCCAAACACTTCCCTGATCTCAGTGGAAAAGGCAGCATCCTCCCTTACCTCCTCATTCCCTTACTAATGGTGTAAATTGTTGACGAGGACCTGCCATACTTCCTTGTGAGATCAATCACACAGACACCACACTCATGCTTTGCTATAATTTCCTTCTTTAAATCCACAGTAATTGTGTCTTTCTTCCTCTTGACAACACTATCTTTAGCAAGCAGCTTCTTTGGAGACATCGTGTGTTACAAATTATAGTCGCAAAACCACTAAAAACCCAAAGAAAAGCTCAAATAAATCCAGAGGGATGCTTGTCGTGTGAGATACAACAACAACACTGGCTTCGGAGGCGTCCGAGAATTTGTGAGAACCCGCGAGACGCTAGGAAGTGCCATGTGGTTTCACTCGTTAATAGAGGCGAGCTCGTCAATAGAGACAAATTTGCTGCGAGTGGCTTGCTCGTTACTGGAATAAGTCAATTTTAAAATGATTTGTGAAAAGTGAGCACCTGTTAAGATGAAACAATTTATATAAAACTAAGTACAGTGGAACCTCTATTAACGAGTTTAATCCGTTCTGGCACCAAGCTCGTTACCTGGAAAACTCGTCTTTGGAAACAAATTTCCCCATTTAAAATAAAGGAAATAAATTTAATCCGTTCCACTCCCAAAAACATCCATACTTGTATGACTTTTTTTTATGTAAATATAATATTGCACATGTAAATATAAATGTTTTGTTGTAGTGTTTTAATATTTACTTTACCTTATGAAGAGTAGTTGCTGGCTTGAGGGAGATGATGGGGAGGTGGGAAGGAGGAGAGGGGTTATGGTGTGGAAGGAGAATCCACCTCTGAGTCAGGCGGACTCTCTCTTCTTGGGAATTTCACCCAAATTTCATTTCAAATGTCACACAAGGATGCATTAGACCAGTACCAAATAAAAAACTACGTTGATTACACTCGTTGTGTCAACAATATAATAGTCTTACCACGAAGATACAATACAATGCCGTTTTCTCAAATAGGCAATGTGGTTATTAAAGAAAATGGAAATTTCATGGCAAACATGTATACAATCCCCAAGTCGATCGGATAAGAATTGGATTTTATAGAAATATTTGCTCGAATGACGCTTGAGCACGGTGTTTGGGTGCATTCAAGAGAAAAAAAGTGTGTTACGTTCAAGTGACATATACCTGCGAAAGTGATAACACTTTCACAAAGTGTTATCACAAAGTGATAAATTAATTAAACATTTTCACACACCGGGTTGTCACTACTATATCAGGGCAGCTTTTCCAAGAATGCGTTCACCTTTTCAAACATTCCAAACACTTCCCTGATCTCAGTGGAAAAGGCAGCATCCTCCCTTACCTCCTCATTCCCTTACTAATGGTGTAAATTGTTGACGAGGACCTGCCATACTTCCTTGTGAGATCAATCACACAGACACCACACTCATGCTTTGCTATAATTTCCTTCTTTAAATCCACAGTAATTGTGTCTTTCTTCCTCTTGACAACACTATCTTTAGCAAGCAGCTTCTTTGGAGACATCGTGTGTTACAAATTATAGTCGCAAAACCACTAAAAACCCAAAGAAAAGCTCAAATAAATCCAGAGGGATGCTTGTCGTGTGTTAATAGAACAGTAGTTTAAAAACAAACAGATAATGTTTCACAGCACTAAACATAGCTTATGTCAGACCATTATTAGAATATGCAGTGCCAGCATTTAATCCCCACTTTGTGAAACTTGAGAAGAAAACTAGTAATCTGGTAACACGACTAGTGCCACAAATAAAAACAAGGCTATGAAGACAGAATAATAGAAATCTAAAACTAGAATTAATAAACACCAGAGAAGACATGACCACAGTATATATTGTGGAATAGACAAGGTGGACAAGGACAATCTATTCCAGATGGGCATAAATAAAATAAAGGGGGACACAGGTGGAAGTTGGAAACATATCAGTCGAATGTATGAAGTTCCTAGGACAGTACTTTCAGCTAAACAAATGAAACCAGAAATACAGGTGGAAACCATCTTAATTCACAAGTTTCAGAGCAGGTATGATTGTGTATACAATCCAAGAACATCCAAAAGTATCTTGGTATCCAAGAATACCAGGATAGCACAGAACTGAGAGAATAGCTATTATAAATAAAATTTCCTAAAGATAATGGAAAAGCAGTGACAGTAATAAGACAAGTTTCTACTGGTAATGCTCACTAATTTCAATCACAAATAGATTTTGCAACAAAGGACATTTATGGTGGAAACAAAACATCAGACCAGTGGGAGTCAGACTAGTGGAGAAAAGCCAAACACTTCAACAAGCAACACACAACTATACCATCAAGAGCACAAGAAGACAGACAACCAATTCCAGATCTATTATTCATCCAGAATTAAATAAGCAAATGTATATCTTAATACACACTTTCTTCACATCTGGTAATCAGTAGCTGAATAAGTCACTTGCTATTCACATTCATATTACACATATGCAGTGCATTGAAAATTCATGTACACCCTGGTGAACAACAATTTTCCACTCACCTTTTCCTTAATTCTCTCTGGCTCAGGATGTCCACCCTCAAAAAGGGTTTTTGCCTTCCCTTTTATACTGACTAGTTTTTCTTCATTCACAGCCAGAGCACTAAGGAAGGACTCAAACTTCTGGATCAGGATTTCAACATGCTCCACATCCCTCCCGTAATCCTCACTCGCTGCTATAGCCATCTGATCATTTAGCCATTCGCCCACTTCATCGCTTTCCCGAATGAATGCAAATAATGTGTGGCTCTCTTCTAACCTTTTGGCTCGCTTCTCCCTCAAAATTTTCAGTTCGGCATACTCTTCTGTCACATCATCCTGTACATCAAATATTTCTATTTATAAATACTGTATAATAAAACTTTTCATCCATAATTTAATATCAAGCTATGAAATTGTTTATCACTTATCAAGGGTGGGATTCTTGCAAAATAAACAAGTTCAACCTTAATGCAATAATGAGCAGAGTCATTATTAAACCAAATAATTCTTCTCTAAGTTCCTAAACACTACCATAATACTTCCTTTAAATTTTATAAAGTATGAAGCAGCTGAACTCTTTGACTAATGGATTAGTATATACATTTCTTCCAATAGTTTGAAAATCAATATCCCTGCTGCTACTTTGGTAAGTTGGACATCAAGATCGACTTGTAAGTCACTTGAGATAAGTCTCCTCTAAGATCAATGAAAAAATAATTTAATATCCCAAGAATTTAATGATTGACTGGAAATTATATTTAAATACAGTATTGTTATATTAAACAAAAATTGTAATTAGAAACACACAGTATTGAGTAACCTTTTAGTGAAGTTAAACTCTGGCTTATACTTTTTTCCTTCAGTTGCTGTAAAGAATTACACAGAATTTGTAACCTTTTAACATACATTATATAGTACCAAATAAAATGGCTAAAGATTAAATAAACAACATTTAAAAAGCATGAAACACTCTAAAGGTCATTTTGAAAAAATACTATTACAAAATCCAAAACTTTATACATACCATTTTCTTGGAAATATTTTCACTATCAAAATGTCTCCTTTCTGTAAGCTTGGAGCACAATCCCGAGAGCTTCTCTAAAGTGGATTTAAAACTCTCCAAATCACGTGCAACATTATCAAGCTTTTTGGTCAATGCTCCAGCAGAGGTCTCATCTTTTCCAAAGTCTTGAGACAGAAGCTGTGGCTTTTTCTCTCTCATCCACACTTCGGCTTCACTGGCCTCTGTATAAAACTGAGAAGACAAGATTAAATTTTACCAACAAGGAAAAATGAGATTTGTAAATATGCTTCACAAAAGATTAATATCCACATTTATCAACCCTGAAAGGTATGGCCATAAACAATCACATTAAAAAAAAGAAAGACCTACCAATTGTGACTCTACAGCATCAAGGAGTCTGAGCCGCCTCACACTTGCCGTGTCCTTCAGTTGTGTTAAGCTTGAAAGCAGTTGTGTGATTTTTGTTTCAATCTCAGTAGATGCAAAGTGACCAGATCTTATCATCTGCTGCGATCGGCTATTTACACTATTAATGACTGGTTCATGGGATTGAATTTCTGCTTCCAATGCCTGAAATATATTTAACAATTAAAATTGAACCCCAAAAAAAAAAAATCCTATTAATATCACTTCAATGGTGATAAACAAGTTGAGTAAAATCAGCTTTACAATAGTACTTGTAATGTTACATAAAGATAAATTTATATTGTAACTCACTTGGTGTTTTTTCTGGAGGTTCTGTACAGCTGTAAGTGAAGACCCGAGGTCTTGACTAGCTGCCAAGGGTTCCTTCTCTGCCACCCACAGCAGCTCATCTTCAATATCCCTTAACAGCTGCTGCAGTAACATGGCATCCTCCAAATTCTCGTGTCGGATGTGGATTGGCTCGTGTAAAGAATTGTACCTGAATATTTCAGTGTACGTCAGTATTATGTTCCCCCTAAAGTTACCTGCTTACCTATCACAGTTTATGAGTAGTGACAATAGCCTTTTCGGCCCCTACTTCCTACTTATTTGTCATTATACATTTTATATACACTATAGGTCTATGATTTTAAATGTTATTCTTTAGTACTTTGATTATACAAGGCAGAGAATGTTCATCCCAGTTCAAAAATATTTTAATAATCAGTTCATTACCTAAAAAAAACCTTAAGATGAGTGTAATCATTACCTCTTAGTAACAGCTTCTACTCGCTCTCTTATTTCTTCACTCATAAAATGATTAGCTGATGCAAACGACTGAGCCACCTCTCTGGCTTGATCCACTTCACTCTGATGAGCAGCAACATCTGCCTCAAGTTGCTGGTGCTTCTTTAAAAGACTCTGGACAGATGTCAAGTCACGGCCGTGATCCTCGGACTGAAGTTGGGTCTCGACATCGTCAATCCAAGATTCAAGGTCATCCAAAGTTCGGTTAAAAAGCAATGCCTGAAAATGGTTAAAGCATTACCAAAGTAACTCCTCAGATCGCTCTACAACAATACATACCGCAAGAAACTATCAGAATTTGAAAACACTGTAAATGACTAATAAATAAAAAGTGCAGCGAGTATCAAGATAAAAATATATAATGCTGCAGCATTATTACATGTTAATTAAAGACAAACAAGGCCAACCTAAAGAACTATCAAGAATTAGTTACCAATTTATTTACTTAATTTTTTTTACTCACTTGGTATGCTTCATTTAGTCTATCCTTCTTCAGCTGAGATGAATCTTGCAACTGTTTCCATAAAGACTCTAGACCATCCAAGCGAGCCTGGATCTCTTGCTCGGCATAATGACCACCAGAGATGAGTCCCTCACCTACCACAAATTTAAATTAATATCTGTATACAAAAAAAATACAAAAATATATACGAAACATATTTTGCGGTCTTATTGTTTTTTATTTAGTAAATTGTTAGCTGCATCTTTTGATTGGTGTCTGTGGGGATAACGTTACTTTCAATATCTTTTAGGACTCTTTTCCTCCATTTCTATTAGATTGTTTTACAGGAATTTTTCCACGGACAATAAAACTGAGGAAAGAGTCCTGAAAGATATTATTGAAAGGGACGTTATCCCCACAGACACCAACCAAAAGATCCAGTTAACAATTTGTTACAAAAACAAAGAGACCGCAAGCTTGCTTATGAAAAACTCCCCAGACATCAAGAAAACGCCTTATGAGAGACTAACGTCGTCTATGCCTTCATGTGCCCACTTGGGAACCGTCAGCCCCAATGATCTCAGTATATAGGAAAAACAACGTCTCTCTCTCTAGGTGATTAATGCACAAACAACAGGGTTCCATGAAGGAACATATAATCTCCAAACACAACCAGATCATCACCAGACTTCTTGACAAGCAACACTGAAATAATCGACAGGTATAATGACAGCAAGAGACTGGATATCAGCGAGGAGCCACATATTAAGAAATCTAGATCAGCAATCAACAACCAGCTAACACAATTACATTCTACCCACTTCAAGACCAAGAACCAACGCAGACACAGCATCCAATGACCCTACTTAAGGAATATACGCTGACCTGTTGTTACATTTAATATTCAATTAATAACCCCTGATCCATTTATTCATTGATACATTTAATACCCAATTAATACCTTCTTGTTATGGCATTCATCCACCACCTCACCCAAAGAGTATATAATCCAATGTTATACACGGTAAAATTGTCTTTGAAAATGTAAGGTGTACCTTGCGAAACGCATCCCCAGGCATCAGACAATATTAAAGTGAAAAAATTAATTTTGCAGGGTTAATTTTTCCCTTGACAGTGAAGAAAAGAAAAATATAAGAAATATTGAGAAGATTCATGTTAGAATCATTAATCTTACCTTTCGGTCATATTCAACAACAATATATTATACACATGTATATAGTACAGTATACAGTACGTTAAAACCTACAAGTCTACCTGATAAAAGGTAATTCATACATTAATTACCTTCATGGGTAACAGCTGTAACTCTCCCAGAGTTGGCCAGCACCTCCGCTTCAAATGCTCCATGTTTCTGAATCTTTGACTGAAGATTGGTAGGATCTCTGTAGCTTTCATCGCAAGCGACTTGCAACTTCTCGGAAATCCACCCTTCAACCTCATAAATATTTCTGAGGAATTGCTGTAAGGATTTTGACTCTTCAAGCTTGTGTGTTCGCACTTTTGACTTTGTCTTCAGGTTGTCTCGCTTGTCTGTAACCACTCTCAAGCGACGACGAATTCCATCACTGTCGTAGTGGTCGTTGTCGAGAAGATCCTTGGCAAACACCTCCAGCTGTTCTATCTTGTTACCCTGAGCTTCAAATGTTTTTTCAAAACTCTCATGTTTTTTTATTAAAACTTCTACAGATCCCATTGAATCCTATGGAAGGAAATTATGTACATTAAATATATATAATTACACAGAAAATAATGTTTAAAATAGTATATTTACAATAAAAATACTATAATAATTAAAATTTACATAAAATAAAATTAAATACAGTACATGTGCAGACCATAAATAAATTTAGTAAGAATTAAAAGCGTTAGTTTACTAAATCTGAAAAATCTACAACAAGACACCTGGAACACAACTGTAGAGGGTTTTGGGAGTTGTTCTATTCCAAGCCCAGCCTGCGGCCAGTGATTGGAAAATCAAAAGAAATTAAAGAAATTTACAAGCAATGAGCAAAATGTGTTCTGCGGTGGAAAAATGGGTGTGGATCAGACAGTTGCACCGAGATGACTTGGAGAGAAAGTATGCAAAACACTGCAGTGGTAATTATGGTAATAAATAGTTAACGTGGTAGTTATGGACTTAGAAAAAAAAACATGTGATAAGATAATTGGAAGGGGTGTATGGATGAGCATGTAGGGAGAAGGCTGAATTCAATTCAATTATTTGTAAAATTTGTATGTTGGAAGTAGTGCAAGTGGGGGACAGGTTTCGCATAATTAGAAAGGTGTACCCGAGTTGTGTGAAGTCACAATGGTTATCCAATAATAATTGATAGCATTATGAGGCATCAAATTAATAATGTTAATAGGGAAGTTAACATAAGAGTACAGGTCTAATTCTAATTATAAAAGTACAGTGGAACTTCATAATATCCAAAATATTGTTGCAAACCCCTTTTTGTATTTTCAAAAAAACTTCTAAATTTGAGAATGTCATATCAATAGCCATTTTCTATACCTTAGAGACATAAGCAATTAGAAAATAGCATTTACTACCCAGATAAAAAATTGGTGTTATAATTTTGCTCAAGATGAGCTTGGTTTAACAGCTTCATTACTATACATCTATACGTACTATACGTTATGTACTATACATCTAATATATTATACAAATTCTCTTCTGGGTATGTTCTCAAAATAGAAATGTAAACTCACTCTCACACAAGTAAAAACATATAAAGTGCCCTAAATTAACACAACTATTTGTTAATTATTTACATTAAGGAATAGTGCCACATTTATCTAACCCAAAGTGCCACGTATAACCCTAGGTTATTCATTATGAAGTATATGACCCGTGCACAAGACCACAGCACTGTGAGTACACTTGCAGGGTTTAGCAAACTTGTGTTTACTTACTTCATATATTCTGTTTACACTCTGTGGCATGTTGATGAAGCAAAGCAAAAATTAAAGATTTAAGGTACACAAGAACTACAACGTATACAAATTACATAGCAAGAATATTTACCAGTTTGGACTGAAACAAAATAACTATGCAACTAAACTACACAGATAGATTAGAAGAGGTAAACTATGCAAATATGTAAAAATCATAAATCATTACTACATCTTTTCTTGAAAATATTTTGATTCCCACAAGCTAATAAAACATTGTCAAGCTGGTAAACTAATAATCCTTCATGCCTAACAATTACTTCAGGGACATACCCCAAGATCATCATTATTGAGGAAGGCTTCCTTACTGGCAAGCCAGGAGTTGGCTTGCTCAGTCATCTCTAGGAACACTTGAAGCTGATGAGCTTGGGATAAAACTTTTTGCCGGTCACTCCAATAGACAATAACCTGATGAGAACAAACACAATGAAATATTAATTTAAATAAATATAATATAACATATTTAATATACAAAAGTAATCTGTACATAAGTATTAAGACTTGGTGCATTCAACAAGTTTTATCAATTACAAATTTTAAAAAATGGAAATAAAAGCAAAATGGGAAACCCTATTTTTAACCTTAATTGATACAAGGACTGACGGGCACATTCAACACGAGATCACGTTACTGTTGCAAAATAAGGCTTGTAATAAATAAATGCCACATCAAAGCTCTTATGCCACATGCAAATGCATTAGGAAGATACAGAAAAAATCTTGACTGACTTTCAGATTGTCTACAGTTTTTCTGTTACGTAACAAACAATTACAGCAAAATGTCCATGTATCAATAACATAGGTAGAATACTTTGTGGCAAGATGTAAAATGCTAAGTCCACGACCATTATTACTGTACATGAATGGAACTCAATGGGGTAATAATCATATTAACTAAGCTGACTGATGGATGCTCAGTACTATTACATTTTATAATGACTCGCTAAACAACAGCAACCTTATGAACAAATAAGTGTGGAACAGCAGCAACCTTACCTTGTTCTCTACTTCTGATAATGTTTCAAGGTCTTGTTGAATAGTTTCCTTTGCAAAATGGTTATCAGCAATGAGCTTCTTCCCAAAACGTTGCAAGGCCTTGAAAACGTCTTTGCGACCATCAATTTCTGCCTGAAGAAAAATATTGCATACAGTGTAGCTAATACTGGAACACTGTCAGAAGTTACACACCATCAGCAGGTGTTTCGTCTTTATATTATCATGTCTCAAAAATAGACAAGGCATTAGTAATCCAAAATAAAATATCAAACAAGAAAATTATAAAACAAATGACAGTTTGGAGAAGCTTACATGGAAGACCATTAATGGTGCTGCAATATGAGGAAAGTCAAAGATAGGCCCACAGAAACAATGAACAAAATGACAAGAATAAATACAATATTATTTCAACTTATAAAAATCACGTACAGTGTACAGAGGTACAAAATACTGTACTGCAATAACTAATGTTTACCTTTCTCTCCTGGTGACTCTGGAGCAACATCTCGGCTTCAGCAGTGTTGCTTGGTAATGGTGTTGCATTCATGCGGCTCACAATATCTTCACCCCATCTCTCTAGTTCCCTCAAGTCTGTGTGGAATTTGTGTAATGTATAGGACAAAATCAACTTCTCCTTCCTTCCGTGCGACCCTTCACAAAGTCTCGTCCAAGCCTCCAACACCTCGGCTTGTTTCTCATGGATGGGATCCTTCTTATCTGGGTACTTATTTGCAAGGTTATAAGCATCTTTTTCATGCTGTTTTATCTTCTTTTCAATTGCCGTCATGTCACGAATTATTGTTTCTTGCTTTCTTTGCAAGGTTTCAACCTGGGTGAGGTCTTTACCTGTATCTTCATTTGCTAAGATTACAGCTTTTTCACTAATGCGGTCCTTAGTGTCATCCACATCCCTGTTAAAAGCATGTATTTCCAAGGCTCCTGCCAAGTCAGAACGGTACCTATCAATAGCTCCCTTAAGTGCACGCCACCTGCAAAAAATAATCATTCATAAATAATAATTAATAAAAATAAATGAAAAATAATATAATACAAATAATTAAATAAATAATAATAGTAATAATAACACAAAAATCTCATTAACTTGATTTTATACAAACGAGAAAATCCACTGACTATAGGAGGACACGAACCTATGACCTCAGATTGTCAAGCCGCATACTCTACCACTAGAGTAGGTGACCGGTGGTAGAGTATTCAGCTTGGCAATGCCAAGTTCGTAGGTTCTCATCCACCTCACTGCCCTAGTGGAATTTCCCAATAATAATAATAATAATAATAATAATAATAATAATAATAATTATAATAATAAAACTATGTTGAAACAGGGTTAAAAAAATATCTTTTAGTCAGCAGAAATATCATGCATAACTGCACCCTCAAGGTCATCAGAGCACTCAATCTTACCATCCCCCCTCCCCTGCCTCACCCACATCAACTTTCCCATGGGAATGTTATGTCCTAAGGAGGAGAATCTGTAACTAGCTGCTATCTTATTACTGACAAAACTTTTGTGTTTACCCATCCAACTAGAATCAACAGCCAGTGCCGTTTCAAGTTTACGAATCTGCTCTCCTAACTAACTGCGTCTTTCAATACCAATAAACAAGTTTAGATTATTTTGAGCCTCACTTGTGATTTAATTCACTCTTTCTTTGTTGAACAGCCTTATTGTCACCACAACCCTGCTTGATTATTTTATCTGCCAATTTGTTGATATTTGTGAAGCGTGCATCATCAACACGCATGTCAGAATCCACATCATCCAGCTTACGGTGAAGAGCCATACAGTGTTCGTAGTCCTTTCCAAGATCTCCTACTTGCACCATCATTTCCTATGAAAAAATTGAAAGCAGCATTAATAGTCAATCTCATAATAAAAGTAAGCACACAACTTTATAAAGGTTATACCCTAAATGGCAAGGATACACCAACAACAGGAATGCTATTCAATTTTCTAAAAATATTTGTTTAGGACTTTCTTTTAAGATGGCAATTTATCATAGACAAGATATCTATGATTAATTTATCATAATTCATCATGTGTTATTTTATCGCATGCACGCACACCCTAGGTTTACACCTTTCTCTGACATTCTTATCCTCCCTCAAGACATATTGGTGTACTTCTAGATTTGTGTCAGTTATGTCACTCAACATTAACTCTCAAATGCTCTATTTCCTGTCCAAATACTCATCACGGTATTTAATAATATTTTATCAATTCCATAATACATGTATGCTTATTACTCCACACAGACCCTCTCTTATGTTATTCTATGCTTTCTACAACTCCATAAATGCCATATACATCTTATCATTGTCACCTGCTTTCTCTACTGTATATTTTAAAGAAATTATCCAATCCATAAACTTCTTCCACTAGGGACAATTTTTCATCATTAACTAAATTTGTAATTATCTTCCACAATTTTCTAATAACTTTTTCCCCTCTCCCCCACATACCTTATCCACTAAATTTAGAAGACTAATGCCTCTACAGTTCTTACCCCTCACTACATTACCTAATTTTTAGACAACTCGTTGGCTCATATTATTATATAACTGTACAACTGCAGCCCGTATCCAGTGACGTAGCAAAGTACCATATTTACCTTGTCTCTAATCCATGCATCCACCTTCTCAACTTGAGTATTGAATTCCAGGATATCTTGAGCTTCCTCTAGACCCCGAGAGTGATTCTCAGCATCTAATACGAGCTGTGTCCACCGTTCAACCAAATGGTCCACTTCCTCTTTCACCTGTGCAGATGACTTATGCCGTTGATTTACCAACATCGAGCCTGTTAAGACAATATAACTTTATATATTTAAAAAAATTTTTATAAAGCTCTTGTACCTAATGCTGCAAATGAATGATCATAAAGTACAGCATTACAGCTCTTAATGTATGTTCATTTCAAGTAACAGAAGCAAGAATATAACCAAAAAAAACTTTACCAGGTAGACTTCTGAATAGTCCAGGTCACCCAAGAAAGTACTCCCATGGGGAGAAAAACTTAACTTCCCAAACCAAAAAGTATTTTTTTTACACATGCTTCAGTTCCACTTTGTGGATGACTTAATTTTTCTAGCATCAACATTTTCCTATTTAATAAAATTATTTTTCTTCTTTATATATTTTCTCTTTTACATGCATCTCTACCATGTTTGTGTTCTTTTACATGTTCTAACTCACATTAGTAAATGCTTCACTTCCACGTGAGCTAAATTAAAATGAAATTTAAGATACTCGGGTACTGTCTAACCTGGGAACCCCCAATGCTTTGAGGCATGGTGGCCTCTGCCCTCCTGCCAAACACACGACCAAACTACGACATTGCTACAACGTTAGAACAAATTTTAACACAATTTTAACAACCAATATAGCAAGTGTTAATGTTTTAATACCTCATAAAAATGTTACAACAAGATGTAACTTTATTACAAGTTGTAACAAGGGAATCATAGGGGACCAATACATTGAGTGTTTCTTGAGGTTATCTTGAGACTATTTCAGGGCTTAGTGTCCCTGCGGCCCGGTCCTCGACCAGGTCTCCTCCTTTTTGTTACATATCCCTAGGAAACAGCCTGTAGCAGCTGTCTAACTCCCAGGTACCTATTGACTGCTAGGTGAACAGGTGCATCAGGGTGAAAGAAACTCTGCCCATTTGTTTCCGCCTCTGCCGGAGATCGAACTTGGAACCTTAGGACTACGAATACTGAGCGCTGTCCACTCGGCCATCAGCCCCCCTCCCCGCAATTAAATTTTAGTTTGACTAAAGTTGTATGAAGTGTAACTGATCTTATAATATTATATTGATATTTATTCCACTAAACAAAGGGAAGACAGACAGACATACAATGGAGAAGGATTGGGAGAAAGCAGGCAGAGAAAGACCAATACTACACCTTTCGTCATAATTAGTAACACTATTGTACACCAAAAGACAATTCTAATACTATCATTACATCAATATATAAATATTATAAACTTGTTTATCTGCTCATACCTTTCTCTGTTATCTCCTTTATGCTGCACTCATGAGCCTGAAGTTCAGCCATGAATGCCTGATGCTTCTGAAGTTTCCTCACTTTGTCTTCAAAGCTCGTCACCTCTCCTTTCAGACGCTCTGCTTCCAGGTGGCTGGCCTTCTCATCAATCCACATGTTTGCATCACTGACATCTCTAATAAACTGTGCGTAGAGATGAGCATCTTTTAACTGATGTTTTCGAGCCCTGAGAAATAGAAACAAAAACTAAGAAAATGCCACAAATGCTAATGGAATTAATATAGTCATGGCAATTATTTTCAAAGTTCATTGCCTCTAGAGCAAAATCTGCCTTTTTAATACCATTACCATAAAGCAATTAAAACTGACAAATTTGTCCGTCTTACTTGGTACTTTCCTTGACCCTGGCCCGTCTCATCACGACCTCATCGATACGCTTCTTTATGTGAGGAGAGTCAAAGTGGTTCTGTTCAACAAGCTTTGATCCGTGGTTTTTCAAAGTTTCTAACTTCTCATCTTGAGCATATACCAGTTTCTCAAAGGCATCATGCTTCTTTACCTATAACAAAATAATTTTCATTAATTTATACTATTAATAAAGTAATAAATGGTATAATGCACAAAAATGTGTGTTTTAGTTTCTATGTAAGACACCTTTTTAAACAATCATTTATCTGCTCCCAAAGATCTTGTGGTCTTAAAACAAGATCATATATATATTAAGGCAGGGGAAAACATTCCGGAGTGAGAACCACAAAGAACTCTTCAACCAGTCCCCACATATTTTGCTTTACACATATTCCAGTGCGAGCCCCAAGCCTCTGAATGGCCAACTAAGTATTATCGTAAGTGTTAAAAGGCAATGAATATTGTAATCAATACAGGTCAGATTGACCTGTATTGAAAGACAAACATTATTTTCACGAAACTCAAAACGAAAGTCCATTAAATCATCCCTCTGCACCATGAATTATTGCCAAGGGTGGGCTTTTGTTAATTAGTACCAGATGGCCTGCTTGGCTACCTTGGCTGACCATCCAGAGGAAGCACAGTAGAGGAACTGACAGGATAAAGACAGGTTATTTAGAATGAAAGGTACACAAACAGTGGAACATAGATGTAAACTTGGTACCCAAGTAAGTCACAGACATATTTGAAAGACGTTTTTCAGTGTCAGTAGTGCACAAATGAAATGCACTAAAAAGTGATATGGCAAAGGCAAACGTCACGCAATTTCAAATATAGTTATGATACAGCCCAACAGGTTTGGGAACTTGAACACCAGTTGACTGGCAGTTGAGAGGCAAGACCAAACAGCTGAAGCTCGACCCCAGCAAGCACAACTAGGCAAGTACTCACCTCTGTCCTCCAGACTCGAGCCAGTACTTCCTAACAAGGAACCGACTTGGCACACATAGGGAGCACGGCAGCAAAGAAGGTATATGCTTAAAAATGTGCTTTTCACATTAACTTAATGCCTTCTTTCCTAACAATCACAAACTCCTCCCTAAGGTTAGGGTCTATACAGTGAAGAAACAACTTGCCCATCTGAAGCCACCAACATGAGACCCAGGTAAGATAACTTGGGAGTTACCTTTTTCCCCAGAAAAACTGGGCTCCAGAAGACATGTGCCCAAAAACTTTGAATGAACTTATTTAATTCTTCTTGAGGAGGAAGAATTAAATACATGTAGCAGAGCAATTACTGGACAAGTAATTGAGAAAGTTGAAGACAGACATGGAATAATGCTCAATGGTAAAGAGGAGATGAGTAGTAGATGGTGAGAACACTTTGAATCTAAAGAGTGAAAGTGATAATACCTTTTGAATATGAAAGGATATGACTGTTGGTTAGATGTGTGAAAGATTGAATGAGCCTATATGCCTAATGAAGAGATGATTACATTAATAAAGAAACAGAAATGTATGAAAGCAGGTGTTGAGGATGAGACTTTTTTAAATATTGTATAGAAAAAGAAACAGTGGGAGTGGGCAATTTGCCAGAAGGCAAGGAATAGTGATAATGTGCCAGAGGATTAAAAAATAGCAACAATTGCACCACAGTCTAAATTTAAAATAATGTACTTCACTATGAGCCTAACATTGAGACAAATTGAGAGGCTTTCAAGCCATATAGAAATTGAACATGGCTTTTACTTTTTTTTTCAATTTCCAGACTTTTTGTAAAGTACTGTACAAACTTTCGATATTTTCTAACCCAGAAACTTCCAAAGATATTACTGACATCTTCAATATTATAAAAAATCACATTCAGGTCTCCAAGTTAAGTCGATCATCCCAACATATCTGTCCTGATCCATTAAGTGGATCTTCCGTTCACTTAAAGTACTGAAAAATATTTAATAGTAATATTACTACACGAGTTGTACATACCCATTCAGTTGTACATAAATACCCATTCTGTAAACTTGTATACTAACCTGAGCATCAACTTGTTCAATAGTTGTTCCAAAATCCGCAGATGAGAGCGCAGCTTCCTGTGTACTGCTTATTGTGTCAAGCTGTTTGGCATCTCTCAAGAAGAATTGCAGGTCAATCAACTGATCAAGATATACCTTCTTATGTTGCCAGGCTGCATGAAGTTTGTTTCGCTCATCGAGAACCTGCATTTTAAACGATACATAATCAGGGACAAATATTCTTATAAACAAAAGGTGATTGCAATTATGTGGACGTTTACTTACACAAATGTAATGAACGAAGTCCAAATACTTAAAAACAACATTGTTTATAGATCCATTCAAAACCAACATTGTGATAGTATTAGACATTTGAGTATTAAATAAAATTTGATTTAGGGGGTAAATACATGATAAAATAGTTAAGCAAAAGAAATACAGTAACCATACCTGGAAACTGTAACCCTTTTTATTCCAGGTTGTTGACATCAAACAATGTAAAGAATTGTATACAGAAATAGAGCCAAAATTTTCTCCTTAGAGGGATGGAATAAGAGTGCTATCAACCTGTGTATCTTTCACTGAATGGTGCAATTTTTATTTCACCTGTACAGGCAGCTCTCTATTTCCACTTCACACTTCTCAAAGCCCAGGTAAAGCAAAAACCACCATGAGCATTGAAATGCCACTTTCCATCACATTCCAAATTTGCTCCAATTCTCTTCCACTTTGTCCCGACTTACCTGAGCCATTAGGGTATTTTGGGCTTCAAGTGAGCTTGCCGACCCTGCCCGATTATAGTCGATATTAGGCAGTATTATCATGCTGTCATCTAATGATAATCTTGGGCAATTGCTAGTGGCACTTCAGTAGTTTTAAAGTGGAAAAGTATTTGGGTTCGCCCGTGAAGCTAAGGTTTCGCTTCCATGAAGCATGGAGATCTTTGTATGCAGCTTTGTATCAAAGTTTTCTCAGTGGTAAAAAGAATTCTCTAGATCACAAATTATGTCACAGAGTATCTTCATTCTGTTATCTGATACTTGGCTATGCCTCACTCTTCCATAGTCAATGTTAGATAGAAGCACCCCACATGTATTCCCCTTTAATCTCTCAAATTATCCCCATTCTCTGTTTTGCGGCACAATTTTCCTTTGTACAGTATATGTTAACTGGAACTATACTTTAACATTTTTGAGATATCTTTCATGAGAATTTCAGTTTCACATGAGAGTTTTTGACTCCTACGTGTCACCGATTTTAGCCAGTTTGCAACATCCGTCAGAAAAAATGTAAACTAAACATTTGCCCTTCCAGAAACAGGTGTTAGCAGTAACTGTTTTGCAGGATGTATTTAAGTACCATGATAGATACAGCTGTTTTTTATGGAGATGTGTGTGATGCTGTGCTATACTTTTATGTTGTTCATTGCCTAATTAAATAAAAGCCTTGACAAGTATTATTTTTTTGAATATGGCAACATGCAGTGCTGCTAAATGTCACTATCAGAATAAAGCATACAGCAGACTTTAGAGACAACTTTAGGATTCAGAAAATAGTCAAATATACAGACATGTATATACATATATATATATATACTTTTCTACAAAAGTTGACAAAAGTTTAACATAGCAGTAAAAGATAATTTTTTATTGTTCAAGCAATGTCTAATGCTCAAACATGGCAGCAAAATCAACAAACCTTATTATACTGATGTAGCAGGTTTCAAGGAATTAACAGTGTAGTTACAGCTAAATAAGTTAAATTACGGAGAGAGAGAGAGAGAGAAATAAAAAACGAGTGCAGCGCTGCTTTACCTTATTCACCCTCTCCTCAACTTCAACACATGCATAGTGCCGGTCCTCTACCATATTACCACCAGCTTCAACCACTTTGCTGAACTCATCCTCTCGAGCCTCTATTTCAGCCTTGATGCGTTCGTGTTCGGTCTTCAAACCCTGAGCGCTTGCAGCATCTCGGACTTTCTCCTCGGCCTTCATGGTTGTTCTTAAGTCGCTTGACCAGCTGAGTAGGTCCCGAGACTGTCGAAGAGTTACTAGTACACCATTTCATATTTATGCCAAATTATACTTCTATTGTTTGAATTGTTTTTTTTAAAGAATGAAAAGCTGAAGGATAGTGGAGAGAGGCAATGAGGAAAGGTGAAACGAAAAAGGGGAAGGAAAAAGATGGGACAGGAATGATATTGTAAAGGAAGAAGAAAAAAAAGTAAAACAAAAAGGTAAGGCAACAGTTAAAAATAGGGAAGTGAGAGAGAGAAGGTAAAAGACAACAAAAATATGGTAAAGTGAGGAAAGAATAAAAGGAGGGGAGGAAGGAAAATGCAAAAGGGTAAACAAAGAGATGCCAATAAAATATAATGAAGAGGTGGGCAGAAGAGAACAGAATTACTTTAGGATAAAGAAGGAATGATGAATATATACAATAAGGAAGAAATACCATGAGTAACGGAGAAGGAAGCTAGGAATGCATGTAAGGATCTTTGGATACCAGTATTTAAACAGTTCATATCAAAAAGCAAAATAGGGTTTTGTCCAGTGCTGAATATAACTTAAAACACCCAAAGAACTTGTTATTTTTCATATTTAATGAAATATTTAATGAAACTTGACATCTCAACTTAGCAAAAACAAAATATTTTGACACTAGACAATATCTCAATTTATTTACATCAGCCAAGAACCTCTGAAGATCCGCTGCAGCATGAAGTTGATCCTTCCTTCTTGAAGCTCTCTCCTGGAGCATGTTCCAGTTATCAACCACAAGTGTTTGTTGCTCCGCTATGTGCTCGGCGTTGCTGCCGGGGTAAGTTGCCTGGAGTCTCGCAGAGTCGTCAACCAGAACCTGATTGTCAAACATGTATTATTATACAATCACTACAATTAATACGCACAACATGATTAATAGGGATGAAAAAACTGAAGAATTTCACCAATGGCAACCAGAGAACTACATGACTGCTGGGTTAGAGGGCAACAGGCAAAGAATACTACAAAAATCCAAAGATGTTCATGCAGAAGATTGAGACCACAACAATCCAGGACAGTATCGTGAGGACAATATCAAAGATCTATACTGTATACAACTACAGAGTTCCTAAATTTACACTTGCATATTGTATTCTACTACCCCCCTATATAATGTAAAGTATGTCATTATATATATTGTCAATAATATATGTATACTGTATATTTATTGTACCTGTAACTGTGCTTCCAAGGCCACCAGATCATTTTCAAAGCCTTCATGCTTCCTCAATAATGACTGTACAGAGTTGACATCACGGCCAAGATCATCTGATATCGACTTGTACTTTTCTTGAATTCGAGCCAATGCCTCGGCAACGTCACGATTAAAGCGATGAATTTCTCCAGCAGCTTCCAACTTTTGGTCTCTGGCTTCAATATGTTCTAGAAGACTATTCCATGCAGCCCTGGATTTAATGTAATTGTTGTAAGTTTAATGCACAAAAAGAAAGCATTCTACCTAACAAACTTTAAAGATTTGTCTGAGGTAAAGGTCCACACACAATTTTGTCAAATTCAATTTATTTTTAAACCCAAGTCCTTACTTAAAGAAGAAATCTGGTTAAGCAAATAAAACAATCAGACAGAGCTAGAAATCAAGAAGACCTTACCGCACTTGTTTGTGGTAGGCAGTCACTTGGCTGGCTGGATCTTGGCTTTTAGTGGGAGAAGAAGACGGACTTCCCTTACTGCTAGCAGAAGGGCAGACAGAGGTTAGTAGAGTCCAAGAGATATCCCAAGTTACCATTATTGAATGTTAAGATGCCAAAAGAAGAACCCCCTACCAGTTAGTGTATCCCAAACAATAAATACTATTACATGGTATTTCAAACGTACATTTGTTTCATTACACTAAACTCAAAAAATTAATTATTCTATAAATCCATTTAATCTATTTGAAATTTATATCATGTACATATTATATCAATATACAAATGTACTTATAATAGTAGTCTCCATTATACAGTATGTTTAGTGTGAAATATAGTGTGAGGAAGTGAAGCAGAAGAGAGGTGCTGGAAGGAAAGGTGGGAATAGAAAACGAGAAAAAGGGAAGACAAAAAGCAGGAAGATAGGGGGTACAAAAAGTGGGAAGAGGAGAAAGGCATGGTTAGGCAATATGGCAAAGGTAGTAATGAAGGTGGGGATGATTCTAGGAAAAAGGGGAGAGGGGGAAGGGTTGAGGGGAGGGAGCATTATCAGAGGGGAATTGTTTGCAGGAGATGACCTTGAGGGGGAGGGGGGGGGGGGCGAGTCCAAGTTGGTTGGTGAAGGGATGATGGAAGGGTGAAGGGATGGAAGGGTGAAGGGATGGTGGTGGTGCAGGGATGGTGGGGGGGGGCCTCAGAGATGGTGGGGGGGGGGGCCTCAGAGATGGTGGGGGGTGCAGGGATGGTGGGGGGGTGCAGGGATGGTGGGGGGGGACACAGGGATAGGGAAAGAGCAGATATGGGAGAAAGAAGAACCAGGTAGGAGTAAGAAAGGGCATTAAGGTTGGTGTCATAATACCCAGATGGTTTGCTTTTACTCTATTGCCTTTCTGGACATCTTTTTTGTCCCCCTCACAAATTTCATTACTGACGTTTCTTAGTACTGTATTACTGTAATCTCTAAAGTCATTTTTTTTACCCAAACTCTTAGCTTAAGGTAATGTAGTACAGTGTTGCACAATTTTCAAACTTGTGTTGTCAGCAAACTTGTGAATGTTATTCACAAATCCAAAACAAAGAAAAATCTTGCCAGAATTTACATGACAGTTTCCATTATCTTCACTTTTTCCCATCATTATGACCGATGCCATTTATTACATATTTTTGCCTAGTCTCCACATATTCCCAGTAATTCTAGCCTGCATCTTTATTTTTATCTTTTTTTGTGTATAGTTTCAAAACCAATTTATCAGGTTAAAAGATGCATTTCAGCCAGCCCTCTCCCATCTTGGTATCAGTGTCAGGTATGTCAGTGACAACCTGTCTACTTTAAATCTGTTCTCTCTCTCTCTCTCTCTCTTGCTATATATAACAAACTTTGTTCTTCACAGTCTTATTTTTTCCAGATTTTAACAAGGAATGCTCATTTGACAATAGTTTACAGCCATCAGTCATTTATTCAACAAAATTACAGTACTGTATTATGTTAGCAGTATTCTAGATATTCAGGAGCTTCTCACTTGCTTATGTAGCATTATAGATGAATTAACCGATTACCAAGTATCCCCATTTCCTCCTCTAGTAGCCACGATAATATGTGGTCTGGTTCCATTGCCTTGTTATTGGTACGTTTATTTTGACGAGGGTCCTGTTGCACATGGTAACAGAAGTCGGGTCACAGCTGAAAGGTACCGGGTTCATTTCCTGTGGTAAAACAAGCATTTGGGCACGATTTCCTTTCATTTGATGCCTCTATTCACCTAACAGTAAACAGATACCCTAGCATTAGGCAAGGGTTATCTACTGCCAAAAATATGCCCAACACAGCTCAGACATGCACAACATGTTCAGAGATGAAGTTGGGAACACAGTTTAATGATAAACTAATTTTATGTTTATTAATACATAAAGATATTTATGAAAAATACAGATCATCTGATTAGTGATTACTTAGTATGCATTTGTATTCTTTATAAAGTCATTAATCACACACAACTGACGTAGATACCTATGCTCTCAGTTTCATAAGGAGCATAAAAACTGAGCAAGAGCAAGGAAGAGGAAGGAATGGGGGAAAAGACGAAGTTCACATACTATAAATATAAAGGAGACTACAGTAAAGAATATACTTTATTTTTAAAACCATATTACAAAAATATACATAATTATCAGTATTGTCAAATGTATGTGGATTTGGAGTGTAAAGTATGTGTTGGGTGTGTGTGTGTGTAATTACCTAAGTGTAATTACCTAAGTGTAGTTACAGGATGAGAGCTACGCTCGTGGTGTCCCGTCTTCCCAGCACTCTTTGTCATATAACGCTTTGAAACTACTGACGGTCTTGGCCTCCACCACCTTCTCACTTAACTTGTTCCAACCGTCTACCACTCTATTTGCGAAGGTGAATTTTCTTATATTTCTTCGGCGTGTGAGTGAGATTTTCTACTTTTAATTACTTAGTGTTGCTAGAGAATTAAAGCTATGTTTCATGATGCTTTATAATCTCTTGCAAGGCATTTACAAGCTTCTGATGGTTTTGGCATCAACCACCCCTCTTCCCTCAAGTTTTTCCAACCACTGACAACTCTGTTCGCAAACAGAATTTCCAGAAATCTTTCCAGCACATCTGTTTTCTCCACTTGAATCAAAGATGCTTTGCTTTTTGCAGTTACACCTTTCAAAAACATCCCCTCTTGCAACTGTGTATTCCTCTCATGATTTGGTATTATCATACTGCCTCTTCTACTAATTTTGGTATATTTAATTCCTCCAGCCTACCTTCGTCATTTTTTCTTTTAGATGGAAATGGAAAACCCTTTAGTTGCATGTCTGCACCTTTTCTAGTTGATGTGCTTTGAGATATACGCAGACACCATACAATTGCTGCATATTCTAATTTCAGTCTTGCAAATATTAAAAACAATTTCTCCCACTTTTTCCTATTCAAATATTATCCCCCAGTTTTATATTCATTTCTTCCTACCATCTCTTATAGATACAGTACGCGTTTGTTAATTTATGCTTCCCGATGGCACCACTTGCAAAACTATCTCATTCACAATTTTCGTTTAACAAAAAAATTCCTAGAGCTCCTCCAATATTACTGCAGGGACGACGACTTGTGTGTGAATACACCTTGTTGAACTAGTATGTGCCGAGTCTAGCATTAGTTCATTAGCCTTGCCTTTACATGTCCTTGGCAGTTTATGCCATGACTTTTCTTCCTCGTTTCTCATATTTCCTTCTGAAAGTGGCTTATAAAATTTGCTTCAAAAATGTTTTAGCATGAAGAGTTGCAAGGGAAGATTTTTCTAGACACCTCTTCAACCTTTTTTTGTCGAAAATAAGAATTCTCCATGGCATTTTGTACGTTATATTTTTCAATTCACATTTTCTCCAGTGCTGAGAGTTTGAGCTCGAGCTCACTTGGGTCTTTCATTGTAGGCAGCATCAATCAGCACTGGGACAAGTCTATGTGACTTGTCCCTGCTTATTCTTTACTTTTTATTTAATGATTTAACAGGTATGGGTTTAATGCCAGTGCTGCATACTCACAAGTTTATCTTGTACATGTTTCACTCTCTAGGTTTCTGGAGGGTATCTTCATAATATCTAGTTTGGCATATGCTACAGACACTTCTATAATGCATTCCTCCATTTTTATGTTTTAAACATGCCCTTAAAATCTGTCTCGTTGCTTCTGGATGATGCTTCCCTTTCAGCCTGTTCCTTGTGTGTGGTATGATGTGTCTTGTAAGAGGTAGGCGTGTGTTGTGTGAGAGGCCGTAAGTGTATGTGTGCGCAGAAGTTTGTATACATATGTATGTAGATGTTTGTGTAAATGCATGTGTGCATTCTTGCTGGTGCAAGCATGCATTGTTGCTGGTGCAAGCATGCAGTCTTGCTGGTGCATGCATACAGGTGCATGCCGATTTCTGCACATATTCACAACTCGGCACATTTGCGTGCATGCGAGACAAGTGTGTGCATACGAGCATGCTTAGGTAATGAAGCCATAAATTAATGCTTGCTTTATAGATTAACCCTAAATTTCACACTGACTAGTGTTTATTAAGTTAACAGTGATTTCATTCCACACCAACATGTGCATCTAACCATGCTTCACAGTTACACTGCAGTAAAAAGTGGTTACTAAATTATCATGCAACTTGGGGGAAAAAATAAAACTGATGCATAGTTTAAATATCCATGCAGATACACAAGAACGTCACTAAAATAAGCAGGAGTTTTCCTTACTTCTGAAATATTAATGCAAATCACTATTCCAAACCCGACAAAATTTAACAAGAAACTCTAGTACTAGTCCACACCACCATGTTGTAGTGTAAATAGTTTCAGTTTATAACGGTTCTTCGTAAAATATACTTCAATGTAACGATATACAATTTAATATATGGGAGGAAAAGCAAATTGCATTTAATGCAATATTCTTCCTATATGTAATGATCAAGTTCACCATTAATCTGAATATGAGGGTTGACTTTCTACAATTTTCAACCGAAGAAAATTTATCAAGCTATGTCAACTATTATTTTCCTGAATTTCATTCGAGCTTGTTGCATAAATGCACTATATCCCATTCATTTCCTTCCTTTATTTCGTCTTGGAATTGTAACACTCAATTTATCCCTAATTCTATCCTCTAAACAATCGGTAAATTTCCAATTTAAATTTAGTTAATGAATGTTGGTATACAAACTGCAAAGCATGCCTTAAAACTGTGCTTAGGTTTTATACAATCTCAATACTAACTACCACAATACAAAGGCATCATTTATATACTGCATGTGTGGCACTGTATTAACCTCGACTGATTATCTACTAAATGCTTTCAAATATTGTACACTATGGTTTCCCATGCAATATGGATTGTTTAATGTTGATGTGTTGTAATAATCAAATTTATTTTCCTCAAATACAGTATACTGTCATCTATAACAATTTCGATCTGTATAGAGAACATAACACCCACTGGAGTCGTACACCATTAATTCCATATAATGAACTGAAGAGGGACGGGAACATTCTTGCCCTAACTGGTTCTACATTAAATCAGGACAAGACCCACCTCAAGGACTATTGTCACACTAACACCTTCAGTGTATATCATCACCTGTGTTTAAGGTTGCATTTCATGAGAGCTCAAGGAATCATTTGTGGGATTTGTTGACCTGCTGCCAGCCTCCCCGTTCTCTCTCATAACAATGTCAGGGAGAACAATGTTCTCCCTGAACAATGTTTTTTAACAACACCCACTAGGTGATACTGTGTGGGCCCGCTCTTCATCATCTCTAGTACCTTTCCTTCATCCTCTACCTTATGTAATGTATCATTCCAACACACCAACATCTTTCTTCTGCAGCAAAAGTAACAAAACAAAATCCAGACTAACTTCTTACAAAAATATTCAGGAATATAAACACACATATTGCAAACAAAGATTTTTACCTTAATTGTTCCTGTTTTCTTTCAATTTCAGAGGCATAGGGGCTTTCATTGGCAATAAGCTTCTTGGCCAGTTCATCACATTGATTAAAGCGTTCTGACCCTGCCTCAACACGATGCTTAAAATCGTCAAACTTAGCCTGAAGCAGCTGTGAAAAAAAAAAATAGTTATATGCATACTGTAACAAATATATATAGAAACAACAACTATGCCACTGCCAGAGAAACCTAGCTGAATGGTTGTCTGGAAAAAAACAATCAAATTGCCACAGGGGATATCAGACAATATCAAACTGCCAATCCATGGGGAATACAGGTCATCTATTGTGAAGTGCAAGCACAATAAAGGGAATGTATGTATCATGAATCATATCTGTGAGGAATGAATGGCCCTTAAAATTGTTAAATTTATTTAGAGGTATAATTTATTTTCCTAGCCAGTATTTAATATTCTGGACATCAATCCTAACTCTTTCAAAATATTACAAAGTATTAAATTTACAGAACTCTTGCGAACATCCATTACTCATGTGTGGAATTCCTCGGTGCATTCTAAGTTACCCCCTGAACAAAGCAGAATTCCCAAAGTAAAAGGATACCGATACAAACATGTATAGATGAACTAACCAACAAATGCTCGTAGTCTTGGCCAAAGTCCTCCGAGGTTGCTGTTTGCATTTGTTCATTTATCCACTTCTCCAAGTCCTCAGCCTCCCTGAAGTATTCATGGCGGTACATAGACTCCATTAGCTTTTGCCGAAGATGGGCAGATAATTTTTGAAGATCTTTCAGTTCCTGGTTTAGCACCTTAAAAATACATAATATATATTACATACACAAACAGTACAGCATAAAAAAAGTAAATGCTAAACTTATTATTCACTTTAGATATATTTCCTGGGGTAGGGAAGTACTTGGCCTTAGTGGAGATAAGAGACGATTACCTTTAGACCAATATCCTCCCATTTTATCACAAGTAAAACCAATTTGTTTGAAATATTAGTAGGTGGGTGAAGGGCATGACACTTCCCTCCACCAATGAGGATTTAATAATTAAGCACATCATTTATCACTACTGTATAGTATTATTGTATCAAATAATGTGCATATGAATCAAGCCATTTCTGATAGAAAATATATTTGTTGTCTTTGAATATTACAAAAGAAAAAAATTAATTCTAGACCTTGTCACCAATTTCTTAGACACAAATTAATAGTAATGCCATTATAATTATCATCTACCTGTTGTCTGTCCTTAATCAATTTAGATTCTGGGTGGCTGGATTTGATCATCGAGTCTGCCATCGTTCCCATCTCCTTCACAATACCACCATAGGTGTCAATTTCCAACTCCAAAGCCTGCAAAAATTAAATGTGTGTTAAAACAAAGAGTCACTCAAGTCACAGGTATAGAAAATCCTTCTACCTTGTACCTTTTAACCCTTACTCCATTTTGATTTACAAGGAACAGGCCCATTAGCCCTCTCATGAGAGTGTGGTGCACAACTGACATTTAGTGCAAAGTACTTATGGCCACTATTAGTAATTACCTAAGTGTAATTACCTAAGTGTAGTTACAGGATGAGAGCTACGCTCGTGGTGTCCCGTCTTCCCAGCACTCTTTGTCATATAACGCTTTGAAACTACTGACGGTCTTGGCCTCCACCACCTTCTCACTTAACTTGTTCCAACCGTCTACCACTCTATTTGCGAAGGTGAATTTTCTTATATTTCTTCGGCATCTGTGTTTAGCTAGTTTAAATCTATGACCTCTTGTTCTTGAAATTCCAGGTCTCAGGAAGTCTTCCCTGTCGATTTTATCAATTCCTGTTACTATTTTGTATGTAGTGATCATATCACCTCTTTTTCTTCTGTCTTCTAGTTTTGGCATATTTAATGCTTCTAACCTCTCCTCGTAGCTCTTGCCCTTCAGTTCTGGGAGCCACTTAGTAGCATGTCTTTGCACCTTTTCCAGTTTGTTGATGTGCTTCTTAAGATATGGGCACCACACAACAGCTGCATATTCTAGCTTTGGCCTAACAAAAGTCATGAACAATTTCTTTAGTATATCGCCATCCATGTATTTAAATGCAATTCTGAAGTTAGAAAGCATAGCATAGGCTCCTTGCACAATATTCTTTATGTGGTCCTCAGGTGATAGTTTTCTATCTAGAACCACTCCTAGATCTCTTTCTTTATCAGAATTCTTTAAAGATTTCTCACATAATATATAGGTTGTGTGGGGTCTATGTTCTCCTATTCCACATTCCATAACATGACATTTATTAACATTAAATTCCATTTGCCAAGTGGTGCTCCATATACTTATTTTGTCCAGGTCTTTTTGAAGGGCATGACAGTCATCTAAATTTCTTATCCTTCCTATTATCTTAGCATCATCAGCAAACATGTTCATATAATTCTGTATACCAACTGGTAGATCATTTATGTACACAATAAACATCACTGGTGCAAGAACTGAACCCTGTGGTACTCCACTTGTGACATTTCTCCATTCTGATACATTGCCTCTGATTACTGCCCTCATTTTTCTATCAGTCAGAAAATTTTTCATCCATGATAGAAGCTTACCTGTCACCCCTCCAATATTTTCCAGTTTCCAGAACAACCTCTTATGTGGAACTCTGTCAAAAGCCTTTTTTAGGTCCAGATAGATGCAGTCAACCCAACCATCTCTTTCCTGTAATATCTCTGTGGCTCGATCATAGAAACTGAGTAAATTCGATACACAGGATCTTCCAGATCGAAAACCATACTGTCTGTCTGATATTATATCATTTCTCTCTAGGTGTTCTACCCATTTAGTTTTGATTAGTTTTTCCAATACTTTCACTATTACACTTGTCAATGATACAGGTCTATAATTGAGGGGGTCTTCCCTGCTGCCACTTTTGTAGATTGGAACTATGTTAGCCTGTTTCCACCCGTCTGCTACGATTCCTGTACACAGGGATGCCTGAAAGATCAGGTTGTTGACCTACCTGTGCCTATAATTATTACAAGGAGCATCATCAGACTCATGGGGCCCCCATCACCTAGATATTGCTACAAGGTCCTTAATAGTAGCTTTATATTCAAGTATTATTGTACATGCCTGGAAACTGTGGATCGAGGTGGCACCCGTGACTCTCAAAATCCTACTTCATAACCACATTACTACATAGAATATATAGATACTGTTTACATCTCTGAATCATTTGTTCCTAACATACACCCATGTTCTCTAATCCAGTTATTCCAGAGGTGTATAATAACAATATTTTGATCAACGCCAATATTGGCTTATTACCAGACACCAATACACCGGTACACCTCTAATTCCAATCTACTTTACTAAGGTATTTACATCAGTATTTGTGTATACTTTCAATCATGTTCTCTCTTATCTCTTAGGGTTCTTCAGTTTGGCTTCTTAACCCCTCTTCAAAAATGATGCTTTATTTCAGGAACCAATTACATTGCAAGTCCAGAGGTTTCACTATCTTTTAATACTGTACTTTAGAAAATGGTTCCATACCTTGAGGCTACCTTGAGGTGCTTCCGGGGCTTAGTGTCCCCGCGGCCCGGTCGTCGACCAGGCCTCCTGGTTGCTGGACTGATCAACCAGGCTGTTAGACGCGGCTGCTCGCAGCCTGACGTATGAGTCACAGCCTGGTTGATCAGGTATCCTTTGGAGGTGCTTATCCAGTTCTCTCTTGAACACTGAGGGGTTTGCCAGTTATGCCCCTTATGTGTAGTGGAAGCGTGTTGAACAGTCTCGGGCCTCTGATGTTGATAGAGTTCTCTCTCAGAGTACCTGTTGCACCTCTGTTTTTCAACGGGGGTATTCTGCACATCCTGCCATGTCTTCTGGTCTCATGTGGTGTTATTTCTGTGTGCAGGTTTGGGACCAGCCCTTCAATTATTTTCCACGTGTAAATTATTATGTATCTCTCCCGCCTGCGCTCAAGGGAGTACAGATTTAGGCTCTTTAGTCGGTCCCAGTAATTTAGATGTTTTACTGAGTGGATTCTAGCAGTAAAGGATCTCTGCACGCTCTCTAGGTCAGCAATTTCTCCAGCTTTGAAAGGGGCTGTCATTGTGCAGCAGTACTCCACTCTAGATAGCACAAGCGTTTTGAAAAGTATCATCATCGGTATAGCATCTCTAGTGTGAAAAGTTCTTGTTATCCAACCTGTCATTTTTCTTGCAGTTGTGACGGCTACTTTATTGTGTTCTTTAAAGGTAAGGTCTTCCGACATGAGTACACCCAGGTCCTTTACATTGCCTTTTCGTTCTATGTTATGATTTGCCTGCGTTTTGTACGTGGTTCCTGTTTTTATGTTTTCAATTTTTCCGTAGCGCATGAGCTGAAACTTATCCTCGTTGAATACCATATTATTTTCTGTAGCCCATAGAAAGACCTGATCTACATCTGATTGGAGGTTTGCCGTGTCCTCTATGTTGCCAACTCTCATGAAAATCCTAGTGTCATCTGCAAAGGATGATACAGTGCTATAGGTTGTGTTCTGGTCTATGTCCGATATGAGGATGAGAAAAAGTACTGGAGCAAGCACAGTACCCTGGGGGACTGAGCTCTTCACGGTTGATGGGCTGGATTTTATTTTGTTGACTATTACACATTGGGTTCTGTCAGTCAGGAAATTGTAGATCCATCTGCCTATTTTCCCGGTAATTCCTTTTGAACGCATTTTATGTGCAATAACACCATGGTCACATTTATCAAAAGCTTTTGCGAAATCTGTGTAAATTACATCAGCATTTTGTTTGTCTTCCATAGCATCTAATGCCATATCATAGTGGTCCAGCAACTGCGACAGGCAAGAGCGCCCTGTTCTGAAACCATGTTGTCCGGGGTTATGGAGATGCTGTGATTCCATGTATTTTGTGATCTTACTTCTTAGCACTCTCTCAAAAATTTTTATGATGTGCGATGTTAGTGCTATCGGTCTGTAATTTTTTGCCTCTGCCTTATTTCCTCCTTTATGGAGTGGTGCTATCTCTGCTGTTTTTAGTATGTCAGGGATAACGCCAGTATCTAGGCTTTGTCTCCACAGAATGTGAAGGGCCTGCGATAGTGGTTTTTTACAGTTCTTGATGAATATGGAGTTGTACATACACTCAGGTTGAACCTATTATCTTAAGTAAGTTCTCTGTCATTTTGATATATACTGCTGATATACCGTATATATAGGGTACCACCTCTGGTACAATTGTGGCACCCCAAGTCTCAAAATAATAGGGATTCAGAAGAAGACCATGAGAAGACCAAGTGATAAGTAATAAACGAGAGCTGTGAGAAAAGAAAAAAAATTTGCATTCTACTTTATCAGCTTTAACCCTTATCAAGGACGGGTGTGAGTAAAATAGCTGAAGGCATAGCTTCACTACCTGTTTTTATCTCGCAGCTTTACTAGTATCAGTTACTAGTCAGTGAGAAACGTGTTTCTTCTTAATTTTTATTAAGAGTCGAGTTCATTCATAATTTGTACAGTGCTGCTAAAATTATCTTTATAGAGATTTGCCTTTAAAGATAGAAATATTGTAACTGAAGTAAACTGTTTTCATCTAACCAATACTATGATTTAAATTAAAGTATTCAATATAAACAAAATTAAATAATCCAAACCATTACAATATTTAAACATTATTTCAGACAATATTTTCTATACAAGAATGTTTAAAACCAATAGCAGGAGATTTCTTACTGGATGTCCACAGGAAATATGACCAGAGGAAGAGAACGAAAAAGAAACTGTGCAAGCAAGACATGCACCAAGGGCATGAACAAAATACAGTATACACCACTCTGGAAAATGCGACACAATGAGCAAGATTAAACCAGCGTTCAACATAATGACAAAAAGAGGCCAAAATACGAAAAGGAATGGAAAAGATTACATGTATAAAGAGTGCATAATAAACTTACCACTGCTGGCAGCAAACTATCAACAAAGAGTAGAAGGGGCAAGACTGGAGTACATTCATCATCAGAGATGCAGTTAGAAAACCAGTGGCAAAACCAAAATATCAGTACATGCTACTGTACAGTCATGTAAGGGAAAAAAAACAATAAACAGAAAAAGACCAAGCAATCTGAACAAGGTAGGATGTGACGGTACTCAAAGAAAGCAATAATGTTTGAATAATTCAACAGTCGAGACCGCAAGGCTGGCCTGGTTCATATTTACAAGTCACAAACAGTAGCTGAAGAGGATGCCGAGGTGATGCTGTCATGTTTAAGATTCAGATTTAATGTATATGTTAATACCATGTATGTAGTACAGTATACATGGCACTTAGAGCAACTCAAAATGTCATGTATACCATACCATAGATTCAACACTCGGCTACACTTTCTACACATTTATCTGGAGTGGTATAAAAAAAAAAAAAAAAATTGCAAAATGCCATGATATGCACATCTTTGTAGCTAGACGCACAGAAATTTTAATACACTTACCCCCTATTAGTTTACTTTTATTTTGTTGCAGATAACATCCATGATAACTTGCATTAACATGATGGTATGGAAAACATTAAAACAAATTTAAAATATCAACGGACTGTCACAAATTAACGCTTCATACAATAACATTGTTAAGTCTACCTTCATTTACTTCGCATGGGCTTTAATAGTAAAGATACCTTCAGTCATTCATAGTTACTCATACACTATGATATAGTGTATGAACAAATCCACAGTGTGATATTGTAACCACATCTTCATTACCTGCGCCTTCATCTATTCTTCTTAATTATCTATGTATTTGAAGAAGACTGAAGCCTCCCGTTTGCACTCTTGCCTCCTGGTGCATGTCAGCAATGGTGGATGCTTTACTTTAACAATGGCTAAACCAACAAGCAGAATAATACAATAACTGTTTTCAGTTATTCTTGAACATTGCAGATACCCACCTTCTCAGGAAGTAGAGTTGCACACAAGGAACAAAGACACCCAAGCCAGAAGTAAATAAAGCCCACCTTGTGCTTTGTTAGGAGTTTTCGGGCCACGTCTTCATCCTTGCCGTAATCTTTGGTCTGCAAGATGTTCCTCTTTTCACTCATCCATGTTTCAATCTCTGTAACCTCAAAGAAATATTGCTGAGCTTTGAGATTTAGTTCCAATTTTCGACTGCGCTCGTCAGCTTCTGCTATCAGGTCATCCCATGCTTCTTGCAGCTCTGCACATCTACTCTCAATCTATTATATGGAGAAAAATTTTAAATGAGAATTAGTAAGATAAAAAAAAATATAAAACAAGGCAAAAACCCAAAATGTATCCAAACCTTAACCTGAATTAAGAATAATGTAGGTTCTAGGCACAAGCAACTCTAAATTAGAAGAATCTGGGCACCAAATGGGACCACCATACAGTACGGTGAAATTTTATACTGGCAACCCAACAAAATGGTCCCATTAAGAGGGCAGGAGAGAAGTGGCTATTACATATATCTTAATTTTATGTAACAGGGTGTTCATGTGACCAAGGAGCTGTGATACACTGAACTCCACATATGAATACCAAATGTTCTTTTTGGCTTGTCTCACACATTAATATTAATTAAATTTTAGTTTATAGTTGCTGTACTGTCCTCTAATTATAAATTGAAGAGTAGTGTGTAATCGTACTCCTGCTCAAACAGATAACAGTACCAGAACCCTTGACAGGGCCATGCAGCCTCTACGAGCTGAAACCACCCAACCTGTGTTTAATTTTGTATGCATAAAACATAATATTAATAATGCAACACACACATTCTTATCGAAGCCTCTGCATTTTGCTTTAATTCATGGCACACTTCATAAACATTATTCTAGGCTTCACAAAAATGGTGCCAAATTCTTTACCAATGCCTTTTCTGGATGCCGATCTTTAATTAGATTATCGCCTTTCACCAGCGTCTTGGTGATCTGTGGCTGATGTCCCTGGATTTCAGCTTTTAATTTGATGTGCTTCTTGTTTAGATTTTGTGCCTCGTGCAGATTTTGCCCAAGTACCTGAAGAAAAAGTCATCTCAATAAATGCATGCAAAATAATTTATCCTTTATATTTATATATACAGTATAAATCAAATATCCTCTTGGGAATACTGACTTAATAGGAAAACCTGAGGAACACTTGCCACAAGCTTTCTGTACTTCATGGTTAAAATTGTCAAGGAACAAAATAGCTGTTCTCTCATATTCTTATAAATATTCCTAGAATGATAATATCTTGCAGGGTGTCTAAATGTTGAACTTTTAAATGTTGAAATGTCAAGCATGGGAGCAATTACGTTATGTAATACAGTATAGGCATTACACTATAGTATACAAATATGCAGATAATGAATACAGTACATTTAATATATTGTGGTAAACATTTTCATAATAATGAACAGTGACAATTCCTAAATAATGTGCTTACAACTGACAACCAGGTCACCTATCACTGACAGATCTAGCTCTCATGCCCCCACCTAATATTGTTTTTGGTCCCTGTCTATTTTCAATATAGTACAGTATATTTACAATAATGGTATTATCACGTAATTCCCCAGTATAGCAGAGGAAACTGCCTCTTCCTACTCATCTTCATGTTACATCACTCTGCATATCACCTATATACGCCAGCCAACCCAGACCTATGTCTGGAGAGCACTCCAATCATCCTCCACCCATTCCCAGAGCCCCAGGTAGATGCAACCTGCCAGCTCATGGTTATCTGTGGGTAACAAGCAGTCTAGCTGCTGGCTTCCAATTCCAAGCCTCGGTGACAAAAGATGTGACATCACCGCAACATGATTGCTGGATGCCCATGTTGAGACAATCATGCTCTTTGCTATGAGAAAGAACAACCTTCAGACTTCCAGTTCCCCCAATAGGAAAACACATGGTAGGTGTATATTGGCACTCTTAATCATTACGAGAAATGAATCTCCCCTTATCTTCCCTACTTCTCTAAATCTTCGCTAGCTATAATTCAAGTGTTTACTTAATTTTAACACAGTCTTCCACCACTTTAATCAAACGTCTACAAGCCATATTCTACCAATTAACTTTTCATCCATTCATACTCGCTAAAAAAATATTCATGCTTGGAACAACTTAAATATTTTAGTTTCTTCACAAAACATTTGAAACTTCAAAATGAAGGTGTACATTTAACTCTTGCATAAAGGAATAAAGGAGTAAAAACACATATACAAACTTTTGATGTGGCTAGTGGCATGTGTTCCTTGATCCACTGCATCTCAGCATCAAGCTCAAAGTTGAACTCGTGCCATCTAAGCGATTCTTCAAGGTCTGCACGACGCCTGGCTGCTGGCTCCTGGAAACAAAGAAAACAGAATATCACAAACCAGTGTTTCACAAATAAAAAATATAAACATTTAATTGAAAGATTTTATTACACCACATGTTACAGTCTCACCAGATGTTTATAAGATTACGAGTTCCTACGGAGGTTTGATTATTACCAAACTTCACACTAATTTAGAAATGTCACACCAGACTACGCCCTAAACTAGTGGTGCTACATTGACTGAATAATAAACTTCATTGGTGAGATAACCAAGATAATTCAGCCCATATAAGCACTACCAATCAAACATTAAAGTTAGGTCATCGTGTCTCGGCACAAATCCCGAACAGTACAAGCAAGAGTGAAGGGAATACTGATGTGCTGGCAGAACTGCAACACTGCACAGATGGTTATGGTTAACAATTAAAAATGTAGGTACTGAAAAATTTGAATCACTGCCCTAAAAAGTGATACGTAATCAAATATAGTGCAAACAAGAGTATCTAGTATCAAAAATCTTACCTTCAACTTGTTAAACCTATTCTTAGCAGATATACACGATGCTTGTATGTTGGCAGCATCAAAGTGGCCGTCCTGCACCATCTGGTCGCCAACAGCACACGTATCACTAATCTTCCTCTCCATGGTGTGCATGTCATTTTCTAAATTCTGCTGTTTATTCATGAGGTCCTTGCATGACCGCAGATCTGACCCAACATCCTTATTTTTAAGTGCAGTTTCCAGAGCATCCAAACTTTTCTCAGTTTCCTCCAAGTTCTTATTGTAGCCATGCTGATTACTGGCTTGATGAAGCTTCATTCCTTTCTCCTCTGTCTTGGAGCAGAGATCTCTCCATTTTTTATTTAGGTCATCTAAAGTGTTTTTGATGTCATCAGACTGATAGTGCTTCATGCCTATCAGATCTTGGCCAGTCTTGTTGAGACGTCGCAGCTGACCTTCATTAGCATGAAGTTCCCTTTCAAATGCTTCGTGCTTCTGCATTTTCCTCTCCAAATTATTGAGGTCTCTGTAGGATTCATCATCTGCCAGCTTCTTTTTATCAGCCATCCACTTCTCAAAATCATCTGCATCTGCCTTGAACTGCTGATAGGCGATGGAACCATTCAGTTGTTCACGTCTAGCCTGAGCTCGCTCCTTTACAGCAGCTCGTCTGTCACGCACCTGAATGAATTACAATATTTTAATCACCCGGTACTTCAAATTTTAGGGCCAAAAAAGGGCCCTAATATAGTTTAGGGCTTAAAATATGATATTTAAACATTATAAAAAATTACAGTATTTTAATTATTTTCTTCTATCTTAAATCATTATTTCTTTCAATATGCAAAACCATGTCTATATAAAGTTAAAACGGTGCCATTAGGACTGAAATTTAAACCTCATTTCTCTTTTTGGAATTTGCAGTTTATATATCCAAAACTTCCCCATCCACTAAAGACATACTTCAATCACTTGAAGTTTTTTTAAATACAGTACTGTACATATAACTGTCTATTAACATTATTCCACTTATTTCTGAACTGATATAGAAAATGTACAAAGATCATAACAATATTAAAAGATTGGTTAACAATACCTGATCCCTGCGTTCATTTATATATGTAGCATCATAGTGTTCAGCTGCAATTAGCTTATCTGCCATCTCGCTAAATGTTCGCAGCCGTTCATCCTGTGCCATGAGGGTATTCTCAAAGTCGTCATGACGTTTCATCAGTGCTTCAACATCATCCAAGGTGCCCTAATAAGCAAATTAAAATTGTAAAATTAAATGCAATGCTTCAAGCAAAAACATTGCATAATAAATGCAAGAGTTTTAATCAAAACTCAAATTAGTACTCTTCACTCCAGATGGAACTATTGGTTACTAGACCCATCCAGCCCATGCAACACATCACTCCAGTTGGCACTTGTTCGAATACCCAATTTTGAACAATAATTACCAGTACTGTAATATCTTACTTTCAACATCTCAATTCCTCCTTAATGAATAGCCTGTTGGGAATGGTTGTACTATACAAGATTTACACTTTATCAGAGATGGCTCTGATCAATTTGTCTCCCAGGAAGAGCTGTAACTTGCTTATGGGTGTGATTAACAACGTGCCAGATATCAGAAAACTTCTTATGCAACCAATCATAAAAGTATTCTAAAGTTATCAAAAATAGCCATTGTGGAGAGTTTAATAAGGTAACAATCAATGACAAATCCAATAAACAAAATTTTAACACCTACAATTAAGTAAAAACAACATAATGGACAAAAATAGTGATCTTTCATAAAGTTGCATCACTAATATTGCAAGAATAACGTGTCCATTCTCATCTACCTTAAATGCAACATAGACAAAGCAGTTAGATGATGCCACTTACCCCGAGGTCTTTATAGTCGAGGAAGGTTTCATGGGAACTTGTAGCAGCATCAATTTGATCTGCTTCTCTATTGAAGAGCTGAAGGTCCATACACTGCCTCAGCCAGTCTCCTTTCTCCTGCCAGCCACGATGTATAGCACGCTGCTCCTCCCCTAGTAATGCCATCTGTTCAAACAAGTTATTTTTAAATTTGTATAAACAATTGACAAAATCAAAACTATAGTCATAAAACTGAGCAACCTTTAAATTTAAACATTTTCAAAGATAAAGTTTACATTTTAGCGTAATTCATGGTAACTCTGATGAATGATTTTTAATGTAAAATTTAACATGATCCCTTAAAGCTACAGGAATCTTAAATTATTTTTGTTTTTTTTCTTCAAGGCAGCACCTGTCAGGTCCAAACCCTAGTTCAGGAGACCATATATCTGGTCAGACATTACATGTCTTTCCAACTATTTTTCAAGATTCTGTGACAAGTTAAATTATTACAGAGAAATAACAAGTGGGAGAGAGGGGGGAAGAGAGAGAGAGAGAGGAGAGAGATGAGAGAGAGAAGAGAAAGAGAAGATAAGGAAGCAACAGACAAATTTACAAATTATTGATATGTTTATTTGGATGAAAACATTTATAACACTATCCTTAGTGAAGTGTCTTATGCACATAACTATATGTATACTATACCCAACCTTTTCTTGCACTTCACTGAAGTCAGGATTCCTCTTGACAAGTTTCTCTCCAAGCTGGCTGAGCTCCGTGAATTCATCTTGGTGAGCTCTTATGTCATCTCCAAGATCTTGGTGACTTTTGAGAAGATGCTCCGCAGTTGTAACATCTCGTGCAGGTTCGTCAGAATTCAGGGCATTTTTAACGTCACCAACCCAATTAATAAGACTCTGCAAGTTAATATATGATTGATTAATATTTATAGAATATACCTGCCATTAAGAGAAAATTATATTAATCATTTATTTATCTTTAGTACATATTCTCATTCCAGTTAAATATGAGATTTTAATATAGTAGCACAATATAATTAACACAGTTCCAATTATGCTAAAATGAGTTGTTGAAAATCAGATTATTAATTTTTCATTTCTTGGATTACAGTGGGCATAGCTGTCGGGGAACCATCACGAGATCATCTCGACCAACTACCTATTAACCCTTAAAGTGCGCATCACTTCATATGAAGTGTAAATCGTTTTACCAGTCAACTGCGCTTCACTTCATATGAAGTGTATGGGTACCGCGCACGATTTGAATGGCCCGCGGTGTAGCTGGGGGTCCCATACGCTGCCCAGGGGCTCTAGTAAACAGCGGCCATTTTGAAAAAAAATCCAGCTCACGATTCGATGGCATGGGAGGCCTCAGTTTAGCGAGAGTCACCATGGCGAGCGCACGGTCAAACGCCTCACGAGCACGCATCACTCAGTCCCTCACCCCAGAGCAAATAGCCCACGAATTATTCTCTGAAGGTGAAGAAAGTGTGTTTGACGATTCAGACAACGATGAGGATTATACACAGTTGTCGGGAGATAGTAGCAGCAGCAGTGAAAGTGAGAATGACCGCCATGCCATGGCGAGGCCTATATGCTCTCCCATGCCTCCTCGCCCATTTTCTACCCCAATTCTACCACGACCTCACAGTCCCTGTGGATATTTTCTGTTTGAGGGTGACGAGTCAGAGGGAGGTGACTCCTTTTCTGGGTTTAGTGACTCAGATCAAAGTTTTATTGAGCCTGTGGCTGGTACCAGTGGTGTAACTGGGCGAGAAATTGTCGCGTCAGCAGCATCTCGCCCAGCCAAGCGCCACCGCATGGCACCACATGAGGCACCAAGACCCTCGTGTTCACGTGCACCCACCTCACGTGCACGTAGCCGCCGTGCTTCTCGCAGACGGTATTCAGCTCCTGGTCGCCGGTATGCATCGCTTCCTCGCCGTCTTTCCTCTGCATCTCGCAGGACGCCTGGTGTACTTGAGTGGAGTGATGGTGACGATTTTATTCCTAATATTCCTCACTTTGACGATAAAGATGTAGGGATTACAAACCTTTTCCCTAATCAAGGTGAGGACATGGCTGAGATGGAATATTTTACAGCATTCTATGATGAACCACTCATGGAATACATTGTACACCAAACGAACCTGCATGCTGCTTACCTGATTGAGAGGGAAATCACAGAATTTTCACGACTGCAGCGTTGGAAAAATACCACAGTGGCGGAAATGTATGTGTTTTTGGCACTCTGTTTGTTGATGAAGCACTGTCACAAACATGCAATAAATGACTATTGGAGCAAGGACAAGACAATACCAACACCTTTATTCGGGAAATATATGTCACGAGACAGGTTTCAGATACTCCTCAGGTGTCTACATTTTGGAAGTGTTCAGGACCGAACACCTGATGATAGACTGTGGCGAGTGAGGCACTACATGAACGATGTTATTGGAAAATTCAGAGATTTTTACGTACCAGCACAGAAGCTGGTGGTTTATGAATCTCTCATACTTTTCAAGGGACGTGTTCCATTCAAACAGTACATTCCCTCAAAACGAAACCGATTTGGCCTGAAATTTTTTGTTCTTTGTGATTGTGAGACAGGATACGTGTTACACATGATTCTGTACTCGGCTAGTGATGTAGACATTCCCGGTAACGACGAACATGGATTCTCGGGGAGTGTAGTGAAGACCATCATGGCTCCGTGGATGAACAAGGGACACATTTTATACACAGATAATTACTATACAAGTCCCTTGCTAGCTCGGTTCTTGCTAGAAAATAGAACCGGATTGGTTGGTACAGTAAAGCCACAACGAAGGGAAATGCCTGTGTTTGACAACGACATTGCAGTTGGTGAGTGTCAGAGAAGGAAAAGTGATAACATTCTGTCAGTTCGGTGGAAAGACAAAAGAGAGGTGAACTTGTTGACAACAATTCATGATGGAACAATGGTGAACAGTGGGAAAGTGAGCCATAAAACAAACGCACCACTATATAAGCCAGACTGTGTTTTAGACTATAATATCAACATGCGGTTGATTGATAAATCAGACATGATGATTGGCACTGCAGAGTGTGTGCGGAAGACATGTAGGTGGACGAAAAAAGTGTTCTTCCATCTTGTGGACATGAGCATGCTGAACTGTTTCAACATGTACCTTGTGAGAACTGGACGTAAGCCCACTTTCCGTGACTTTGTATTTGATGCTGCAATACAGTTATTAGGAAAGTTTGCAAAAGATGTCCCAGGTATTCAGCGGCCCATCATAAACCCACTGTTGCAGCATGCTGGTACTCCACGCCTCGCTCACACTGAAGGCTTCCTAGCACACAAACTTAAGTATTTGCCACCTGGTGTGAAGCGTGCAATAGCCCAACGTGATTGCTTGGTGTGTAAAACAACGACACGTAGAGACAAGAAACGGAAGCTTGTGCAAACATGGTGTGAAACGTGTGGTATCCCATTATGTGCTGTCGACTGCTTCAATGACTACCACAGTCTAGAAATCTTCTAAGTGTGCTTCAAAGTGTGTATAGCGTGTGCGAGTGTGTAAATATGTAAACATATAAGCAGAACATATAATATAATAGACTGTAATGACATATTATATTGCCGTAATTGAAAACATTTGTGTGCGCCTGTGTATACTCAAATATGCAACAATTATTGATACAAAATATGTTCAAACAGTATTTGAAACACAATTAGTGAAAAAAAATTAGATAAAATGCGCTTAGACATTGTAAATAAATAGCGCGAAAATATATTTGTGGCAACTCTGGCTGTTTGAGGACCGCGCGCAACATCTCCCGGGCGTGTACTGCATGAGCGACCATGCAGATTGTGACGTCATCGCAGAGCTTCTCGGCTCTATTGCAACAAAAGTAAGTACAATAGAATTTTTTTTTTATTTTTCCCGTGATCAGTGAACAGAACTTAACAGATTAGCAAAAAAAAAAATTTTTTTTTTTTTCAAAATGACATGCGCCTGTGTGGATAGCAGGATATTAGACCCCGAGCATGTTAAGGGTTAATCAAAATGATAATTGTTCTGTTGTAAATATTTTCACAATGCTTTGCAAATTACCTGCCAGAAAAAATTTCTGGTAGGTAATTTGCAACGTTAGGTTGCTATTATGTTTGTTTTCTTTTCATAGTGATTACCAAAGTGTAGTTACAGGATGAGAGCTACGCTCGTGGTGTCCCGTTTTTCCAGCCATGTCATATAATGCTTTGAAACTACTGACTTTTGGCCTCCACTACCACTTCACTTAAATTGTTCCAATCATAAAATTGTTTTTGCAAACACTGTTTGCAAAAGTGAATTTTCAAAATTTTGTTGGATAGCTTTGTTACAAATAGAGATGGCCTGACCAGGCCATCTCTATTTGACAAACCTGACCAGGATGGTCAGGTTTGTGCCAATGGGTTAGAACACCGAAGCTTCCAATCGTAACCATTAAAAACATTAACTTTGTCTGAAATAATGATAAGGCAAATACGATTGTCAACTGCACAAAAATGGGCACCACACAGCTTTCCTTGAAAACACAATCTTCGAGCATGCTCTTACTTTGGCCGAGTTGAGGAAGATCTGCTGACCAACAGCTTCCTCAAGGCGGTTTCTCCTCTCTACAGCTTTGCCTTTCAGCTGCCCCCAGTATTGTTGTACCTCCTCTTGCCGCGCCTCTACGGCATGTCTTTCTCGTGGATACGAAGCCTTCACCGAATCGGCAAGAAGGTTCACTCGTCGTACCTGTATAAATATATAGGTAAAATTAAAATGTTAACAATACTCATGCAGTACAGTACAAGTATGAAGAGAACAATCAGATATGCACTAAACTATCAACATTTTGTTCAATTTCTTCCTAATTAATTATTCTTTCGAATCACTATCCTGCCATACACCTTCCCACTATACTAGGTTAAATAATGCCCCTTATGATTCTTACACTACCTATACACGCCTTTATTTTTACAGTGTAACAATCACAATGCTTATATTATTACCAAGCACAATACCACTATTCCGTGCAGTTTAAAATTCATTTCAGCCTGTACCACATTAATTCCTCCAGCTTTTCACAATGTGAAATGTATTTAAGATGTGAAAAAATCTAACACAGTCATTGACAATTTCCAGGCACCACTTAATTAGCCTGACCACTATAAATTTTTCTGGTACTGTATGTTTATATATACTGTACAGTTCCAGATAACAGGTCCCTTTAAGTAAGGAATTCGATTATGCTCGACCCTATCAGCCTTAACTACGGTGAGTACAACGTTAGCAAGCCAACTGAATGACAGTATTTATGAGTAGAGACCTTTTAAAAAAATTTATTCCCTACAATCGAGAACCAAATTAATCTTCAAAGAACTTTTACACAAAATTAATACATTGAAGATGTAAAGCCTGTAATAATGCAGCCACAGCAATTTATGAGTGTCCATATTAAAAATGGTAATAATTTAATATAACCTTACCTTTTCTTCCACTGGTGCCAATTCTCTCTCTAGCTGATCATGCTTACGCTGGAGAGACTGCACCGTTTTCAAATCTCGACCCAGTTCATCAGTGTCCAGCTTCTCCATCTTCTCCACCATCCAGTCCCTGGTTTCATCACAGGTGCGATGGAACAGCTCTACACTGGATGCTCCCTCAAGACTACGTTCTTTTTGCTGCTTCAGACGATTGAGGTGAGCCCACTGGTCATGGATTTGCTTTTGCCGCACCTTGATCTTTTCTAACTGACTGTGTCCCGTGGCTTCAAAGTCTTTGACCATTTTATCAATTATTTCAATCCTTCTGCTTGCAGCTGACAAATCTGTGAGGAACTGCTCAAACTTCTGCTTAGCTGTCTCTACATCATCACCCTTCTCATCCTTCTTAAGGAGCTTTTCTTTTTCCCTCATCCATGTCTCAAAACCTTGACACTCTCTCAAGAAGGAGAAAAGTTTTATAGATTCTTCCAGATACAAGTGTCTCTTTTGGGCTAGTTCACACAAATCCCCATAAGATGAATTAATTAACTGCAAACGTTTTTCAACCGTCTCTGGTTCATCGAAGCCTCGTTTATTTCGAGCTGTAAATTAATAAAAAATATCTTTAGCCAAGAAAAAACTGCTGTAATGAAATTTCAGTTTCAAACTATAATATGCTAATTTGTTTCTTAAATCATAATGGTACAAATAATGATTCTTTGTTGATTGAACAATGCACTAACTGAAAACTGCTGAAGGGAATTTAAGTCTAGTTACTCTTCCATTATTACAGTCTTCCCCACATCTTTACAGATACTACTGTGAGTACTCCTGCTAGGAATCAATTACATACTTGCTAAGTACCTATCAGTAGATACCTAGCTCACAATATATGAACGGAAAGGAATGTGAAAAGTTCCAGTACATCCTGGACCTTTCTTAAATCACGTCAAGATGGTTACAGAGGCACATAATGGGTTCAGGAACTGAACCCCATAGTTCCTTTAGCTAGGCTAGTGACAATCTTGTGAAGCTAGTTGCACAATTTATTACATACACATATACATACATGTATGTACACACACACATTCATGTATACACACAGATACATGTACATATATACTATGTTAAGATTTACTCGTTCGGCGGGGATATTTTTAAGCCTCCTTGCTGAGCCTTAGGGTGGGGGCCCACTGGAGAAAACAGTTCTGCCCAGAATGATTAACAAAGGTGCTGCCAATTCATGAACTAAGTCCTTCCAAACCCTCCATTGGTATTTCAAGCTAAACTGATACAGCATTTTGAAATTTTGCATATGTAAATCTTAGTGTATCCTCAATTCATCAGTCTTAATGTCAGTGTACATCTGTGACTGAGGTCATAACAGCCTAAACACTACTGAATCAATTCAATCATCTGCAAAATTTCCCAGGTGCTGTTATCTGTAGGTGGGCACTGGGTATATTCTGCCATAATGTGTCTACTCATACAGTGGACATAGTCATTTGCAAGCAATAACTGACGAGCGCTACTGTATGCACAATGCAAAGAATGTGCAATATAAAAAATTGGTATTAGTGATAGGTAGGTTATAATGTGTTTGTACTTGCCTAAATGAGCTATTCTGGAAATACTGTATAGATAAATACTGTATGTTTATGTATGAGAATTATGAGTTGCCTTCGCCCAACAGTTTTCGAGCAGGTTCACACTCCTTATATACAGTATAAATATTACCAAATTATACTTACGAGGTGCCTTAGGCTTCCTCTTCTTCACTCTTTCAGTTTTCTTTACCATTCTGGTCTTCGGTACCATTCTCTTCTCGGGAACTTTAACTTCCTTTTTAACCCGAACATTAATTTTCTTTGGTTCACTGTCCCTGACATAATTGGCAGGAACAAAACCTTCTTCACCAGTACTTTTACGTACATTCCACCAATCTTGGTTGGTTTTGTTGATCAGGAACATCGTCTGTAATTCATATATTTTAATTGAAAGAACAAAAGATAAATGAGATGTTAACGTCAAAAATCCTAACATGAATAAGATCAAGATTTAAGAAACATAGAAGCAAAGTCTTCCAGATATTCATCACCAAAACTTATGAAAATATTTCATCAACAGAATGTTTACCTCTCCTTTGCCCATGTGCATTCCTTGACCTTGGAAGGAGTACCTAGCAATGACAGTAGGCAACTCTCGCTGTTCTGTAACACTTATCTCTTCAATTTTCTCCACAATTTCCTCGACCATAACTTCCTGAGGAACCATCTTCACTTCATCTACCCACTCATACTCCTCCTCGTCTCCTATGTTCTGCTGCTGTGACGTTAGCTACAAAGAAAATAAGTAGTATCATCCATTATTTAAGGGAGCAGTTTGTCATATTTACCATTTGTTTTATACAGAACTATTTTGAACTGTAGGGAAATGTATCATTTGACAAAATTTATGTAATGCAGATTCATAAAAAGTCAAAACATTCTCAAAACAAAAATTCTGATTGCCATAAACATTTGTTTGATAAAAGCAACACTTCCAATTTATAACACGTCAATTATTGAAAACGGGAATTAAAAAACATTAACTTTCAAAATACTAGGTGGCACTTGTTCATAACTTACATTTAAAACAGATATTCCTGACTTCATGAGCTTCTGCCCTTGGTTATTTACTGCCTTGATATCTCCCTCGTAGGCCTTAATTTCTCCCTCCAGTCGAGTGTGTAGCTGCAGCAGAGCCAGACCACTGGGCTCGTCCTCACCGTAGTCCTTTGACTGGCACAATGGCAGCTTTTCCTTGATCCATGATTCGGCCTCATTGGCATCAGCATTAAACTTTGAATAAAAATGTTATTTAGATTTCATTGTAAACAAATTTGAAACTGAATAAATTATTGTGTATATATCTATATCAATATATCTACATCTATCCATCTATATATCTATCTGTATCTATCTATATCTCTCTCACTATACTAAATTTGAATTATTCATTATCACTATTTGCAGACATTTTAACTACTGTACTTATTTTGTCATGAGTTGCATACTGTGATAGCTTGATTATTCATCTCTCAATTATCCAAATATCAGGATTATCCGACAGGTTTTGGGTTTATGTTGTGACGTGTTTTGTGATCTTGCTACAAAATTTCAAAAAATTCATAACTACTGATGTTAATGGCAAAGGGTTAAAGGTTTTTTTTGCTTCATATACAACTACTGTACTGTAATAACACAATTATAGAATGCATCTTAATTTTTTCTAGGTTAACATTATTTTGCATGAAATTAACACTTATTTTCAATAGTATATTCCTGTGAAAAATTGGGACCCCCTATTGTGTTTATAACGTCTAACACATGATCAAAAATCAGAAGCAATAACTTTTAGTGAATGTTTACAGTTTTCAGGCAGCCACAAGGCTTAATATGTAATAGATAACCATAAATTTACAACTTAAAGTCCTTTAAAAATTGCAAATTTTACCGAAGAAAGTTTCCCTTTAATTTTCTTAAGTACTTTCTTCTATGAACAAATCCACAGGAGCCTTGATGAGGGTTCAAACCTGTGTGCTGGGTGTTCACGAACCTTCATCAAGGCTCCAGTGGATTTATTCAGCGATATATACCACAATGTGATTTCTCCGAGTACTTTCTTCTATCATATTACTAATACTACATGGTACACCACAAATTCTTTCCACACATTTTCATTTCTAGTAACAATTTACAGTTTTCATGTGACATTAATTATTTGCTGTACTAGATACTTAAAAAAAATTTGTTGGCATCTTGGTAAATAAAAATAGCTACTAATTATCTAACCAAGATGTGACCAGCCCTACCAGCCCTACACCAGTACTGATATAGATACACAAATGAAGATAAAACTTACCAAGCATGCTTCAGCTGCGTCTTCCAGTTGTTTCCGCCGATCACTTGCGTACTGGTCTAGACGCCGCCACTTCTCTTTCAGAGCGGCAATACGTTCACTAATGGCCTTAGCGTCAGGATGACCAGCCTTGAACAGTGCTTCTCCTGATCTCATGACTTTCTCTGCCTTAGGACGACGGGCACGCATTTCATCTTCTAAAGCCTGATCACCAGGAATAAAGTAAATAAAGCAGTAAAGGTAACAAATATAATTAAGCCACTATTTACCTAAAAGTGTAAAATTCTAACACTATGTACAATCCATAAAAAATGTAATTAGTAAGCCACTCTGCAAAGCATCACAAATGCTACAAACTCAAGCCACAATAAAACAATTTACAAAATTTGAAGCAAATAAAGTAATAGGAAAATAAAGAAAAGACCTTATTTTAAACCCTTCAAAAAAGTTAATGGCCAAAGCTGGATAAGACTTCACCTTGCAACACAAAAAGGAGCAAAACACCAAACACCGAATTCAAAAAAATGGCTTTACCTTAAGGGGAGCATCTTGCTGGTGCCGGAGCAGGGTTGTGTTAGAACAGAGAGCACCAGGGTGAGGAGGGTAAGTACAGGGAGCCATTAGTGATAAGGTACCAAATGCGTTGTCACCTTTATTAACGAAATTGAAGACTACACTACAACCAAACCTAAAGCAAATGTGTTAAATGATGAAACCACCACCAAATATTTCGAAGACCACTGAAGGAAGCCGGAGGGTTCGGAAGGTAAGGAGGAGTTGTGTATACACACACTAAACCATTTAATCAAATTTGTGAAGCACAAATTTTCAACCACACAATTTGAAACGGCATAACTCATTCACATGCACATGGGTTTCCAGGGTATTATTTAACAAGATTTGTAAAATTATAAATACTGTATAAAGAGGTAGGTTATTAACACTTTCGCGCTTTCCGCAAAGGTCACTCAGCCAACCGAATGTGCGCGCAGCGTTTTTATCGCTTAAGCGTAAAAACAAAAATGTGTATACTCTTTTTACTCTTCTGACCTTAGTTCTCATGCTACGTATTTCATTTTGGTACCAACGTGTTCGCAATAAAATTCTCTAGAAGAACATCAGTAAAAAAAGTCACGAAACGTATAGGGATACCAGCACCAAATAAATAACTACGAAGATGACTCGCCGTGAGCGCCCATCAGCAACAAAATGTTTTTACTCTTGGGATTGTAATCACCTCCACACTTATTCTACAGCGTTAATTTTGGTATCAATGGACTCGCAATGAAATTCCCAACACGGTGATATGAATATAAGCGTAGAATAATGATGCGGCCCGCCCGCAAGAGTGTGGGAAGTGGTGAAATTGTTACCCGGTATCGGTGACGGGACGACGCACGGCGCTTTGAAAGTTTATACTTATTTCACTCTCATGACATTAATTTTCTATGTACGTCATTCATTTTTGTGTCAATGTGTTCGCAATAGAATGTTCTATGTGCCCATAGGTAAAAAATATCAACAAAGCGTAAGTTAGAATAGCGCCAAATATAAAACAACGCTGGAACATATCAGTGAGCGTCAAACACACACGAAATGTTTTTACTTTTGTTATGTTTGTCAAGTTTATACTTGTTGCACACAGTTATTTTTGGTTGTATATTGATCGGAATAAAATTCCCTAAACAGACATATGCATATAATACATGATATGGGGGAAGCATTACCAGTATAAACGGCTAAAGTCACCCACCTGCAACCCGTTTGGGACAAAATACCATTTGATCGAAGTTATCCACACCTTTCATGAACTTATTGTACCATGCAGCCTAGTGGTGAGAAAGAGAGCCTCATAGCGCGCAGTTTGAAACAAACCCAAAGTAAATCGGATAAAAATTGAATTTTATACAAATATTTTAAAAGAGGACTCAACTTTATGTCCACTATGCGTTAGCGTTAGACGAAACGGGACGCGCCGGCGCGTCCAGATAGCGCGAAAGTGTTAACAAATACAAGACTGCTTATGTATCTTAACTTACAAGCACATGCATACTAAGGATACTGCAGCTCCCATTTTAAGTCCATTTTTTCACTACTCCAACAATGAAAACATTCTAATGTGTCCGATTCACTTGAGCACCTGCTTGATACCTGCTTTTGAACTGTCTCCCATTGTTCATGTACCAAACATTCCAAATAATCCGTCCCTTTATGCTATCTGTGACCAGCCTCAACAGATTAACAGTTATCTTGGAAAATTTCAGGCATACCTATTTGTGTTCACCTACTTGTCTCTTTGGAAAGCAACTATTTAGATCTAGAGCCCAATCTCCCTCAATAACACTCTACAATGAACTATAATTAAAAAAAAAAAAAAATTTTTTAGGGAGGGTTGCTTATTTTTTCCTTGTTCTAAGAAGTGATGTACAAGTGACTTATCAAGTGAGGATATATAGGTCCTCACTTGATAAGTCCTCATTATTACAGTGAACAATGGAAAGGTAAGTATACTAGTATTGTTTTTAATACTGTACCATGTATATAAATTAAATTGTCAGTTAATACAGTAATAAAAGACCAATGTATATGTAGCTGCATATTGTACATACATGTGCAGGAAATTAATTGTGTAAAAAGCAACGAGTTAATGTGAGAAGAAAACGGCAATGAAGATCATTTCAACATCTACAGGCAACTAACAAGAGACTATGAACATGCTGGGAAAAAATCAGTGTGGAAAGTTCCAGAATCTACAGATTAGTGAACAAGCTGTGCTATCTATTTACAGACAATTCGTAGAGAGATAATGCATCAGTACTCATAATGTAGAAAGAAACGAGGAAACGCTAAACACAGTATACTGTATCAATCAAAATTGTATTGAAGAGAGAAATATGACATGTATTAGATTTATTTTATATTAAAGCAGGCCAGATTACATAAATTCTTAAATTAATTTACTGTATTTTATACATTAAATATCCAGTGAAAACAATAAAAAAAATCTACATTTATTCAGATATTGAGAAAGTGCAAAAAATTCCAAGCCACCTACCTTGTGTTTCTGCTGGAGGGAGATAACTGCTCGTATATCTTTTGCAGTTACTCCTGCCTGACATATTCTCTGTTTCTCAATAACCCAAGCCTCCTCCTCTTCCATATCTACTTCAAACTGGAACAGATCTCTTGCTTCCTCCAATTTCAAGCGCCTTTCTGCAGCCTTCTTCAAAAGAACCTGTTGCCCTTGATTGAGCTCTTGCAATCTTTTCTGAAGCAATGGTGCATCCTTGTGTACCGACGTCATGCACGCTTCACCCTGCTTGTTTAGACGCTTAATTGTCTCGCCCATGGAGTGCACTTGAGACTCCATTAACGAATGTTTTTGCAGCAAATCCTCCACTGCAAGCAAGTGTCTACCAACATCACCGGAACAGAAGTTCACCTGAGAAAATAAGCAATTAATGCACATTTTCCCAATATAATCATCATAGCATAAAATATATTTGGACAAAATTATGTAGCTAAGGACAGAAACAAGAATATTGATAACTTCTAAAGAATACTGTATATAGCAGTTCACACTAATGACTTTGGGATTTTTTTGTGTAAACAATTTGCATTTTATACTCACTTCAAGTTCCTTGATTGATGCAGTGATGGTGTCTACCTCTCTCATGATACCAACAAGAATACAGCAGTTTTGTAGGTGAATCTTGTGTTTATTGAGAAGATCCAAGAGTTCACTCCATTTTCTCAAGATATCTTTCTCCTTCTTACGAATAGCTACCTTACCATGGTAATTTTCTACATCCAACTCATCAGCCATTTTAGTTAAATCTTCAAATCTTTCTTGCTGAAGGAAGAATGAAACAATTATTGTATTACAGAATAATATTACTACAAAAATATCAGATACTGTTAAAAAAAACTTTCTGCAGGATTCAGCAAGTCCCAGAGTATGCTTCGAATGTTTGAAAAATGAACACAAAATATGAATAATCACACTAATCTGTGTTTACAGTGCTAAACACCTACAAATTGAACTCTTCCCAAAACAAACAAAAACCTACCCTTGCAAGAATATCAGCACTGATGGCCTCGTGCTTTTTGACAGTAGCCTCGACTTGAGCCAAGTTACTTCCGTACCGTGGATCACTCAACACTTGGATCATTTCCTCCAAGTAACCTTTTCGAAGAACACTCTACAGAGAAGAAAACAATACAAAATTATTGGTTTCTCAGCCATAAGGCAAAATTGTGTGTGAGAATTACTGTATTTGTTCTCTACTACAGCTACATTTTACAATATATATATATTAAGTGGTCCTTTAGTTACAGTTGACTGTCCAGATCCAGTCCTAAATCCTTCCTTGCACAAGTTCTTTAAACTTTTTATACAATTTGTAGGTTGAATTGCTGCACTTTTTCTGAATTCCATTTGTCCATACTGAATTCCACTTGCCAAGTATTACTCTTGAGTCTTTGTTTAAATAATTTTGAAGAGTACTACAATCAATCCCTTATTTCTCAAAGAAATTTAGTATTATCTGCAAGCCTTTTCATATACTATCTCTTCAGGTAGATTATTCTGTGTAGGTAAATGAACATTATTAGCACTAGTACTGAGCCTGGTGGGACTCTACTACTACTCTACTACTGACATACCTTGTCTGATTCACTGCTATCACTATCATTCTATTAGGTTAGACAAATTTTGATCAATTTTCATTCTATACATGTCTTTTGCCCACGTGTGCAGGGTGCGGTGGTGTGGCAATTGCCCAAATATGCCTGCGTAGGAGTCAAGCTTTGGCTCTTTGGTCCCATCTCAACTTTTAATAGTTACAGTATACAGGTTTCCAAGCCTGCTGGGCTAATGTCTGCACTTGATAATTATATGGAGCCTGTCTTGACTAATTAATGCATTCCATTTGTTCACTATCCTGATAATGAACAATTTCTAATGTAGGCACCTTATTTTGGTACTTTTGTTTCAACCTATGGTGTTCACTTGTTCATATACCATCCATCCCAAATCTGTACAAGTCAGACAAGTCCTTGTCTGACTTAGCATACATATCAGAGCTTAATTAGGAGCCATTCACTAGATCATTAACACAAATGGTACAGCTAATTAAATGCAAATCTGTATTGGCAAACTGAGCATGGTATGTTAATTTCTGTCACCAGATGAACAGAAATGTATGCAAGTACAGTAATTAAGAAGCGGCTACATATGACGTGTGTGGCACTACATGTGCAGTACCAACCTGTGGAACACACTCACTGCACAGCTGGACTAGCCAGTGTGAAAGGCACACATGTGTATGATCAATTATACCTAAAGATATACCAGCTTGTGATGGCAACTTAAAAGAATTTTACCTTTTTGTCAAATTTATAAGCAAGTTGCTCAAGCCTTTCTTGCCTTAGTAGTTCATCTCTGAGGGCTACCTCCCGTCGATGCTCGGCCTTCTCTAGATTGTTCCACTCTCGCTCAATGTCGTGAACTAACTGTCCATCTTTGGGGATGTATGCAGGCTGGTTCAAAGCTTTAAGGCTTGCATTAATGGAGAAAAAAAGTGCTTCTATTTCACTTCTTTCTTTGTACCTAAAAGTAAAGATTAACAAAACGTCATTATTATTTTTTTTTTTTTGCAATGCCATCTAGATAGTACAGTGCACAAATATATTAAGAAGCAATAAACAAAGGAAATTATCATTAATTTAATGTACCAATATATAAAAAATATATATTTAAAATGTAAACAAGCAACCTACACAAGGGTGTGTGTGTAGACCACTACGTATATACAAAATGGACGAGCAACCACTATATACAAAATTTCCTGAATATCGTTTATACAGTACAGTATTTTATTATACAAAAATCAGTTTCTTTTGCATTATTGCTTTCTTTTGTATAATTAGAAAGTTTTACTTCTTATTTGTGAAGTTAAATTTAATGGTTTTAAAATCCTTAAAATTAATTAAAAACAAAAATAAAGGATACTTAAGCAAGGAGGATTCATTTTGTACTAAGTTTCTAATGAATCATGAAAGACAAATTTGTAAGAAAAATTTATAGGACAAACTTAAGTTTGCAGGTAAATAATTCCTCTCAGTTCCTTTGTTTGTATTGTCAATGTAACTGATAATAATTGCCATTTCAAAATTCAAGTATTGTAGTTGGAATTTTTACTGCACGACACATTTGCCTACATCTTCAGTCTGGTGCAGTTCAAGAAAAATACAATACTGTACGTAAATTTGCGACTAGAATGTCAACTATTTTCATATTGCATAATCATCTTACTGGAGTACTGAATTTACACAATTAAGAGGTTCTGTAAACATTTTACTAACTTGGGTGGCTTCTCTTCGGTTCTGTATTTTTTGAAGTGGATGAGCAACTTTTGGATGCCATCGAGGGAGTTGGGAAACTTTCGACTATCAAGCTCAACAATCTTCATGATGATCCACTCCAGCAGGGTGGTGGTGATCTTCTCATACTTAGACTTGCAGTCATCCACATCTTTCATTTGATTCATAATCTGCACAGAACCAAAATGTACGTAGACACAATAAATAATACATCCAAGAGCAGGTCATATTACTATCAGTTATCAAAAACTTGTATTGTACAATAAAATTTACATCAATCTAATTATTTGTTTATTTTACCTCCCCATTTAGTGAATTTACTGAAGTCCATTTATTAAACCATTCAATTTGTGTGCACCATTAACTGGCCGTGGAATCAGTGAAGAAAGTCTTACATGCTTACAGAGCAGTCTTTCAATATCTGCTCCAAATGGTGCTCCACTAAGCAGATCCACACACACCAGTCTTTACATCACCCAAAGAAATTGTAACCAAACCCACCTCAGCTTATCACAACTTTCAGATAATCTAAACATTAAAAGTCACTAAAAAAAAAAAGGTGACATGAGAGTGCTGCAAATGTTTTTGTTTGCCCAATTTACAGCGCACACATTTTGTATCAATCTTTAAAATACATTTTTATTATACAGAACTATTTTAATATTTTTAAACTTATCTCCAGCAAGTTTGTACTCATTCCAGCTTATCCAAAAGACTTGATAATTTGGAACAAAAATGTCAGCATAATAGTTATTTAAACATCATCCTTTACAGTATACAAGAAATGACCGTCAAACATCAAGGGCTATTATCTGCACTAATTGTCTTGCAGTTAATCCAGACTTTCAAGTAATCTGGATTCTCACACCCTCCCCCCATTCCCCCCAATAAATAACTTACATTGGCAATTCTCTTTGATCCTTTTAACTCATTCTTCATACGAGCAAAGGTGTGGTAGTACGAGGCCACGTACGTGATGATAGACTTCTCGTCAGGTTTGCTTGTATCCACATCTGGATTAAGAAGAAATTGAACTCGGTAAGAACATGTGTTTAAGTACAAAGTCTAAAATAGCATGTTTTTATGACCCCAATATAAGCCAAATGTTCAAGTGTAATGTACTGGTAAGAAATACCTTCAGCGTCGAGAATCTTGGCAATTCCCAACTCGTTGTGAGCCACATCAAAGGCATTGTTGAGATTATCAATGTGATTCTTTGGGATCAGGGAATTGTAGTCTATGATATCTGGCCGATGGGCATGAATAAGGGCATTGAAACCCAAGCCATCCCTCCAGGATCCTTAACAAAATGAATATTTCAAGTTAATAAAGTTTGGAGTAAAAGGCTTCATTATATTTCAGTTTGTATGGTAGTACTGTACCACAAAATGAATTAAAAACTTTTTTCCCAAATATATTTAAACATTATATACAAGTTCTCTATACAGATAAAATTAGATGAATAATAGTGTATTATTACTGGTTATTTACAAGATTAATATCAAAACAAATATGGATAATAATTATAGAGTTGAAGACATTTATGGTAGAGAAGTAAGTATTATAAGTTGACATTGAGCTCACGTGAGAAGTCCTCGATGCTGACCCCCCGGTAGCCCGCTGTCTTCCTCTGACACCACAACAACAGCGCGTCTTTCGCCGATTTCTTCTCGCTGCTCTCATTTTCTTCATCCTAATAAAATACAACCTATCAATATGTGGTGATTGTGCAGAGTATTGTCCTTTTCCAATATACAGATGTAGGCACAATACTGGAACTCAAGATTAATAGAACACTTACAAAAATTCACAAAGGACAAAATACACAAAGTAAAAACTGCCTTGGGAAAAACTGAGGAGTTTCCAAAGCCTCAGCACAAACGCACAGCTACACTTATACAAAGTCACGTTGCAACTAATACCCTCCAGTACCAGTATATACAGTACCTTAAAGAAAACTAACATGCAAAAGCTACACGCAGGAAAAATATGGCACTAACAAGAGCAGCATATCTTCAACTATATGATCAGACAAGCCAAGAGTTCCATGAACATCTGAGCATACAGCCACTAAACATCATACTACAATTCCCAAAGCTGTGGCCCAAGAGCTTAGATCTAGTCGATGGAAACCCAACCCCACAATACACCATTCATAAAGGAAACATTTATCAGCAACCCCTACCCCTCTTAACCACTTAACCCAACCACTTGGGCAGGACGGTAGAGTGAGGATCTCACTTCATGCAGGTCGGCGTTCAATCCCCGACCATGCAAGTGGTTGGGCATCATTCCTTTCCCCCGTCCCATCAAAATTCCTTATCCTGACCCCTTCCAAGTGCTATATAATCGTATTGGCATGGCGCTCTCTCCTGATACTTCCCTTCCCCCTCTTAAAATATAATAAATCAATAAATAACAAAATAAACTTTAGACAGCTCATCAAATAAGGAACAAAAGCATTAGTGTGTATATGTAAATACTACTTAGTATTCATCTATAGACATCCATATATTCCAAATTATACGTGAAGAACTTCACTCACTCTCAGCTCCCTGACAAGAGAGCAAACTTAGCTTAGCTGCCAACATACACACAAGTGTTAGCAAGGCGGACAGCCTCCCTGCTGTATTTCCTATGTCCAAGCTTCTCTCTTCCCTCGTGCTTCTCCTTCCTCTTTACTACCCCCAAAAAACGAAAGTGATGCTACATGGATGTGACTCTTACTAACTGTTTACGAAGTGCTATATAGTCAACTTGGCAAACTAATTTTGAGAAAGCTAATCTCAAAATTACCTTAGCTTATCAAGACAATGTTTTATACAAGTTTATTTCTATTTTACTTAAGTTTATTTCTGTCACAATTCACAATCACTTTTGTATAATGGTCAATAACTATATTAAATACAGAAAGAAACAATGAAAGCAAGAAAAAATGGTTGAGTAAATTAAGAAGTTGATACTGCCTGTATTGACCCTCCCCCCCCCCCCCTTCCTCTCCACCCTAGACCTCTGATACTCTAAATACAGATTGTTGAAAACTGGACTCTATTGCCTACCATTTCTAACCTTTCCCCATCCACCCGCAATTCCACACTTCTAGCACTGCCAGCCAGCCAACATCGAAGTGGTTCCGATGAGCGGCGTTCCCACGGGCCGGTCTATAGTGACTAGTCCTCCTGGTTGGCGACCTGTACTTACCACGTCTATCTCGATCTCCTGGATCTGGAAGCGGAGGATGATTGTCCAGATGAGGCCGAGGATGAGCCGCGGGTTGCCGTCCACGATGTCCTCTGCGCCAATACTCTCCAGCCGCACCTGTGGGGGGTAGTGCAGGGGACGCCTGGTTACTGGCAGGGTATGTGTGTGTATGTGGTGGGGAGGTGCAAGGGGATGTAAAATATACTACTCATATACAGCAAGCTGAAATAAAAGGGCGAAATGAAATGTGGAAGGCACACTTCTATGCACAGCTTCAAAACCTGATACAGGAAAAACATTTTAGTACACCAACCTGACAACGCTAGAAAAAAAGGAGAGGGAAGGGGAGAGACATGATAAGAGACGTATAAAATACTTTGTGGGACTGACACTGGAAATAAGAGTAAATGTTCACAATGCATACCAATAAAACAAGGGAACGTGCGTGCATGGACGCTCGAGACTGTCACAGATGCTAGAAAGTTTTAGTTTAGCGTAATAGTAGGAAAATGGAATGAACTAATGGAGCAAACTATTCAGAATTTTAGATGTAGGTATGATAGGCCGGGAGTCATTGCTTTAGACAACCGGCGCCTAGAAAGGCGGGGTCTAAGAGTTAATGCTCAATCCTGCAGACATAAATAGGCGAGGACAAACAAGCGTGTATACAGTAGGAAAGGACAAGTTCTTGGCCTTCCAAATCACCTGCCAAGCCCTCTACTGGCCAGCAATATTAACGGAAGAAACAGGCCGCACCAAGCGAGGTGAGCCAACCATACCACTCCAAGACCAGGCTCATGGTCTACCACCCACACCTACCTTTTCTCATCTTTATTAAAAACACACAGTATAAATGTCATATACACATTAATTTACAAAGGAAATAAATTACATAGTTTATATAATTTATCAATGTTTCAAATCACAGAACTTTACCCACACCTACTGGCTACCTACAAGCTTACACGAGGTGTCAGTGAGTGCGCTAAAAGTAACGTGTCTAGTTTACGTGTAGACACGTTACCTGTTTCCAGAGTTCTTTTACTCACAAGAAGGGCGTGGCGGGCGCCCCCAGGACACCCTTGGGCGTGGCTGCCATATCCGCGGACACTTAGGTAGCGGAAGCAAGGGGCCATCAGCCGGCCATCATTGATGCAATCTTCACTGTTCATTAAACCAGCACTCAACATCAATAATGTGGATATTAACCCGGCGGGTGTTTATGTACACTAACCACATTACTGGTCACCGTTATTCAGAGCACCTCGGTACTTTATCCTATCATGTCCACACAAAATATGCCTCGAACACGATTGATTGATTGATTAATGAAGATTAAGCCACCCAAAAGGTGGCACGGGCATGAATAGCCCGTAAGTGGTGGCCCTTTTGAGCCATTACCAGTATCAAGAGCTGATACTGGAGATCTGTGGAGGTGCGACTGCACCCTGCGTGACGGGACATGTCTCCCGTGTCTGTGGCCTCGAACACAAACTAACAATTACTTTAAACTAACAGAGAAATAATGTAGATACAGTGAGGTAAGGTTGGTGGGGGGAAGGGTGGAGGGTAGTGGCGAGGCAGTAACCTGGTGTGGTCTCCGTTGACCTACACCAGGTAAAGGTTTAATAAACAGAACCTTTACCTCAGTCAGGTGAAGTAAAGGTTCTGTTTGCATACCTTGTTCTTTAATACCACCACCACGTTTGTCCGCCACCCCCCCCCACCCCCTCTCCTCCTAGAACACGCAAGCTGGACCAGGATCAAGGAGACACAAGATAATTATCAGGACAAAGCACTAAGCCAATATTATTATAGAGCACATGTGAGGAACACGAGGACAAAGAGCTGAGAGATGAGCGAGTAAAGGAAAGGTGTCCAGCTTTTTCAACCATCGGGGATTGAACGCCAACTGTAAGAGAAGCAACGCCGTTAATGTACCGACCGGTCTAAATGATGGACGCTGTCGCAAGATGAAAACCTAATTGATTAAGCTCAGCAAGATGAAAATATTCTGGCAGAGCGAGGCAGGCAGGGGTTCCCATCCCCCCTAAGGGAAGGCAGGGAGGGCCCCCTAAGGGAAGGCAGGGAGGGCCCCCTAAGGGAAGGCAGGGAGGGCCCCCTAAGGGAAGGCAGGGAGGGCCCCCTAAGGGAAGGCAGGGAGGGCCCCCTAAGGGAAGGCAGGGAGGGCCCCCTAAGGGAAGGCAGGGAGGGCCCCCTAAGGGAAGGCAGGGAGGGCCCCCTAAGGGAAGGCAGGGAGGGCCCCCTAAGGGAAGGCAGGGAGGGCCCCCTAAGGGAAGGCAGGGAGGGCCCCCTAAGGGAAGGCAGAGGTGGTTACGGAGATGTCAAGAACCAGAGACCCGACACAGACCACGGGTACAAACTATCATGGCTTGTATGGTATTAACCCGGGTAAATAAGCAGTTCAAGTTATGAAGAAGCAGGCCATTAGGACCTGGCCGCATACCGGCATGGCAACTGAAGATGCTGCATGGATAATTGTGTACACCATTAACAAAGTCTAATGAAATATTAACTAATGGGAAGCGCCTTGGTATCTGGACGACTGAAAAACACTGTATAAAACACACACATGGTAGCTGACCTGAATTATCTACGTAAGCACTAGGACAATACAAGAAAGAGGGGAGCGTGAAACCTTGGGAATGGAACTTTGAAATGGGAAGAGAAAATGGTTAAGATGGGCTCCCTGCCCCTCTCCTTGCGCCTTAGTCAGGTCTAATAAAACCTGACAAGCGTTCTATTATAGTTACACCCAGAAAGGAAAGAAAAAGCCGGATGGATTGCATCGTTTTAGGCTGCCAAAAAAGCAATACCGTCACCATAAAAAGAGGAGTACGCAAGGCGCTAGAGTAATTGGCCAGGTACTTCACTAGCCAAGGGAGTATCTGTCAAACTGCCGCCTCTTCTGATACATCGCATTTTTTCGATCATACCGTCAAAATAGCGGAGATTTAATACAATTTAAAACATCGTAATATTGACGTCTATACATCAGATTGGAGGTTTCTAGCGTTCTCTATTGCCTACCTGGGGGACAGCTTTTCACGGTGGATGATCCGGTTCTGTTCGTTAGGAGATTAAGGATCCCTCTTCCTACTGTGCCAGCAATTTATTCAATATAGTGACTCGAACCGGAGTTCTGGTGATTCCCAGATACCTGTCTTAACCGACTCGGCCATGATGGCACAAAAGCCAACCAACCCGGAACTCTACCGAGAGGGAGGTTGTGGAGGACCCGAATTAGAGCCCAACCAGGATGCTACAGTGGGGTCCGCCCACACCCTGGCCTGTAGGTAATGGTGTCCACACTACTCTTACGCCCTACTGTCACATCACAAAGAAATCACAATAGCATAATGTACCAATGAGAACAATTTGAGAATCATGAAGTGACTCGAACCGACGTTCCTGGTGTTTCCCAGACAACACCTGCCGCATGTTAACCTGAGTAGGATTACCTACTTGTAGTAGTAAATGTAACTTTTCCTTATGATCATGACAATTTTACGACGTCATCCTTTAAGACGTGTGATGTCAACAAATTATATTTTTCATCGGTCTGCTCCTTTCCTTAAGGAGTGCGGGTGTTTGTCGTCTTCAGTGCCTCGGGTCTCTACACTGACTGTCGTGCTGCTATATTGAGTATCTACCGCCCAGTACATGATCGCCTTCGAACCTCTAGCTTTCCTTCGTGATTAATGTAGGCATGGTTGGGACGTGTTGGTCTTGCGACGGTCCGGGAACGTCACCTCGAGCGTTACGGTACAAATGTCCCCGCCTGTTCCAATTAGTTATTACTTCACGTTCCCAGAACCTCAAATAGAACCATAGATCCTAGTCCATTTTCCCATGCATGATTACCTTCACCAAATAACATTTCAAAATTCGTGCACATATACCTGCATTTTTATCACTTTCGTCATTTTGCCGTAGTGGTTGAGTAAATGCTAAAATACAATCTTCCTGTTCTAAAGCAATCTTGACCTAGGATGTACAGTTCATTCCCCTCTTTAAATTAAGAGATTTTACTCTCAAACACATGTACAGTGTGTGTGGAGTTGGTGCGGCGAGGGGGTGTGTTTCATGTCATTATCTTGCCCCCTCTCCCTTGTGGTGTAAAGCTATATCTACTGATTTAAATGACCAGAATCTGGCCAGGATCTAACACTGTTCATATTACACCCAGAGTTCGGCCCAGAGCATGGACACGGCACTTGATTTTGATTTTCAAAGTTCGTGTCTTCCATTCGATTCCCCTTTGAGGGGTATCGTAGCCTGGTGGATAGCGCGCAGGACTCATAATTCTGTGGCGCGGGTTCGATTCCCGCACGAGGCAGAAACAAATGGGCAAAGTTTCTTTCACCCTGAATGCCCCTGTTACCTAGCAGTAAATAGGTACCTGGGTGTTAGTCAGCAGTCACGGGGTGCTTCCTGGGGGTGGAGGCCTGGTCGAGGACCGGGCCGCGGGGACACTAAAGCCCCGAAATCATCTCAAGATAACCTCAAGATAACCTCAAGAAGCCCTCGAGTATTGTGGGTAATATAGACATTTGACAAAGACAAGTGCAATTCTCACCACCTGCTTCACCTTGCCCAGTACAGTTCCCCCCCCCCCCCACTCTCCCTCATCCTTATTCTCTCTCAAGTGCTTCCCTCTCACCCTCTCCCAGTCCTCTGCCCACCACACATCCACTTATCTCTCCCTCACCTTCCACTCTACAATTACTTAAATATGAAAATCAGTAAGATGAGGCAATGGGAAATTTGAAGAAGCTCCAGCCACGGATTCCCGCCCGCTATCCTCCAGCCACGGATTCCCGCCCGCTATCCTCCAGCCACGGATTCCCGCCCGCTATCCTCCAGCCACGGATTCTCGCCCGCTATCCTCCAGCCACGGATTCTCGCCCGCTATCCTCCAGCCACGGATTCTCGCCCGCTATCCGCCAGCCACGGATTCTCGCCCGCTATCCTCCAGCCACGGATTCTCGCCCGCTATCCTCCAGCCACGGATTCTCGCCCGCTATCCTCCAGCCACGGATTCTCGCCCGCTATCCTCCAGCCACGGGATCTCGCCCGCTATCCTCCAGCCACGGATTCCCGCCCGCTATCCTCCAGCCACGGATTCTCGCCCGCTATCCTCCAGCCACGGATTCTCGTCCGCTATCCTCCAGCCACGGGATCTCGCCCGCTATCCTCCAGCCACGGATTCTCGCCCGCTATCCTCCAGCCACGGGATCTCGCCCGCTATCCTCCAACAACTGGAGGATAGCACTATCCGCAGATCAGTATACCCGCCCCCCCTCCCCCTATCCTTAATTGAAAATTATTGGTGTGTTGTGGCCACTTGAGCCCGTGAGTATGTGTACATGTGGGCTCTTAAGAGTCCCTCTTGACCACGACTTGCCTCCTCTCCCCCACCATCACCGACAGTTCCCCCCCCCACATTCTCCCCCACCATCACCGAGAGCTCCCCCACATTCTCCCCCACCATCACCGAGAGCTCCCCCACATTCTCCCCCACCATCACTGACAGCTGCCCCACATTCTCCCCCGCCAGGTTTGCTGTACATGTACTTACATTTGACATGCCCACCTGCCCTCAGCTGGGCACCAGGGTACACTACCACCACCACCATGGTAGCAGGCTCAACTATCCCTTTACACAGCTGACCTTAATGCCTTGCCCTACTCACTCTCTCTGGAACACAACCCACCAGTCGATTTACAAGCAGGTCCCCAATTGCTGCTGGATAGACAAGAGGCCACAGGTAAGGCTCGATACCCCAAGTGACTGTCCCTAGTTGTCCTGGCTTAGTGTTTCCTCATGATTATCTCTGCTCTTTACGGTGGACAAGAGCCTGGTAACCCGGGGCACATTAAGGTGTTTATGAGGGGGTCTGAGCGGGAAGGGAGGCCAGGCCCCGCTCACATTACACACGTAAGCTATGATATTAACATCTTTATTGACAAAATGAATTACAATTTTGCCTAATCTGAGGATTTTGATAGTCTTATTAAAGTAAGGATAATGCTGGTATTCACTGTCACGCAGGACAGAGGGTCATACATAAGACAATAGGTCTAAACTGTAGGCTGAAGCACATATATATGCTTGGTTACAATCAATGTTTTAATGTGTGGATATGTGAAAACAACTTGCTACTGCACTGCCACACAAGGGCAGGGATGGGTACACGTAAGCAAGGATATTTCCTGGTACCGTGAAAGCAGGTGCCGGCGCTATTCACAGAGTGCAGTGAACGTATCATCAACGTTAACAAACACAGGTAAACCCCAGATCACCGGCTCCCAGTGTTTACAGAGGTGATGGTGGGGCTGGCAGCGGGGTCACGGCACCAATGCACTCGCGTACCGGGAACCACAGAGATATTAGAAAGAACTTTTTTAGTGTCAGAGTGGTTGACAAATGGAATGCATTAGGCAGTGATGTGGTGGAGGCTGACTCCATACACAGTTTCAAGTGTAGATATGATAGAGCCCAGTAGGCTCAGGAACCTGTACACCAGTTGATTGACGGTTGAGAGGCGGGACCAAAGAGCCAGAGCTCAACCCCTGCAAACACAACTAAGTGAGTACAGCCCTTAAACCTCCTCCAAACATGACACACAACTATTACCCGACCAGAAAAAACTGCAACAGCATCACTGATCTATCACCAAGAACACACAACCATTCATACAAGGACCGATGATGCGAAGACATGCTCTAGGGTCATACGGGGGACATGATCACGGCATGTAAGTTACTTCTAATTACAGACTTGGAGGATGTGCACAGTTTAATGGGTCTGGAGCCAGGATGAGCGATCACTTGTGGATCCTTAACATTAAACGACTCTAATGAATACACGAACTTGAGGCTTAATAAGGTAGTGAGCTAAGAGTTCTGAGCTGGTCCCCCCCCCCTCCAGTACCAGTACTATATACTCACCTAGTTGTGTTTGCGGGGGTTGAGCTCTGGCTCTTTGGTCCCGCCTCTCAGCCGTCAATCAACAGGTGTACAGGTTCCTGAGCCTACTGGGCTCTATCATATCTACACTTGAAACTGTGTATGGAGTCAGCCTCCACCACATCACTGCCTAATGCATTCCATTTGTCAACCACTCTGACACTAAGAAAGTTCTTTCTAATATCTCTGTGGCTCATTTGGGCACTCAGTTTCCACTTGTGTCCCCTTGTGCGTGTGCCCCTTGTGTTAAATAGCCTGTCTTTATCTACCCTATCAATTCCCTTGAGAATCTTGAATGTGGTAATCATTTCCCCCCAAATTCTTCTGTCTTCCAGCGAAGTGAGGTTTAATTCCCGAAGTCTCTCCTCGTATATGTGAAGTTGGGGATGCGTGGCACACAACTATTAACCAAGAGGCGGGGTGCAGGAGCGGCAGCTCAACCCAGGCAGGCACAATTGATTGATTGATGAAGATTAAGCCACCCAAAAGGTGGCACGGGCATGAATAGCCCGTAAGTGGTGGCTCTTTTGAGACATTACCAGTATCAAGAGCTGATACTGGAGATCTGTGGAGGTGCGACTGCACCCTGCGTGACGGGAGATGTCTCCCGTGGCAGGCACAGTTAGGCAAGTGCCTGAGAGTGAGAAGTGTTGGGGAAGGAGCGTGCATGTTACTGGACCAATAGTGGCAGAGTGTGACGAGTGATCTGTGAGTGAGGGCCACGGAGCCCCGGGTGCACCAACTCTTGAGTGCATCTACCTGCACTCAAGAGCTGCCCATCATCTGGCTGATAAAACAAGTGTTGATACCTCTTACCACCTGCCAGTTACTGATGGCTTGTCCCTCACAACCTCGTCATCCAAACTCCTTTCCACCCCCACCCTACCCTCCGTGTCACTGTCCAACCGGGGCCCGGTCTCTAACCAGAGACCATACAATCACATCCCGATGGATCAGATTTCCTTAGGTGGTGTTTATCGAGCTGTTTCCAGGCTGGCGAGAGGGTGGGGTAGTCGAGAGCCGTCACGAGGTGGGTCAAGACACAGGCGGACCACGGGAGGGGTGCCATGATACAGGGACACACTCAGAGCCCTTCACCACACACGTGCCCAGGGTAGAGCAGTGCACACCGGGGCCCACCAGGCTGTTGCCACCCCCTCTTATCTCCACTGGTGGGGGGGGGGGGGAGATAATGTACTCCTGGAGAGTACATTACAGTACTGGAGGCCGCCAACAGGCAAGAGTGGTGGCAGGGGGAGGGGGAGAGGAACACCGCCCTGATGGTCACCACTCCTGGCCGGAAGTAACAGTTCCGGCCGGTCACCACTACCGCACACCACCACCACCACCACCATTCCGCTCCAGTGACACTTCCGCGCCTCGCACACTCCCCACTACACATGCTGGGTCTAGTATATTCCTAGGTCGAGTCCAAGCTCAACACCTTCAATAAAATCCTGACCAACATGACTTGCCAGGAGCAAACAAAAGCGAAACGCCTAATAGCAAGTCTGCAACGCCTGCCGGTGGGGAGAGTGGGGGTGGGGAGCGGGGAGAGAGGATAGGGAAGGGGATATGAACGAGGTACAGGACATGCTTGCTGTCGTCGTGACGAGAGAGGAGAGGCCATTGTGAAGGATGGATATGAGTGACATGTGACGTGTGTGTAGAGATATTGTAGCAGGCAAGTATGTTGTTGGTGGCGCTCTTGCAGGCACCAACAACATACTTGACCAACACTGTCGAGGGCAGTATTAGTCAAGTATGACCAACACTGGTCATACATACTGGTCATACACTGGTCAACTAGGCAGTACTCTACCCCGCCTAGTTTCCAACGCAACAAACGCTTACCTTCCCAGTCAAACTAATCACGATTTCCAGATCTTTCACAAATTTAGATTAAATTCAGTATTCTTCAGTTGACCTCTAACCCTCGTCTACTCTATCTGGAGGACCTAGACCAAAGGGGGCGTTATTCACAAAATATGCAAAAAATGAAAACTCGTTCAATTTCAATCAAACTTTTTTGACAAGTTGTATATGAAAAGGGTTTCATTTGGTCCAAGTCTCAGCATCGTAGCATAAATAGGAAGGGTGAAAAAAAATATTGAATTATGTGTCAAAAATTTTCAAAAATGGTCAAAAGAGATCATCAAACAAAAATGTCAACTGAAATCATGTCTGACTCTCAACTATCACAATAGCATATATTAAAAACAAATTATAATTAGTTTTATTAACAAAAAATTTAGTTAAAAAAAAAAAGTCAAATTTCACTTTTTTTATTTTATTTTATCTCTCTTTTGTTTATAGGGCGATTTGCATGAAACTTATACACCTGACTGCACGTAAGCCTATCTGTAAGGGTGCCAATTTTGGAGGAAATTGGTTGATGTTAACTTCAGCCACAGAGGGCAACACCTTAGACTATTTTTTTACTTACTTGAAAGTTTATGTTACTTGAAATTGAATATCTTTTTCATTTTTTATGCAATTTACATGAAACTTACACATTATATATAAATTTTATGTCTCTAAAATCGTTTGCAAGCGTTTTTATCTTGAGTTCTTTATTGACTTTATAATAACAATAAACATGATATATTTGCATAATTTTGGGGGGAACTTAGACTATTTGTATTAGGAAAACTAAAGACGTTTTGGAAAATCTTTTGCAAGGGATCCTTTATTATATGTTAATGTGTCAGAAAAGTGTCATAGAATGATTATATCTGAAAGGTGTGGTTTTAAATTTACACTTGAAAATGTGTAAAATTCGTTGAAAAAAAAATAAAAAAATTAAAAATCTCCCTTACTATTTAGGCTACAGTACTGAAACTTGGAACAATTGTAGCCCTTTTCATATACAACTAGTCAAAAATAATGGTTGACACTAAACAACAACTTTAAGATACCCGAATAACGCCCCCGCAGTCTCAGACTCCCACCTTCCACAAACCAAGACGAATTTGAACACACACTTATTTAATTTTCAAGAAACGTGCTCAAGTAAACATGAGTCACAAGGAAGAGACGCCTGACAAGACCTACCTTGGTGTGGAGGAATGCCAGAGACTTGTTGACATTCTCAATCTTGTGGACGCGCATCCTGCCGTTGTTGGGTTTGCCCAGCTTCTCCCCCGAGATGATCTCCAGCAGCTTCAGCAGCATCTTGCCGTCGGCCAGGTCGGTGAAGAGGTCCATCACCTCCAGCCGCGCCTGTCAACACCACCACAACGGTTACACCACACTTTATCGCCACTTACGAGCACGGCAAGGCAAGGCTGGCACTGCTGGGGCGAGGGGAAAGGGGAAAAAAGTTCATGTGTACCAGGATTTCTAGTTCTAGATTTGCAATCGTGGGGGGAGGGGGGCAGTGAAGAGCAAGGTAGCTAGACCCTCCCCACAGGAGGGTCGCCACCAGCTGTGGACAGTAACTTACCCTGGCTCCAGGTGACCAGACAAGTGGGTCGCATGTAGGGGGGGGAACTATGAAGTTAAAAGTGTTATAGCTGCGCGATGTGTGCACCAGTGGAGGCAGTGACACCCACCTGGTCCCCCCAGAGGGCCACAATGTGTACCGGACAACCACCTGGTCCCCCAGAGGGCCACAATGTGTACCGGACACCCACCTGGACCCCCAGAGGGCCACAATGTGTACCGGACAACCACCTGGTCCCCCAGAGGGCCACAATGTGTACCGGACACCCACCTGGTGCCCCCCAGAGGGCCACAATGTGTACCTGACACCCACCTGGTCCCCCAGAGGGCCACAATGTGTACCTGACACCCACCTGGTCCCCCAGAGGGCCACAATGTGTACCGGACACCCACCTGGTGCCCCCCAGAGGGCCACAATGTGTACCTGACAACCACCTGGTCCCCCAGAGGGCCACAATGTGTACCGGACACCCACCTGGTGCCCCCCAGAGGGCCACAATGTGTACCTGACAACCACCTGGTCCCCCAGAGGGCCACAATGTGTACCGGACACCCACCTGGTGCCCCCCAGAGGGCCACAATGTGTACCTGACAACCACCTGGTCCCTCCAGAGGGCCACAATGTGTACCTGACAACCACCTGGTCCCCCAGAGGGCCACAATGTGTACCTGACACCCACCTGGTCCCTCCAGAGGGCCACAATGTGTACCGGACACTCACCTGGTCCCCCAGAGGGCCACAATGTGTACCTGACACCCACCTGGTCCCTCCAGAGGGCCACAATGTGTACCTGACACCCACCTGGTCCCTCCAGAGGGCCACAATGTGTACCGGACACTCACCTGGTCCCCCCAGAGGGCCACAATGTGTACCGGACACTCACCTGGTCCCCCAGAGGGCCACAATGTGTACCTGACACTCACCTGGTCCCCCAGAGGGCCACAATGTGTACCGGACACTCACCTGGTCCCCCCAGAGGGCCACAATGTATACCTGACATTCACCTCGTCCCCCCAGAGGGCCACAATGTATACCTGACACTCACCTGGTCCCCCAGAGGGCCTCGCAGAACACGAGTAACTTACCTTGATGAGGAAGGAGTTCATCCATTTTGTGAAGGTTTTCTTCTGTATACCGAGACGTTCCTCCCGCAAGTGCTGGATGCGACCAGTCTCAAACTGGCGGAGGGCGTCCTCGCGCGTGGTGAGGGCCGTCATCTCGCTCCCCCTACCTCACCATCCTGCAACAACAACACTATCATTACTACCTCACCATCAATCCCAACACCAGTAGTAGTAGTAGTAGTAGTAGTAGGCATCCATCAGTCTCAGCAGACTATGGAGTTGCACTCTGGTGTCGGCCTGGTCTGGAGTGGCCTCACCAGGGCGCAAAGCCAGGGTAGATTGATTTGGGGGAGAAGCTAGTTACCCAGGCAGCAGGTCCCCCTCTCCACAACACCATCTCCCACAAATTATCACAGCTCCCAGACCTCACACCACCATCTTGCACACGAACGGATCAACCAATGGCTCACTAGAATCATGTGAGTCATGCATAAACTTGTCTGTTCAAACCGACCCCAGTCATCTGTCCCCCATTGTCCTTACTTGAGCATTAACCTGTATTCTAACATTAACTTGTTGGTTTGTATCCTTACACTGTACAGTCTCTAGACATGAATTAAGATGAGCCCAGGCGTCGTCTTTACACGTAATACCTTAACCCTTCAACACTGTAGGTACTCACTACCACATCGACGGGCACCGACTTTAAACGCCCAGCCTCCCAAAATGTACTACTTATAGTAGTACAGCCTGCTCGCAGCCTGACTCACGCGTCAGGCTGCGAGCAGCCGCGTCCAACAGCCTGGTTGACCAGTCCAACAACCAGGAGGCCAGGTCGAGGACCGGGCCGCGGGGACGCTAAGCCCCGAAATCATCAAGGTAATCTCAAGATAAGGTATCGACAAAACGTCATCTACCAATAAAAACTACCTTAACCTTGAGATTCCTCTACATACAATATAGGAGTCCACGAGAGTAGGTGAACACATTAGCAGGAGTATGGTAGTTAGTGTGTAGTTAGAGTTAGAGTATGGTGTGTAGAGCGTAGTGAAGGTGGGCGGTGCCACAGGTGTGGTCTGACTCAGTGCTCGCCCACACCTGTGGTCACCACGCTTCAGTAACCCCCACTTAAAGCCTCAATGTCTCCTTCCTCACTCACACATTACCTTACCAGCCCTTCAAGTGCTATCATTGCTTGCTGGCACAGTAATGAGCAGTAGTGGGCCCCTTATGTTCAGACGGGGTCCCTCTCTCATTGTGCCTGTGGTACCTCTACTCCTCTCCACTCAACATTTCCTTCTGTATCTTTCGCTCCAGTATGCTATGTGCAAACTTGGGACCTGGCTTTCCGGTACCTTGCTTACACACACACACACACACACACACACACACACACACACACACACACACACACACACACACACACACACACACACACACACACGTTCTCATGATTTCAAAAGGCTCTGCGCATGTACCTTATTTGCCTGACTGATAAGGAACTGCTAGTTGAAACGCCAACAGCTTGGCTTATCAAGCCTTCAAACCGGACCCTGGGGGGTGTGAATGTTGCTTTAACATTTAGCCACCATGTACAGTGACGCCCAAACTCCTCTCAAACACCACCATATTTATTACCACCAGGAGTCCGACGGAGACCATAACACTATGGGACTCACGCCCCCCACAACATTCTTGACCCCCTTCCCCGTCCCTTCCCCCCCCCCCCCCACACACACACGGGGTCTGTGGCCGAGTGGACAGCGCTCTGGACTCGTAATCCTAGGGTTCGACCCCGGTGATGGCGGAAACAAATGGGTAGTTTCTTTACCCCTGATGCACCTGTCACCTAGCAGTAAATAGGTATCTGGGTGTTAGACAGCTGTTACGGGCTGCTTCCTTAGGGTGGGGGGGGGGGGGGTTGGAGAGAAGAAACAAATCAGTCGATTGACAGTTGAGAAGCGGGCCGGAAGAGCAGAGCTCAACCCCCGCTACCACAACTAGGTGAATACAACTAGATGAATACACAAACAGTTCTTAAACCCCCCCCCCCCCCTCCCCAAACCCCTACCGCGCAGTAAAGAATAGCCACGAGACTTCTACTACGAAGCAACATAAGGCACACGTGAATCATCGACCAGGTTGCGGTAGCAAGTTCCTGTCTTACTGCGAACCTTCCCTCACCTCATCCCTCGCATTCGTCACAATCGTCCAATCCGTTAAAAATGCAACTTATTAGGACAAATTGAAGCACCGAAATATTGACAGTTTTCTATGCCTAGGCCTCGATAGGTTAGGTTGGTTGTTCGTGTTTGTGGTTATATAAACAGCTGGATTTTTTTGTACGGACCCACGAGTTACAGCCCCCGCTCCTGTGCCTGGTGAGTCCTCTACGGGCTCACCATAGCCCGTGCTACTTGCAACTTTTGATTCCCTGCATAAAAAAAGAGGTTACTGGTTGAGGTTACTGAACACATACCTCCACACCTGCACTAGACAACTGCCCCAAGCCAAGCCAGTGTGGCGGTGGCTCCACAACCCACACACTGGCTTCTAAGGCCAGGGCAAGGTTAGGTCACGTGACGTCATAACACATCACAATTCCATTTTCCAAGTTGATCACACATCACCGGGTCAATATCAGCAGTGATGTGCTGTAGTGCCCGCTCCGTGGTTATGATGTGGCCAGCAACACCCTCCAGCAGGCTGGAGCCACATTCACGAAGCACTTACGCCAGCACTTACGAACGTGTACATCTTTCCTCAAAATTTGACGGCTTTGGTTACATTTATTAAGCAGTTTACAAACATGAAAACTTCCCAATCAACTGTTGTTATTGTTATAAACAGCCTCCTGGTGCTTCGGAGCTCATTAACTATTTAATAATTGTAAACAAAGCCGCCAAAGAATGAGAAAAGATGGACAGGTTCGTAACTGCTTCGTGAATGTGGACCCTGGTCCCTGCGGGTCCTTACTCCTACAACTCAAACTGGTTTTCACTTAAAAATAACTAGTCAATCTGTAATGCAATGAACAGCTCGCCAACATTACCGAACGAAATATTTACAAAATCCGCAGGGTCTTAGGCAGCTTTTGGAGGGCGTTGTGGGAAGTGGGGAGTTGTGGGGAGTTGTGAGTAATTCTGGAAGTGTCATTAGTCGTGGATGTCACTGTTGCCATTCAGTGAAACACATCTTATCGCCCTCTATCAAAACTAGAGTCACGTGAACTGGTTTAACACTCAACAGGGTAACTGCAGTGTGCCGTTGAGAGCTGCCACTGTTCTTGCACCCCAAGTATAACATTAACCAGGGTTTTCATTAAGGTAGCCACCACCACCACCAATATTCTGGCAAGCCTCGTACACCGTAAACCAGACTGGTAAATTACAGCGCCACCAGCCGCCCTCTCCACCCAGCCTACCGCAAATATACTCCACATAGCTCCGTCTTGATGGTTAAAATCGTATATGTATTGTTAGGTTAGAGTGGTTTAGCTTAGGCTGTGTTAGGTTAGAATGGTTTAGCTTAGGCTGTGTTAGGTTACAATGGTTTAGCTTAAGCTGTGTTAGGTTAGAATGGTTCAGCTTAAGCTGTGTTAGGTTAGAATGGTTCAGCTTTGGCTGTGTTAGGTTAGAATGGTTTAGCTTAAGCTGTGTTGGGTTAGAATGGTTCAGCTTTGGCTATATATGGGGACATTTATATATATGGGGAATGCTTGGGGGACCATTCAAGCGTGTTCGCATATATGGGGATATTACAGGATCAATGAAGAGCTGCTGCTTCTTAGTATCAGTTTTCACACTATAGTTTATTCATGATCCCACACTTCGTCTATCTACTAGAAGCAAAACATGAATACAGTGCAAGAAATTAATATATTTTATCATTTGTAATAAGATGGTTATGCCATTTCATGCAACATGAGATTAGATTTCTCTAAATGGCTCAATTGTGTTTCAGTCTAAGATGTAAGGTCTATGCCTGGCTACTGAGACAAGTACGTTATTATTTGATTGTAAACTATTTAAGGCTAGTGGTGAGGAAAGGGAGTGACATAAGCTGTCCACTACAGTGTCGTCAATAATTATGTGGGCTACTAGTTTAACTTACAAGGTGAGTGCCTAGTTTGTTTTATTTTTTACAATAGTTCTTCACTCGAGCTGATCAACAATAACAGCCCTGAAGCTGAACTAAGTGTTCCGTCAGTGTATTGATCGACTTGAGAATGGTCGAGGACGGACCGAAACGTCGTCGTCGTCCCTTCAACTTCTAGTGTGTGGTCTGGTCAATATACCTCAGCCACGTTATTGTGACTCATCGCCTGCATCCGTCAGTGTATATGGTCTGAGTCATGATGTTTTGACTTTGTAAATTGTGTACGTGTTCTAGGTACGTGTACGTGCACCTAATTTAACAGCTACTGCACGATGGTTGTTTGTGATTAGGTCCTTGGTGGGGCATGCGTGCATGCGTCAGGGTGTCAGAGGGTCAACACTTACCAGGCGCTGCACTCCACATACCTCGTACAGTCCTCTCATTGTTACACCAATGGCTGTTCGCTGAATCATTTTAGAATTATTAGTTCCACTGTGTATGTGTTCTAACAATTCAACTGATACAATGCTATTTTCATTATCACACAGAAGCTTTAGCACTATCATAAAATTGATTTCAAATATTATCTAGAATGTGAAGTATATTTATTTCCGCATGTTGAGAAATTTGGTGGTTATTGGGCATCACGTGGGATATAATCCGTGGTTCAGTGGGTAGTGCGCCCACCTGCCCAGTCCAGGGACGCGGGTTCGATACCATTGTACCGCCTCAATATTTCCTCAGTATCACTACGGATCGCAAGCACCGGACAAGCAGTAATCAATGCATAAATATCTTGCACAAGTGCGTTAACAGTTGTATACATTTACACGAAACCTCAAAGATTGAAAACCTGTTTCCCTCAAAGTTCCAGTAATCAACTTGAATTTGTCTTGAATTTATCTGTTATAAAAATCCAAAACGACCTTAAAACATCTTATTTATTAGTGTCATAAAGCCAACCTTTACTCCTTGATAATTAACTGGTTGATGGGGTTCTGGGAGTTGTTCTACTCCCCAAGCACGGCCCGAGGCCAGGCTTGACTTGTGAGAGTTTGGTCCACCAGGCTGTTGCTTG